GTTTGGAAAAGCATGGAACTTTTCCTCGTGCATTATTTGCTGCTGCTTTGAATAAACACACAAGTCGATGAATGGCTGTGTAGTTTGCTCTCTAAACTCGCCAAACAACCAAGATTATACATACGAACGCGTGTATTGACCTGGATATAAATTTATTTGTACAATTCTGCAACATCGCAGCTGAATGTAAAGGCCGATGCAAAATTCAAGAGGAGGTGCTGTTTTATTCACGAGAGAGGCTGAATAATCAATTCCCATTACCCATTATTTCCACCGCCTCCCCACGTTTTATCCGCCAGCCAGTCCAACTTCGCCGCGGTCGATCAAAAGTTCCAAGCTGTTGATTCGCGGCGAAATGGAATATTGTGTCAGTTTGAAATTACTTTGAAAAAATTAATTAACTTTGATATTAATTGATGATGCAGTGTTTTTTAATATTTGCACTTATTAAATTTATTAAATTTTCTTTAAACACCCAAAATGGTCTCTTTGCGTTGTTAAGGATTTATGAAACGTGTAAAAAAATCAATAAATATAAATTAAAAAAAAATCGGAGATAAAATGTTTTCATGACTTCATTTTTTTTATTGCCATTGCCATTTTTAATTTCCGTAAAAAAAAACTCCAGTAGCTCTAATTAATCTGTAGACTCCATTTTTAAATCACATACACTTTACAGTAATTTTTAAAATTGGCGTTTGTTAAAATGCATGAAAATTTTCACCAAATCAGAAACTCTTTAAACAAGCAATAAAAATAATTATCATTCTCTTCAGTATCAAACATTTAGTTTTTAAAATATTCCTGATTTAATTTACATTATAAGTTTGCATGATAACATGTTTTTTCTTTATTTATCAAATTTGCCGTGCAATTAATTATAACTTTGCTTGTCCTTTGACAAACTATTTCACTTGAAAGCTGATTCAAATTTTGTCCCTTTGTGAAAGAATTTCTGCTCAAAGGCTTCCACATTTTCAACACAAGTCCGTGCAAGAATAACAGGACACAACTTTTGCTCTGAAAATGAGTTGTTCGCAAACGAGCAAAATTCCCTTTGGCGCTTTTTGCCTGTTTCATGACTTTTTTCCTCTTGCCGCAGAAGACCAGAAGGAAAAATCAAACACCTCCTGCGAAAGGGTGCGTTTTTCTGAACACAAAGGGTGGGAATATAAATAAAAAGGGAGAGCAAAACTGCGGCTCTTATAAACAAAGTTGAGGATTGACGGTCCCCAGTGGGGAATAATGCGGAATAAACCGCCTCAAAACAAGCGCCCTGAAAAGCTTAACAAGCGCAACTTCTGCTACGTTGCCGGAGGAAGAAAAAAAGCCACCCTCATGAATAATTTCTCAAGAGTATAAATACGAGTACTCTGACGCGGGTACTTATCCATTTCGCGAGCACTTTTCGATTTGCGCCGAGTTGCTCCGCTGGGATTCGCCGTCCCAATTAAAATATCAAGCACTGCCGTCAAGTTTTGCAATTTAAATTTAATCCTCACTTGACCCTTCCAATTAAAAACAATACCCTCATTATGATTTACGTTTCGTTTTTCAATACATATGAAGTCATAAGCAATTTTTTTAGGTGATAAATGAAGCCATAAATATACATACATATATTTTATTTATTCTATCACTATCAGATAAAGTTTGAGAGGTAGAATTCCATAAATTATTTAAAAAAGTCATGAAATCATAATTTCGTTATTATAAAGAGCGACACCTAGATTAGGTGAAACTATTTCTTGATTAAAATGATCGAAAAATTTTGAAAACTAATGGAGTAAAAAATTCTGGTAAATATTTGTTGACGCATAATTTTATAAACCAGGAATCTTCATATAAGTCCACAAAATTTTGCAATTTAGTTTGGCTCACTAACTTTAGAGGGCATAAAATTAATTTTCTGGCTATAATATGATAAATTTTAGAAATGCAACCTTTTCAGTTTTTTCATTTCAAACCAAAAATAATAATAAATTTATGAGTTTAATTATAAATAGATAAAGAAAAATTCCCTTGTCTTGTTTGCAAATAAACCCGTTAAGTCTTTTATCCCTCTCTTGCAGAATAATTTGATTGTCGTGCCTCGCAAAAGTTGCAACCGAATGCCTGAAAATCCCGTCGGGTTCGGCCGCTCATTGCTCATTCCACGCGCACAAGCCCTCTAGATCTCTTCGCCGCATGCAGGAATTAAAACTTTTCGGCTTGAACGAGAAGTTTGATTTTGGCGACGCAGCATCGATCGATCATTAACGCAATTTTCCGCCGACATCAAACGAATTTCGTGGTCGTTCCGGCCCTTAACGAGAGCGACACGGCCGATCTTCTCTTGCCAAAATACACAAAAGATATTTTGAATCGAATTGTTGCAAAGGTAGAGTGCCAACATAATGGCACGGAAAAGTGATAAGCGATCAATTTTCTCCACATGCAGCAGGAAACCTTGCCAACTCTGTTCTCACAATAAGTTTCATAAATAAATTTGGCTTTGAATGGCAATAAATTTCACTGAATTGACAATAAATGAAATAAAAATGGATAAAAATAGTAAAATAGCAAATTGAAATGCACAAATTTTTGATCTCATGTGACAGTGAAACATTAAAGAATCAACTTTCAAGCAGCTTTCGTTACCTTTAAATCATCAAATTTTTTGAAAATAAATATTTATTATTAAATATACGAATTATTTTAATCTGGACTTATCATTTGATTTTATTTCAGGAATTTAATATTTGAAGAAAAGTTATAACTAAATTTATATTTTGAAACTTCCTTCATCCGTGCTCAGCGTTTAGTTTTCAAGTTTTTTTTTAATATGAATTGAAGATCGAAGCACGTTGTTTTCAGCTCAAACAATGCCGGTGGAAAGTTTTGTGTGCATTAAAAGCCTCTCGTCTCTTTTCCGAAAGGCTCGCAGCTCTTGAGAGAGAATACTCGCGAGGGAGCAATCGATTTGACGAGAACGTGCGGAACTTTGGTAATTGGCGCCGTCGACTCTCTGCGCTTTTGCATCCAGTCAAACATGCTGCACAGACGTCTTTGCGGTAATAGCTTCGGAAATTGAAATCGGTTCTCCAATAATGACGCTCAACTTGCTTTTACTTATACAGCACATCAATAAGGAAGCTTATTTTCGTTTATAAATTTCAATAACTTATGGTTAAGGGGAACTATCATTTACGACTGATTAGTGATTATTTTATTTTCCAATTGTAAGGGGAAAAGAAGGATAAGAATATGATTAATTTGTAGTTTAATACCATTTTTCTTTTTTTACTTGCAATCATTACCAACTTTTCTTTTTCTTGTATGAATTTTTACGAGCCGATAAATGAATTGAATCGAGGAATGCAACTTATTTGAATTCAAACAATTCCGAAAAAGCAATTTTTTAATCACATTAAACTTTTACTTTTTTCCCATTTTTCATTTGCATAAAAAGAACATGCTTCGCGCTCGAATGAAGGATTGTATTACCTTAGTAGAATATTTGTCTCTTTTTAACTTGTCTCAATACTGTGGTTACAAACAAATTTACCATTTTATACCAAGCCTTTGATTTTCTGTGACTTTTCATATCTCTGCGGAAAAATTCATATTTTCTTTCAAATTCGGTGAGAACTTCTCCAACTGTTGTAATCCAATTTCCCGCCATAGTGAAAAAACATCGCAATGAAATTTGCATGGCAGAGGGTGAAATCCCCGCCAGCGTTTACTTATTCAAACGTACATGTACCCTCGAAAAATCTCTCCGAAATCCTGCAAATTCTATGTACTGCCGTGTTTTTGATATAAAATTTAGGCCCGGTGCGATGTGAAGGCAGATTACCGAGATCAAAGCAATTTGAGAGCCCACCCGGCGAAAAAAAATTGTGTACGCAGGACTTCTTTTTGAGTCCTTCCCTAGCTGCGCATCAAAGAGGAGATAAACTTGCGCAATTTCATCCCCTAGGCGCCCCCAACCTGCCAGTCCTTTGAAATTCCAATCAAGTGACACCTCCACGCTGCTCTTCTCAACTTGAATTTCGCATAAACTTTTCGCACCAAAATACTTTCAACAAAATTCAAAAACTTCAACACATATTTGAGCGAATGAAAATTAAATATAATAATATTGACGTTGACGAAGTTTTTAATACAAAATTTAAAAAGATTAAAATCGAGATTTTTACATAAATATAAACTATAAACACACTTTCTTGTATAATTTTTGAAGAAATGAAGATTTGAATTGTTATTTTCTACTTCCCAACTTATGAATTTTTACTATCGCATAATGCAAACGTAGCTTATCTTATCTTGGTTATTAAACTTAGAATTAACAATAACAATTGAAAGAAGAGGTCCACAAAAAACTGCAAACCAGCTTAACTTTTGACATTCAAAGAAATCCCGTCCATATCTGAATATAAATTAACAAAATTTTTAAATTCAAATAATGACAGAAAAAATTTAAAATCACTTTGCAATCTCAAAATTCTAAATATATACTAAATGAATTTAAGAAAAAAATTTACCATGAAATTTGAAAACTAACTAAATTTATAAATTTTGTTCTTAAAATGCAGATTAAATGACTTTGCTTATACCAGTGAAGCGCCGAAATTAAAAAAAAATCAGTTCAAAAACAACAAAATTGAAGAAATTGAAGATAAGTGAGACTAAAAATGCATTAATTAACTTCTTGTGTAAAATATGCGGTTAATTTCATTCAATTAATTGTTTTCTGATTTAAATTCTTTACAATTTCCATTAGCTTCTTTACCTTTAAATAGGTTAAATCGGGTCAAAAAGAATAAACTCAAATTGTAATTTTCCGTTTCCCTTTCTAACAACTTCTTCCTTATTGCTTTTGTCGTGGGCGCGTACTTGGTTGACGAGATTAAGGGGCGACGGCCGGTCCGACGAGAGGGCTCATCTGGCGGACACGAAAATCACATTATTCGCACCTCCATTGAATCGAATTGACCTTCTTGTTGTGCTGGTTGCAGGTGCCGAAGGGGTGGCGTGTGCGCCGGGCCAGTTCCGCTGTCCCGAGGGGAAGTGCATCTCCTCGCAGTTGGTCTGCAATTACCGGAAAGACTGCGAAAAGGGCGAGGACGAATACCAATCATGTCGTAAGTGAAACCCTTTCAATCTGCCGCTCCACTCTGCTCTTACCCTGGTCATTTGATTTCCATCTGCAAATAATGTTTTCTATTTTACCCTTTTCCAGATTTGATGAATTGTGTAAATTTCAATTTAATTTAATCTCATTTTGAGGTTCATCATCTGGAATATGGAAACATCACATTTATCGAAACCACAAATTTTTGAACAAATGTTCCAACTATTTTCAATATATAATAATATCACTTATGATACAATAAAAGCGAAGCAATAATAATAATAATACACAGGCTTTTTTTCGAAAAAGAGTAAATTAAAAACGATTAGGAATGGCTGTTCTCTCTGAGCCCTCTTTATTTCAATAGTGTGGGTTCACGCGGTGGCCGATCTCTTTTCGATGTCGGTCTTTTTAGCAGACCTCTGCAGTTGTGATACCTTTCTGCTCATTTTTCCCAATTCAATTTTTTTCATGTATGACTTGAGAAGAACAAACAACAATAATAATTTTTTTTTAAATGATATCAATTTACAATTTTAATGATCTTAGCCAAATTCTTCATGGAGTGAAATGATCAAAATTTTTGTAAAGTTCCCAAAAACTTTAAGTGGATATTTCATTGTATTTAAACCTATCTTAAATATCTTCGATAATGGAGCATCATAAAAAAAATATCCTAAATAATTTTCAGCCATGAACTATTGGATACTAACAAAAAACAGAACAATTGGAACACTTTTAATGAAATTAAATTAAATAACATTTAAATTGTGTTATTTTCTATTCCCTCTGTTGCAATAATTTCAATTACGCGTCCAGCGCCAGATGGTTCTGAAATTACATGAAACATTTACGCTAATTCGATTATTAGATCTGCGCTGTTTACAATTGCAATTATTGCGTCGGGGGCTGGTGAATTGTTTCACGGTGTGCAACCAAGTGGTCGCCGGTCGATTGTCAAACGATTTGTATTGATTGTTGCAGCGCCCCCAGACTGCGAGCAGGGCCAACTGACTTGTGGACAGTACGTGTGGAACAAGACGTACTGCATCCCGCCGCACTTCAAATGCGACATGCAGGTGGACTGCGTCGACGGCTCAGACGAGGCCGATTGCAGTGAGTGTCTTTTTGAGGAGATTCTGAAATTTAAACTTGCTTTAAATTAAAATCATCCTTTTCTTAAATGGGCCGAAAGTTAAAATTCCATATTTTGAATTATCTCCATCCCACATGTATTGTTAGAATTGTCTCCACAAGAAATTGCAAATTAGAATTACTTTCAAAAAATTAAATTAAATCCATATTTATTGCAAACAAACTTTCATATTTCCAGAAATATATATGTATAAAAATGGAAAAAAATAGCTTCATTACGCTTGTGTTTTTGCTAACTACGATTCTTTGCTTTAATTTGCAGCATATCGCAAGTGCCAGCCGGACGACTTCCGGTGCGGCGAGTCGGGCGGAGGGCTGTGTCTGCCAAAGTCCAAGCGCTGTGATGGCTACTTCGACTGCCGCAACCGGCGGGACGAAGAGGGCTGCGAGCCTTCGGCGGGCGTCGCGTGTCCGCTCGACCAGTTTCGATGCGCCAACGGACTCAAGTGCATCGACATGCGCCAAAAGTGCGACTACTCGAACGACTGCGGCGACAAAAGCGACGAGCAGGGTTGCAGTGAGTGATCCTCATTTTTCTTTGCACAATTACTTGTGATGTTACCCTTTAGTGAAACATTGTCATCAAAACAAATTTACGCTGGTTTTTGACTCAACAGAACTAGACTGTTTAAAAAGTAAATTTTAGCTGAAAAACCATCTTATTTACTGAAACAAATTTCAAGTAATTCCTTGAAATTCAATGGAAATAAATTAGCTAAAAACATTTCACAGAACATGTTTATGAGGATTTTTTCTATAAAAATATAAAGAATGTTGTATATCAGATGGTATTAAAAGAAATTTTACAAAAGACAGAAATTCCAGTAAGAATTACTATTCTGCAAGAAAAATATATAACAAGTCTTTGATAAGTCTAAGAGAAATTATTAAAAGTCTGTGAATATTAAAAAAAAAAAAATCATGAAACTTCTTTCAGTCTCACATATTTTGAATGAACTATAGAGTGATTAATAAATAATAATAATCCCTTTGACCAGACTAGGTTATGATGAAATTGCTTTTTCTAATGTGTAACATGAGCGCGTTCTTGTTATTTTATTTTATTAATGAAATTAAAACTGGTTTGGTTTTGAAATGGAATTTCCTCAAACAATTAAAAAAAAACTATTTCAATTTTATGATAGGTCAAGTCTAGAAATTCATCCTCAATATTCTCCTTTGACTCTTTTTCTTTTGCTCTGGAACTTCATCCTCCTTGAGCGACTTTTCAATAATGCGACACGTCAAGCTGCGCAAAGTTATGGATTTGTTTGGCACCTCGGAAAATCGTGTGATTGATTCGTTTTATTATTCATGCATTTCATGCCTACTGACTTTCCTCAATCGAAAACATCTCTTTGAATTTCTGCTCCGGAATAAATCGTGTGCCTTTTGGGGAAAAATGCAATAGTTTAAGAATTTTTAAAGTAAAAGTATCAGATTTAGTCAGTTTATTACCTTGAAAAATTTAAAACCGCAGAGTGGAAATAATGACAAGAAAAGTCCATTAAAATTTGGTTAATTAGAATAAATCTATGTTCTTCCCTTTTTGAGAATTTTGTAATATTTTTGCAGACTACTCGCCGTGCAATTTGAGTCAGTTTCGCTGCGAGAACGAAATGTGCATTCCCTCCACCTTCCGCTGTGATGGCTACAAAGACTGCCCCGATTTCTCGGACGAGGCCAACTGCACCGCGATTCCGTGCCCAGACAATAAGTTCCTGTGCGTTCGAGGCCTGACCAGCGCACCATCAGGTGGAGCCAAGTAAGCCCTGAAAAGATTAAAAAATGAAAATAATCTTTGAAATTTCAACTAGAAATAAATCCAGCCTATTGCAAAAGCTGAAGCATTTCATTCAAACCAAGATTTTAAAAAAACCGTCGCCATGGTTGATATTTTTATTAATTTTTAATTAATAAAATGTAAAAATTTGTTGCCAAGGTGCATTTCAAAAAGTCAACTCTGTGATGGAAAGCGGGACTGCGCGGACGGAGCGGACGAAGAGGCCGCCTGCTCGAACGCCAGCTGTCCCGGACTCGGCTGCAAGTACAAGTGCCAGGCCTCGCTCACCGGCGGCGTCTGCTACTGTCCAGACGGACAAAAATTATCAAACGATTCCAAATCATGTGTTGGTGAGCAAAAGTTTCTATTTAGATTTGATGAAAGTTTTGTGTTTTATTGATTTGCAAAACCACGAATTTTTGAAAATGGACAAAAAAAATTCGTTTGAAAAGTTGAAATTTTAGCATTCTAATGTATAATTTTGTTTCCAAATTAAATTAATTAAATACAAATTGGAAAATTATCACTTAATTTTCACGATATTGAACTATTTCAATATTCGCTTGAATTTCCAAGATATGATTCAAGATCAAACCGTACTTATTTATTGCATTAGACGCTTTGTGCTCACAACAAGTAGTCACTTGGCGTCTTTCCCTCGCTGGTAATTTATGCATTCAAGTGCGTTCTGTCTCCGAGTATAGAAAATCACTGGAATATAATTATTTTTTATTGTTACGCAACAACTGCGGTTGAAGCCAAGGATGTTTAGTAATTATGTGATGTGATACAAAACGAGCCTCACACTCCTACAGGCGCGTTTAAATACTTAAACTGCCAGAGCTGTATTTTAAGTTTTTCATAATTTTTCTAAAATTACAACCAACTTGTTGTGCATCTGAGTTTTTTTTTCATAAGTAATTAACTTTTTGAAAGTAAAAAATTCAGAAATTAATACCGACGAATTGGATGTTTTTAGACGGAAAAAGCTCATAAACTGTAAAATATTTTCTTAAATTTTCTAAATCAATTTTTTATAAGGTAAATACCACGTATTTGGAGATAAATAAATCAGTTAGACAATGATGTTTACAACAGTCTTGTCTAATACTCATTTAAATTGTCTTAAAAGGCATGTAAGCCATTTTTTTCCAGTCGCCATAATTCTTGTCATCTATTTTGCTTGATATTTTTTTCTTAGCAGGGGTTTCCAAATTTTCCCAAAAATTTTGTTCTTATAAATTTTTACAGCAAATTTTATTAGAATATTTTCCAAAATACGCAGTTAAAAATTTTTGTGGTTACATAAATAAGAAAATTGCAATTCTGGTCAAATTTAAGTTTTAAATTGTCCGCCAATATTATTAAATGTATTTTTTTGAAAAACGAATTTAATGACGAATTATTATTGTTTATTTTATTAATTGTTACAACCTTTAGTTGTTGACAAACATATTGATTGTTGGACCAGATTCAAAATTTTGATTAATAATTGTTGTTGAATTATTTATTTTTGCAAAGACCGAGACGAGTGCGCCGACTGGGGCTACTGCCAGCAGCTGTGCGCGAACACGCAGGGCAGCTTTTCGTGTTCGTGCGTGTCTGGCTACCAACTGGTGAACCACAGCGAGTGCGTGGCCCAGGGCAACACATCGCTGCGCATCTTCTTCGCCCACGACAAGTTCGTGTGGCGGCTGACGGCGCCGGCCGGCGGCCAGGCGGCCAACGCCACCATGGACCTGGTGGCGACGGCGGGCCAGGCGAGCGGCCTCGACTTCCACTTCGGCCGCAACGCCCTCTTCTGGTCGGACGTGCGCACCAAGCGCGTCTACTCGATGCCCCTGGAGAACAAGGCGGCGCCGACGACGGGCGGTTCGGCCGCACAGTCGGCGCCCGACTTCGGCGTCGGCGGCGGCGCCTGGGCGCCGGTCGCCATCGCCGTCGACTGGGTCGGCGACAAACTGTACGTGGCCGACTCGCTCGGACAGAAGATCGACGTGTTCGAAATCAACGGCAAGTGGCACGCCATCGTCCTCGGCAGCAACCTCACCAGCCCCACCGACATCGCCCTTGACCCCACCGTCGGATTCATGTTCATCGCCGACAACACACAGGTAAATTATTGAGAATCAAAATCAAAAAGTTAATTTCATCCCATTAAGTTGATATAATTATAATTGCTTACAAACGTGATTTTTTTATAATAAATTCATATTTATTTCTAATTACAAATTTATTTCATTTTTCGTATTGGTTGGAAATTTGGAAATAAAGAAATTTTGGAATCAACTATTAAAGCCAAAATCCAAATTTTTAAATTTCTAAATGAGGTTTTAAGATTTTATAAAATGCTTTTCTTCTTAAAATCTCATATATTTGTCTTTCATTTTATTAACGATTCACCCATTTTTCCGAAGCCCTGAATTTGATAAAAAACTGCGCAATTCATACCGTAAAAAATTCTATTCCGTTCGGAAATTATTAAGAATGAAAGCAGCATTATTTATAGATATTTTAAAATTTTCAATTCAATTTTTTAGTTTATAAAATTTATAAAATTCTAATTCTGAATAAAGATCCGCCTATAAGAAAATGAAGTCATACATTGTATTTTCAGAAGTCCAATTATTATTGTTAACCCTCCGTACGAATTCAATTTTTTTGATACCATTTTCCGCCTTCCGTTCGTTTCCGGGAAGCTCCAAAATAGATTGCGGGAAATCAATACTCTTCTATGAAAACTCTTAAAGCTTCATTCAATGCCTGACCCGCCTCCAACTTAATCTACCTCTCATATTTTATTTTCCGCCTTGGAACGGAAACTATACTCGAACGCGTTTATTAAAAATTCCGACCAACTTTTCCCGGCCGCCTATACTATAGGGTCACTTTTCCAATATTGCTTTTTTGGCAAACAACGAATGCCTCTACATAGGAAAATGCATTCGCTTTGGTCTCGTTCGATAGACCTGCCCTTTCACGCGAAACGTCGAAATAATCAAACTAATGGAAACCCTCTTCACTGGGAAAGAATTTCTCCACTCGTACACCCAACACGAAATTCACAGTTAAAGAGACGCGCATTAGCATAAAGCGTAATTTATGGGCGACAGCCTGCCAAATTAGTATTCAAATGATTCCAAGAAGCCCCAGCGCCATATTAGTAATAAATTTATTTCAACGTTTACTATATTTATCCTATTTTTGTACTAGACATTTAGGAGAAAGTGATTAAAAACAAATATGAGAATATTTTCTTACTGCTAGTTTGTCTGGCGCCTCGGGGTGGAAGCAACGGGATTTTTTTTTAATTGATTGCCTGCAATTTTAGTTGTTTGACGTAAAAAAAACTTTGTGTAATTTTTGGGGATAGGATAGAATTTCAAGTCAAGCTTTGTAATTGGTCTATTATTTTGAAAATAGTGTGCAATTTCCTGGTAAGATAATTCCAAATAAAGGCCCTCAAATTGAAATAATAACATAATAGCTAAAAATAGTTATAAAAATTTATTTTATAGGAAATAAAAATTGGCTAACGTAACAAATTTATCATTTTTTTTTTCAATTATAAAGATTATTTCAAGCTGGGGTTGGATTTGCCTTTTTAAATTCAAAATATCGTGGGAAAGATATGGAAATTTTATTTAAATTTTCAGATTTTTTTTTATCTTTGCATGGAACTTTATATTTTTAAGTAAATATTAATCTACATTAATGGTTTTACAAGGCATAAAATTTAATTTTAATGAAAATTTTAATTATAATAATTTTTCAATCGATCAATGATTTGTATGATTAATTCTGTTAATGAAGGTGATTCGAGCCAACATGGACGGCACAAACGTGAAATCGATCGTGTCCGAGGCGACGTACCGCGCGTCCGGCGTGGCGCTGGACATAATCTCGAAACGGGTTTTCTGGTGCGACTCGCTGCTCGACTACATCGAGACGGTCGACTACAACGGCAAAAACCGCTTCTTGGTGGTCAGGGGTCAGGCGGTGCCCTCGCCGTCACGCCTCACCGTGTTCGAGAACAGGGTCTTCTGGTCGGACGGAACCAAACAGGGCGTCATGAGCGTGGACAAGTACGGCGGCGCCAACTCCATCAGGGCCCTCATCAGCAAGAACAGGGACGTGCAGGTATGTCCGTTACTTTTTATCCGAATAATTTTAAGGTTAAAGTCAACGAATGCATAAAATTTCAGCTAGCGAAAAATAAAACCATAAGGATGAAGGTAAAAGCAATTCAATTATAAATGTGAATGTTTTTTAGTGGCTTATTTTAATTTTGGTTTGTTTTAAATTTATTAGTGCACGTACATTTTTTCATAATAAATTTCGCGTGGAGTTTTTTGATAATTTAAAACCCAGAGAAACCACTCTAAACGGGAAATAATTGAATTATTCTAAAGGCACTAATTTAATTTGAGTTGAGTCTTTAATTTTTGTCTATTTATTATTTTTATTTATTTGTACATTGTTACAATACATTGTTTACAAACAATTGTTGACAACAATAATTTATTTGAAAAAAAAACGAATTGTTGGACAAAACGGCACCATCATTCTGAAAATAATAATAACTAAGTAAGATTTTTTTAAATTTTTTTGTTCTCAGGAGCCGAAAGCAGTGCGAGCCGTGCACCCATTAGTCCAGCTGTACGCGTCGAACCCTTGCGGCTCCAACAATGGCGGCTGCGAGCACTTGTGCGTGGTGACGGCCGGTGCCAGCGAGGGGTCGTTGGGCTTCCGGTGCGCCTGCAACATCGGCTTCCGGCTGAGCGCCGACCTGAAGCACTGCCTTCGAGTCGAGGAGTTCCTCATGTACTCGCAGCAGCGCTTCATCAAGGGTCGCGTCCTCGAGCCGGTCACCGAGGGCTTCAGCGACGCCATCTTGCCCGTCGTGTCCCGGAGGGCGAGGTTCGTCGGCCTCGACTTTGACGCCAGGGACGGCATGATTTACTACTCGGACGTGCTGCAGGACGTCATATACCGGTAGGTGGTGATTTCTTTTTCCCCGAGGGCAAGGGCCATTGACCTCGGTTCTTTATTATTGTTGTTTATTCTTCAAAAAGTAGTCTTCTGCGCCAAACGCCCATGTGTGACACAAAGTTGGAAATTTCGCATCCGTGGATGATTTTTATATCAACTTTTCTACCTTTGAAGAAATTAAATTGGGAAAATATTGAATTTGAACAAAAAATTATGATAATTTTGCCTCATTTATTCAATATTAAATAGGTTAGGAGCTTAGAGCTCTAATGTTCTTATAATTCAAAATATTTAAAATTCATTATTTTTATCAATCATTCTGATTATTGAAAATATTATGTACTTGATTTTTTTTTAATTTCTCTCTTATCATTAAAATTGTGATTTATTTTTTACAGAATTAGAACAAACGGAACTGGCCGGGAAATAGTTTTAGCCTCACAAAATGAAGGCGTGGAAGGCTTGGCCGTGGACTGGGCGTCCCACAACCTCTACTACATCGACAGCAGGAAGGGCACCCTGAACGTCCTGAGCACCAGGAACGTCACCTACCGCCGCACCCTTTTGAAGGAGCTCAAGAGGCCCAGGGCCATTGTCGTCCATCCCAACAGAGGTTACATTTTCTTCTCTGAGTGGGACAGACCGGCCAACATCAGCCGGGCGCACGCCGACGGCACCAGCAGACAAATTTTCAAAAATCTCACACTTGGCTGGCCCAATGGATTGTCCGTCGATTTGACAGCGGACAGGCTGTACTGGTGCGACGCCCTCCTTGATCATGTTCAGCATTCCAACCTGGACGGCACTGACGTCAAAACGGTCACCTCTCAACTTATCATACACCCCTTCTCTCTGGTCGTACACAATGGTACGGAATTAATGAAAAAATAAATTATTATGCTAAAATATTGAAAGAAATTTCATACGAAAAACTCATATTGGAGATTATTTAACAGATTCGAACAAAAAAAATCATCATAAATTAAACTTTGCAGTATCCGAAATTAATTATAAAGATTTAAAAATATTGAATTTAATAATATGTATAGAGTAATTTCATAAGTTTTTGCTTCATTTTTAAAATATTACTTTTAAAATATTTATTTATTTATTTTTCAGAATGGATGTACATTTCTGACTGGAGGCTGGACGCAATAGTAAGAATGAAAAAAGACACTGGCGGAGACGAATCCGTCGTCGTCAAAGAGCCTCATACAAATCGATTATACGGCGTCAGAGTTTTCAGCAACACCCTCCAGAAAATCGACGCTGTCCACCCCTGCTCCAACGGAAACGACGGTTCGTTTTCTTGGACATTAAATTTTGAAATTAGATTTGATTTCTTATCTTTTTTTTTTTGTCAGGTTGTGCCAAATTCTGCTTTGCTGTGCCGAGCAACACTTCGACCGCACTGGTGGCCAGGTGCGGCTGCCCCTACGGTGAACGCCTTGCTGAGGACGGTCGCACCTGCAACCCTGACCCGAACGCGGAACCACCCCTGCAGGCGTGTCCAAACAACTGGGACTTCACCTGCAACAACCAACGCTGCATTCCAAAGGCCTGGGTGTGCGACGGAGAGGACGATTGTCTTGACAATTCAGACGAGGAACAAAATTGTACAAGTGAGTTGTGCTAGTCCAAATCAAGGCGATTCCAAAGAGATGCTAGTCAAATATGTATGCATCAAGTTTTAGGAAGTTCTTGGGAAAAATCTAAAATTTTGTATTGTTACAATTTGGTCAAATTTGATTTTAAAGGAGCTTTCCTACTTAGCATTTAACTCGTCTTAAAAAGGACTTTTGAAATTTCAAGTCATGATTTTATTATTTTTAATTTTACTCCAGAACCAACTTGTCCGTCGGACGAGTTCCAGTGCACTTCTGGCCGATGCATTCCAATGTCTTTCAAGTGTGACTCTGAAAACGACTGCGGTGACTTCTCGGACGAGACGGGCTGCAAAAACGTGACGTGCTCGTCATCCCAGTTCCAGTGCGAGAACGGCCGCTGCGTTCCTGCCACTTGGAAGTGCGATTCCGAGAACGATTGCGGCGACGGCAGTGACGAGGGCGATTTCTGCGCCGAAAAGACGTGCGCCTACTTCCAATTCACGTGTCCCCGGTCCGGCCATTGCATCCCTCAGTCATGGGTCTGCGACGGAGACAACGACTGCTTCGATAACCACGACGAACTCGACTGTCCTCCCATTGCTTGTTCGGCCTCACAGTTTAAGGTATGAAGCAAAATTTTTAGTCATATTCAATATTAAGTAATGTTTTAAGTTTTCTTCTGAAATAAATTGCATACTTACAAAATTATCTTTCAAAGTGAACAAAATCAGAAACTTCTCTCAATTTAGGTTTGTTTGTTAAAATTTTCAAAATTAAATAAATTAAACGACTTCTTTTAATTTTATTCACATTTTCAATTTTAAACAAAAAAATTACATTTTCCTTGGAAACCGAGTTGGGATATCTCTTGACTCATTATTTTATTACGATTTTTTACAATTACGCATATTTTTGTTTCTCAATCAGTGTGCAGATTTGAAGCAATGTGTGGCCGAGTCGTACAAGTGCGACGGCATTCCCGATTGCAGTGACGGTTCGGACGAGTTGGGCTGCCCGTCTTTGGCGCCAGACCAGTGCAACAGAGAAAGGCAGTTCCAGTGTCTTGCCTCAGGTTTTTGCATTCCCAAGGCCTGGCATTGCGACGGAACGGCTGATTGTTCCGATGGAAGCGACGAGCCAGACACTTGTGGACAAATCGCCTGCCAGAATGGCTACTTCAAGTGCAACAACTCTCAGTGCATTTTCAAGGTAATTCATCAATATTTATTAAAATATTTAATTTTAAGATGTAATATTTTATTTTTAAGGATTATTAAATTATAAAACAAATTAATTTTTACTTTGATTTCACAATATTAAAAATAAATAATAATGTTAGTTCACAATTTATTTACAGTTTGAAATTTTTCTTTTGTTGAGAAGTTTGGATTTTGGATTTTTTTTATTCTATAAAAATATTTTTCCATCTCTTTTAATTAACTTTATAAATTTCATAGAAAAATTGTTATTTCAATCTGTTATATTTTCCGTTTATTGATTTGTAATTTTTATTCTTAAATTGAATTATATTTAAAAAAAAAAAAGCGATGAATAAATATTTACTATTTTTTCTTTCATATCAGGCGTATATTTGTGACGGAAAAGACGATTGCGGCGACAACTCTGACGAGGACGCGCGGCACGCGTGTGGCCCACCACCGGTCACCTGCGATTCTGGCGAGTGGAAGTGTCCCGGCGTGAGCGGCCGCTGCGTCAACCTGACGTCGGTGTGCGACGGCAAGACCGACTGTCCGAACGGGGCCGACGAAGGTCCAGGGTGCGATTTGGCCGAGTGCCAACACCAGGCCGGACTCTGCTCGAACGCGTGCAAACAGACCCCGCTCGGCGCCATCTGCACGTGTCCGGCGGGCGAGATTTTGTCCAACGACACAGTGACCTGCGTCGACCTGAACGAGTGCGACCCGCCAGGTCGCTGCTCGCAGGTGTGCAGAAACATCAAGAGGGGCTTCGAGTGTGACTGCGTGGACGGGTATATCCTCGAACCGGACAAGAGGAGGTGCAAGGCGGTCAACCACAGCGCCGCCTTCCTCATCATCTCCAACAGACACTCCATTCTGGTCGCTGACCTCCAGGTTGGTCAAAGGTTCATTAAAAAATTCTCAAGAAAAAATGTGTACTTTTACATAAAAATAAAATTTGATTCCTATATTGATCTAATTTTTTCAAATCAGAATAGCAGCAGAAATTTTGAGATTCATAATTTTAGTTTTCAATTTTGTTTTTTATTTTGACCGTGGACCTTTTTCTTGATTTCAGGAGCAAAGTTTAGAACGAGTGCCTATTTTTGTGGAAAATGTAGTCGCCACAGCTTCTGACATGCACAGTGGCACGATCTTCTGGTCGGACATGAAACTGAAGAAAATCTCAAGATTAGACCGTGGCAGTGAGCCCAGAGAACAAGTCATCGCCACCGGTTTGGATTTGGTGGAAGGACTGGCCTACGACTGGATAGGGAAAAACGTATACTGGCTCGACTCAAGACTGAACACAATAGAAGTCGCCAGAGAAAACGGCTCCGACAGAATGGTCTTACTTAAAGGTATGGAGCTAATGAAGCTTTTGATTTCTATATAAATTAATTCCTGAAGAAGACGCTCATTTAAATATACAATCACAAAAAAATTAATAAATAAATTTCAAAAGAACACTACTTGTTAGAGATATTTATTTTTAATCTAGTCTAATTTATAGTAAATAAAATTCAAATGTCTTCTGCTGTTTGAAATTAATTATTTTTAACCGCTTTCTTTTGAGCCTAATTTTATTTTTCACGCTTTGATGGAATTTTTGACAACTTTTCATGTAAATAATTTAAGCTCAATGAATTTTGCTCACTCATCAATACCTAATTTGGTTAAATTGGATAAAATTAATTTCAAATTACTGAGTATATGCACTGTAAGTTACTTTAAATTTTTTAAAGTAATTGAGAGCCGATTTCATTGTTAATATCAATTTTTCTGAAAATAATCATTTTTATCGTAAAAATTTATAATTAATACAAATGTGAACTTCATTGACTTTTCCAGGAAACATAACCCAGCCGAGAGGACTGGCGCTGGACCCGAGTCCGGGCACGCGGTGGCTGTTCTGGACAGACTGGGGCGAGAACCCGAGGGTGGAGAGGGTGGGCATGGACGGCAGCAACCGCAGCACCATCATCAACACCAAGATCTACTGGCCGAACGGCCTGACGCTGGACATTGCGACGCAGCGCGTGTACTTCGCCGACTCGAAGCTGGACTTCATCGACTTCTGCTACTACAACGGCAGTGGGCGGCAACAGGTGTTGGCCGGCAGCCACTACCTGCTGCACCCGCACTCGCTGGCCCTCTTCGAAGACACCCTGTACTGGACGGACAGACAACTGAACAGAGTATCCTCAGCACACAAGTACAAAGGCACCAACCAGACTGTGGTTTCGCACCTCATTTCGCAACCCCTCTCGGTCCACGTGCACCACCCCTCGCTGCAACCCCTGTCCCCCAACCCGTGCAAAGACAACCCCTGCGCGCAGATGTGTCTTCTGTCGCCATCCACCAAGTCCGGCTACGCCTGCAAGTGCCGACCCGGCTACCGACTCGCCGACGAGGGCAAGTGCGTCGAGGAGGAGAAACCCTTCCTGCTGGTCATGAAGGGCAGCCAGATCATCGACATGAGCCTCACCCCTGGAGAGCAGGTAAACATATTTTATTCTTTCTTGCAAATTTCAGATGAATGAATTAATCTGAAAAGTCAAAATTTCAAAAACTATGCAGTATTTATTCAAATAAATTTGATATTAGAAAAGATTTAATTACGAGTGAAATATTTTGAATTTTATCATTTGCCCTTTGATGGATTTTTTTGAGACATCTTCACCAATCAAATATATTTTTTTCATATTTGAAATTAAAATGAACAGCTCAAATACTTTTTTAATTTTTATTCCGTTTTTGTATATTTATAAAAAATTCATCTTTAAATTTAATTTAAATTTTGCGTTTAAATAGACATCTGCTAGCTGTAAGCCCTTTCTTCTCTTTTTCAAATCTCAAATTTTTGTATCGACTGAGAAGACTAAATAATAAATAATTTCTTTTATTTTTGAATCAAGTTTGAAAAAGAAAATTTACTAGCGGTCTCAAAAATTGATTATAATTTACTTAGAGGGATGTACATTTTATGCTCTAAATGATTTGCAAAAAATTTACTTCCAAAACATGCAGCCTATTTTTTTACACTCCATTCCGATACAATCGCAGCATATCCTATAAATTAGATTAAATCGTTAAATGTACGTATTTTATGAATTTATTTCCTTATTGACTGGTTAAAATAATCTTTTTTTTCTAAAAAAGGATAACTTAATTCCCTCTTGTTTTTTGCAATGTTTGTTTAAAAGCAAATCTAAAAAATACTAATTCTTCTTAATTTAGTACTTTTTATATCATCGGCTGTTTTTAATTAATTATTTGTGAATAATTTCGCTGTTCAAGGTGAGTGGCTACTTGACGCCGATTGTGGGTATCGAAAAGGGCATCCAGATCGAGTTCGACCGAAAAAGTGAGTCGATCTTCTGGATCGAAGGGAAGGAGGGCGATGACGACGAGTTCAACGCCACCATCTACACGTCCAAACTGAACAACGGCAACCGCACCAAGCTGTTCGGGCCCGACTCCGGGTTCATCGGGTCGGCGTACACAATGGCCTTTGACTGGCTGGGCAGGAATTTGTACGTCGGCAACAGGGTGGCGTCCAACCTGGAGGCGATCAAGATCGACGGCAAGGTGCGCCACCGGACGGTCATTCTGGCCAACGACGGAAACGCGACGTCCGTGGCGCGGCCCAAGAGCATCTGCCTCGACCCCAGCGAGGGTCAGCTTTTCTGGATCGACGAGGGCGGCTCCGGGGTGCCAGCCAAGGTGGCCAGGGTCAACATGGACGGCTCCAACCCTATGATTTTGGTCAACGACGTCGAGCGGCCGCAGGCGATTTGCATTGACTTGGACAAGAAGTTGATTTACTTCAGCACCGAATACCCCGCTCAGGTATAACTTTTATTTTTCTAATTTCACCTCCATTTATTTGGAATCAGAAAATAAATATTAAATTTGACAAACATTAACTAATTATAAACTGAAAAAAAGTATATGGAAATATATCTGATGGGTTATTGAATGTCATTGATCAAAATTTTGATTTTGATATGGTTGATTTCAAATTTTGGTGGCTTAAAAAATCATGGTTGTCTCTAATTTGAACCAATATTAATCAGTATTAAAATTTTGATTATACTCTTCTTAAAATTAAGCATGATTTATTTGCTAATTGACAGCGAGTGTCGTTTTAAACTTCTATTATCATTTTTCCCTGCAAATTTTATAATTCCAAGCTAAATTTTAAATCATTTCCGGTTTTATGCAATTTTTTATACTTTGAATTGTAGGTGAGGGTGATTGGCACCGACGGTCGAAACGAACGCATCATCCTGACCGAGAGCAACAACATCGCTCTGCCCAAGAACCTGGCCGTCCTCGACTCGCGCCTCTACCTTTTGGATCCGAAATACGACAAACTGGAGCGACTCGACCTGCCCAACGGCGACAATTCACGCCTCTTGCTCGACAATGAGTCCGAACTCCGGTCCTTCACCATCTACCGAAAGAGGTCAACGCCCAACCACCCCTGTTTGTCCAACAACGGAGGGTGCCAGCAACTGTGTCTACCAGCGCCCGGCAACTCAAGGGTGTGCGCCTGTTCTGTTGGCCACAGGGTTGAAAACGAGATGCAGTGCATTGCCTACAGGTACGTAATAAAATTATTTAAAAAGATTTTCTCATTTTTTATTTTTTATTGCAGACTTTTTTAAAAAAATCAGGTCAATTTTTATTTAATTCCTGGATTTCAATTTGTGATTTTTATATGATTATTTTGTATTTTTATACACATTAGACTCAAATTTAAGCTAAAAGTTTAACTTTGTTTTGCATCTAAACTAATTTTTGACACCACTCTGCTGATAGAATATTTTGTTGGAACTAAAATTGACGAAGCGCAATTTTACTAATTGGTAGACATTTTGTGAGGAAATATTGAATGGAATTTTGATTTGCTGAAAGTATTTTTACCCTAATAAATCAACCTTTCAGGTCTTTCGCGGTGGTCGCCCAACTGGACGTGGCACGCGGCTTCAGTTTGAGCAACGCCGCTGAGGCGATGACCCCGATTTCCGGTCCCGGTCACCACATTTTGCACGTTGACGTGTTCGTCGCCGAGAACTGGATCTACTGGGTCGAGTTCAACCGCGGCACGTGGAACGGAATTTTCCGTGTCAGACCCAACGGCAGCGACCTGAGTCCAGTGGTCAACACCGGGGTCGGATCAAACGGCATCCGAGGCCTGGCCGTGGACTGGGTGGCCGGCAACCTGTACTTCACCAACGTGTTCCCCCACGAGAACTACCTGGAGGTGTGTTGGTTGGACGGATCGCACAGGAAGGTGCTGGTCAAGACCACTTCGGACGCACCTCGAGAGCTTGCCGTCAACCCTATCAAAAGGTAATGTAATAATTTGAATTTGTTGGTAAACAAAATTGTTAGCAAAAAATTTATTTTGTTGACTTGTTTGGATTTTGAAACAGAATACTTAATAATAATGATATTATAAGTAGAATTGTGAAATTGAAAAATTTTCTAATTTTTTTTTAACTCTTTATTTCACTGCTTTACTCTTACCGGAAAATTATTTTCTTTTCTTCAAAGAAAATTTTGAAAGCTGTGAATGAATTTTAACTAATTTTCAATTGTTCATTTTCAGGTATCTGTATTGGATCGATTACGGGCAGTATCCGCGCATCGGCAAGGCGTACCTGGACGGCTCGAGCTGGACCCCGATCGTGACCTCGGGCATCAGCAATCCGCGTGACCTGACCGTGGACATGGCCACTCACGATGTGTACTGGGTCGACTCGCGACTGGACACCCTGCAGAAGGTGAGCTACAGTGGCGGATCGCGCCAGGTGGTGCGCCGCTTCCTGCCCAATCCGATGGGGGTGGCCGTGCTGAAGCAGGAGGTCCTCTGGGTCGACCGCAACCTGGCCGCTGTCTACCGAGCCTCGAAACTGCCACAGGACAGCGGAGTCAATACCACTCGGGCTGTTGCTCTCAGGTAAATAATATTCATTTTAAAATAATTAATAGGTACAAAATAAAAAAAATATTGATTTTGCGAAAATTTCACAACAATAATAACAACATGTTTAAAAATTAAAATGATTAAAAAGGGGCTTATGATCTAAATCTTTGGAGCTAATCATCATCTCATTTTATTAAATTTAGGGAAGATAATTAATTTGAAGAAAGTTTTTTTTATAATATGGCCTTTTTTTATGGTAAATTCTCCATTCTTTCCCACATTCTTTTTTTATGTGTATGTAATCATTATTCTAATGTATTTCCAGCATTGTACATAAATTTCCGACTCCTGATTTTCGGCATTTTTTTGTATGCTTGAACTTTTTTATGTCGATGCATGATTCCGCTTTTTTTTGTACAGTGTACTTTTTTTGCGTTGTATGTACTATGAATGGAGAATAAATAAATAAATTTTCATTCAATTAAATTTAATTGTGTGAATTCTAATATCTATCTTCTTAATTGCTTAATGAAGAGAAACTATATTTACATGTTAAAACAAATTTTTTTACAGGTCAAACCTACAACGTTTGAGGGACGTGGCCGTCTTTGACATTGCTGCTCAGCCCACGGACGACAGCAGCCCTTGCAAACGCCTGGGCAACGGAGGCTGCGACCAACTTTGCTTCGCCTTCCCTGCAGACAGGGGCATTTTGAACAAGGCTCAGTTCAGGTGTGATTGTGCCACCGGCAGAGTGGGCGATGACGAGAGGCGCTGCGTCACCGAGGACGAGTTCCTCGTGTTCTCGACCAGGACTGAGGTTAGGAGCATCAGCCTTGACCCCAAGTCAACTTCGGTGCCATTCAAACCTGTGGTAAGTTTTTTAATTTATTTTTTTATTCAAAATGTTGATTTAAAATTACTAAAGAACATGAAATTTTGTTGAAAAATATAAAAAGTATTCTTAGATTTAGATTTTTAATTAATTTTTCTTGAATTTTATCATTAAATTAAATTAGTTTCCTATATTAGTCCCAATTTGGGAACGGAATTTGTAGATATTGATTTTATATTTTCCATGTAAAAACAACTGGAAATTTAGCAAATCTAAAGTTGTTGCATTTGATTTATTATTTTTTTCATTCAAAAAATTTTCAAGGCAAACTTGAGCAACGTGGTCGGCGTGGACTTTGACTACCAGGACAACAAGTTGTTGTACACGCAGATCCGTCCGTTCGCCCGAATCGCGTGGATGCCCAGTCGCAGTCCGAGCAAGGAGTCTGCTCAGGTCATTCTGCAAAAGGGCATCAACCCTGAGGGCATCGCCTACGACTGGACGCAGAGGAAAATCTACTGGACCGACTCGAGCAACAACAGCATCTACGCGATGAACCTGGACGGCAGCCAGCTGGTGATGATCTCGAGGGTGGAGCGGCCCAGGGCCATCGTCCTGGACCCCTGCAACGGGTCCCTCTACTTCACTGACTGGGGCCGGTTCGGAACTTCGGGCAAGATTTTCCGCACCTCCATGGCCGGCAGCTTGAAAAAGGCGATCGTGGAGAAGGATTTGGCGCAGCCCAGTGGACTGGCCATCGATTATGAGGAGAGGATGCTCTACTGGACCGACGCTGTCAGGGAAAAGATCGAAAGATCCACACTGGATGGAGATAGGCGAGAGGTAGGAAAAGACAAAATTAATTTTAATTTAATTTTTTTTTTATAGTATTAAAATCATAGTTATAGATTTGAGATGTTTTATAATAAATTTCAAGCACTTTGTTCCTGCTTTGTTCTTAATTTAAAATATTTTCCTGTAATAACGCATCATATTTTTAAATAATATAAAAAAATCATTGATATTAAGGATGATATTTGTTTAAAGATCACATCAAATATTATATAAGTGACCTCGATTCCAAAGGTCACCCTTTCCGTTAACCCGTGATTTGTGAAATTTAATTCAAATTATAACTTAAATTTTGAACATAGCACCAAATTGTCTCCCAACCTCATTGAATATTTTTATCTCTTCAGGTGTTGATTTCTGCCACGATCTACCCGTTCGCCATCACGGTGCACCGAAACTACATTTACTGGACGGACCTGCAACTTCGAGGCGTGTACCGCGCCGAGAAGCACACCGGCGCCAACCTGGTCGAGATGGTGAAGCGGCTGGAGGACTCGCCGAGGGACGTGCACGTCTTCTCGGCCTCCAGACAGCAGTGCACAGTGAACGCCTGCAAGATCAACAACGGCGGCTGCCAGCAGTCGTGCCACCCTGGACCGAACGGGACGGCCGAGTGCAGGTGCGACGAACAGTCCAAGTTGGTCAATGAGGAAAGAATGTGCGTCCCGAAAAACGTCACCTGCGACCAGGTACGGAAAATAATTCTTTTGTCAGCGCCGATTTTTTTTACTGCCGTGACAAGCGTCGAATTTTCGATCACCCGGCTTATCCGTTGTTTGGAATGCTTTAGCAAATGCGTTAAAACTTAGTTTCTGTTATTTATTGTACTCAATTTGATCCATTGGTCGTTTAAAAAGATATATGCAGAAGAATAATGACGATAATTTAATGTCTAGAATATTCAACGAACTCACTTTAAATTAAAATAATGTGCATTGAAGATGCACATTTGTATGTATTATTATTATATAAAGATTCACTTTTCACAATATAATTTCTGAATTTATTAAATTAATTTTCAATTCAATGTTCTTAGAAATAAATAATTATTATTGTAGCTTTAAAATTTTTATTTATTATTTTTTTTTTTAGAGCATTTCCATTATATCTAGTTAGAGGTTTATGAAGATAAATTAATTAATTAATCAAAGCTTTTTTCAATCCCGAGAAATCAATTATATTGATTAATGTAAAAAATCTTGCTTCAGGGCAAATTCCATTGTCGAAACGGCAAGTGCATTTCGCGGATGTGGGCGTGCGACGGCGAAAACGACTGCGGTGACCGCACCGACGAGGACACCAACTACTGCACCTTCCACTCGTGCAGTCCCACCGAGTTCCGGTGCAACAACGGCCGCTGCATTTTCCGATCGTGGCAGTGCGACCACGAGAATGACTGCCAGGACGGCAGCGACGAGCTCGGCTGCACTTACCCTCCTTGTGCTGATGGCGAGTTCACCTGCAGCAACCACAAGTGCATCCCGATGTCACAGGTCAGTCATTCAATCAAGTTTTTCAAAATTAAAAAAAAAAATCCCAAGATTTAATTTCTGTTTTTCAATTTTTCTTATTTTATATTTTATATCTGAATTGCCAAATTTATGAAAACAAAAATTCTAAAACCTTGAATAAAAAAAATTTTGTTTCATGTATGTTTTGTAATTGATGGAGAATAAATAAATAAATAAATAAATAAAATTTGACAAAATTGTTCAAATTTCAATGAATAGCTGATTATTTCTAAAAATTTGGAAATTCGGTTATTTAATAATCTCATTGAAAAAAAAAATAATTTAAATATAATTTAGATAAACTGAGCTAAATTTATGCAAATGTTTATTCATTTTAAATTTAAATCAAAATAAAGGAACACATAATTTTAGCTTTAAATCATTAAATTTTATATTCGTTTAAACGGAGATATTTATTGTATAGTTAAAAATTATTGCAATTTAATGAAAACAATTTTACATTTCTATAAAATTAAAATTTTTAAAATTGTTGTTTAAGGTTTGCAACGGAATAAACGATTGCAAGGACAACAAAACGTCGGACGAGGCCATCGAGCGTTGTCCGCGGAACACGACGTGTCCGCCAAACCACCTCAAGTGCAACCAGACCAACATCTGCGTGGAGCCGTATTGGCTGTGCGACGGCGACAACGACTGCGGCGACAACAGCGACGAAGACCCCCTGCACTGCGCCGCCAGGACGTGTCCGCCCAACAGCTTCAGGTGTCCCAACCACAGGTGCATCCCTGCCACGTGGTACTGCGACGGAGACACTGACTGCGGCGACGGAAGCGACGAGCCGCCCGAGTACTGCAAGTCCGAGGGACGCACGTGCTTCGGCGACTTGTTCACTTGCGACAACGGAAACTGCATTCCCAGGATTTACATTTGCGACGGTCAGTGCCATTTTTCGTATTTTCAACTTCTGCTAAACTTTGCTTTCAAAATTACAAAAAAAGTCCACAATAAATTGGAAATTTAAAGAAAAGATAAATATTTTTAAAAGGAACAGTATTAGTATTTTGATATTTTTTTTTTTTTAACCCAGAACCAATTTTGAGCTAAAATTTAAAAGTACATAAATTAAGCTCTTTTGTTAGTTTATATTTACAGAGGATCAAGTGCTTTTTTAATATATGCATCCTTCTCATCATAATGAATATTTTTTGTTATCCATATAAAGTTTTACCGATTTCATTGTTTGATTTAATTTTCTCAAAAACTGTTTGTTTTAAAGAAATAGAATTACTAGAAAAATTTGACTTCAAGCCAGAATTTGAGGTCAAAAAGACTCATTTTTTTATTAGTTAAAATAGGTACATAAAAATTTTTTTTCTTCTTTCTGCTGGCCGTTTTTTTTCATGTAAAGTTTATCTCATTTAAAATCAATCATTCTTTTTTATATTAATATATTTTTATCACATTTAATTTTTTTTATTTAAATATCGAGTTTTAATTGAAAATTCTCCAAAATTTCAATCTTTAATGGATTAAATTTGTTATTTGTGAAAAAATTCAAATTAATTTTTCAATTAGCAACTTTTTTATTTTACTTTGTTCACGCTTAATAAAATAATTGCGACAATTGGATTAAAAAAACCAAAAAAATCTTTTTGTCTCAGGTGACAATGACTGTCTGGACAACTCGGACGAGGACGACCGGCACCAGTGCAACGACCGCAAGTGCGACCCGGAGACCGAGTACACGTGCGCCGAAAACAAGAACTGGAACCGGGCGCAGTGCATCCCAAAGAAGTGGGTGTGCGACGGCGACCCGGACTGCGTGGACGGCGCCGACGAGAACGCCACCCTGCACAACTGTCCCAGTCCGGAGCCGTGCAGCGGCGACGACCAGTTCCAGTGCAAGAACGGCCGCTGCATCAACAAGGGCTGGCTGTGCGACCACGACAACGACTGCGGCGACGCGTCCGACGAAGGCAAAGAGTGCCAGTCGCAGTACAAGACCTGCGGGCCCTCCGAGTTCAGCTGCCAGAACTTCAAATGCATACGAAATACTTACAAGTGAGTCCAATTTCTTTTCAAATTAAACTTTTTTATTCCAAATTAATTAATTCAATTTAAAACAATTGCATTTTGTTTTCATCTTTGGGATAAAAAAAAAATTTAATCAATCTCATTGATAAATCTAGAAAACTCTAACTTTAAATAGAGTAAACGGTTAATATTTTATGCCTTATTTTGAAAGAAAGCCAAATTTCATTACCAACTTTGAAATCGTAATCAAGATATTATTACCTTTGGAATTTTGAGAGGTTATCGCGTTTCTGCGCCAAAATCTCGATAGAAAGTCTTCACAATTACAATATAAATGGGCTGTTAAAAAAAAGGTGAAAGGTGAGGCGGTTTTGAAGTGAGTGATGCCAAATTTTCGATTGCGACTTTGATATTGGTCATGAGATTTGTACTTTTTGCATATCCGGGAAATACAAAAATTTATTGTTGTTCTTTTAAAACTTTTTAATTTTTGTTTTTAAAGAAATATCTGTTTTATAACCAATTTTTTATTTTTTTGTTTCGGTTCCCTCTGAATTTATGAAATTATCTTTTTTTTCTGACAGCAAATAAAAAAATGCTAATTTCTGGATGTGAATGATAAATATTTCCTTCAAATAACAAGACATTGAAACAAAACTTTTCTCGTTTATTTGCTGGCCGAGATTTCATGCAAATTTTTGCAGGTGTGACGGCGAAGACGATTGCGGAGACAACAGCGACGAGTTCGAGTGTCCAAAGGCAAACGCGACCGGGTGCGCTGAGGACCAGTTCAAGTGTCGCAACGGCCTGTGCATCGCCAAGAGCAAGGTTTGCGACAAGAAAAGCGACTGCACGGACGACTCGGACGAGCCGGCCTACTGCGGCGTCAACGAGTGTCTCAAGCCGGAGGACAACCAGTGCGGCCAGAAGTGCGTCGACGACCCTGCAGGCTTCCACTGCGAGTGCAACAAGGGCTACAAACTGCTGCCCGACGGAAAGGCCTGCGACGACATCGACGAATGCAAAGAGGTATGTTCATATCTTTCATTCAATCGATTAGACAATCATTTTTTCATTCATATAAGACGTCCCACATCGCTCTTTTACATACTTAATATGATGTTAAATTTGGATGGGAACAATCATTTTTCATTATAATTTTATGTAAACTTCTTTATGAGCCTATGAAAATAAATGTCAATGATTTGTCAGAGACCTATTGTCACCATATGTGTAAATTAAAATATAACAAACAATTGTGACAAATTAGTTGGAAGAAAAGTGCTAGTGAGCAACTCACTGAAACTCATAACCGAGTATTTACCTGTAAAATGCACATACATCCTATCTGCCTGTTGTTTATTCTTCATTTGTTTGCGTTCCAAGTATGGCCGGCTGGATTTTGAATACCAAAGAATCAGTTTTTTTGCTTAATACTTTATTTGTAATATCGACAGATTTCCAATAATTTCATGAAACGTATAGTCCATAATTTTCCAAATTTTTCTCATTTTTCATCCATCCTCCTTGCACTTTTAATGAAGTTTTTGTCCTTTTTAAATTCGCAGGTGCCAGGGGCCTGTTCCCAGAAGTGCTCGAACACCCCGGGCTCGTATTACTGCAAGTGCGCCGAGCCATTTTACGAAAGGGCGGCTGACGAGAAAACGTGCAAGCGGAGCGACCAAATCGAGCCCTGGCTCGTGTTCAGCAACAAGTACTACATCAGGAACATGACCCTGGACGGAAAGAGGTACCACCTGACGCACAGGGACCTAATGAACACGGTGGCTCTCGACTTCGACCTCACCACTGGAAAGATTTTCTTTGCTGACGTCAGCGCCAAGACTATTTTCAGGCAAATATTTCTCATTTAATTTATAATTGAATTAAATTGTCAAAATATCAAACTATATCAATGTAAATATTTACAATTCTTAAAAATTATTTAGATAAAATCCCAATTGAATTAAATTGCAGTATTTAAATTTTAAATACAGAAACTTTATTTTAAAATAAAATTTGATAAAATTTTGCTTTTTATATTTATAATTTTTATTTTTCATTGTTTCAGGGCAAGCATAAATGGCAGTGGTCCAAAGGAGCCGATCATCAGGCACGACAGCCACGGATTGGAAGGTCTGGCCATCGACTGGGTGGGCCGCAAGATCTACTGGCTTGACAGACACTCAAGACACCTGGACGTGTCTGAGTTGGACGGCACCAACCGCAAGACCCTGAGGTCGGGCATCGCCGACCCTCGGGCCATCGTGGTGCACCCTGGCAAAGGGTACCTGTTCTTCACCACGTGGCACCTTCAGGGCTACATCGGCCGGATGGGCCTGGACGGCTCCAACTTCACCTACCTGCTCAACTGGGAGGACGGCGTGGCGTGGCCCAACGCCCTGGCCATCGACTACTTCAGCGAAAGGTTGTTCTGGGCCGACGCCCACCTCGACTACATCGCACACACCGACCTGAACGGCAAGAACAGGCACAGCGTCCTCTCAGGCATGAAGGTGCCGCACGTCTTCGCCCTGAGCGTCTTTGACGACAAACTCTACTGGACTGACTGGAACCTGAAGGGCGTCCTGAGCGCCAATAAATTCACCGGCGCCGAGTACACCGTCCTGGTCAACACCACGCACAGGCCCTACGACCTCCACGTGGTCCATCCGATGCGGCAACCGCCCTTCTCCAACCCCTGCGGCAGGAACAACGGCGGCTGCTCCCACCTCTGTCTCATTTCACCAGCAGGTTAGATTGATTGTCAATTCAATTCTTGTATTTTAATTGTCTAAAATTCTTAAGACTACGCCAAATGAAATTAATCTCTTGTGGTTTTATTTGTTTTATTTGTAGAATAAGTTTTTGACCATTTTTCTAATGTCATAAAATTTTTACTCTTTATGTCAGGCGAAGGCGCTGTTTCGTACAAGTGCGCGTGTCCGAACCAGTTCATCCTTTTGGCGGACAACCGGACGTGCCAGGCCAACTGCACGGCGGGTCAGCACCGGTGTGGCGGCGCCGACGAGAAGTGCATCCCGTGGTTCTGGAAGTGCGACGGTGAGAAGGACTGCGGCGACGGCAGCGACGAGGAGTCGTGCCCGAAGCGCACGTGCCGCAGCGGCAGTTTCCAGTGCGCCAACGGCAACTGCACGCCGACGGCCACCATTTGCGACGGCAACGAGGACTGTCTGGACGGCAGCGACGAGAAGAACTGCGACCTGCCCTGTCCCGAACTTGAGTTCAAGTGCGCCAGCAACGGCCGCTGCATTTTGGACGCTTGGAAGTGCGACGGTGACGCCGACTGCAAGGACGGAAGCGACGAGGATCCACGAATTTGCCGTGAGTTCCAAATTTTATAATAAGATTTTATACAGCATTTTCCTCTTATTAAATTTTGTTACTGATAAGAGGAACAGTTCTTATTGTTATACCAAAAGAAAAATATATTATATTCTGCAAATTCAAAATCACAAAAAATGTTCTACTGATAAAACTGAAATCCTAAAAATTGGATTTCTCCACCATTGAAATATTTATTGGCAGCGTTAATAATTATAATCAACAAAAGTTATTAAAAATATTTTAAGGAAAATTCAGTTACTGGAATTTATAGGGTATCAACATTGCACTGATTTTTCTTGTTATCCTGATTTGCATGTTTTGACTTTGAGCTGCAGCCATTTAATTCAGGAGCTCTGAATTAGCTTGACAAAAATTAGAATAAGAATTTTCTTCTAAAAATGCTGTTTTGTTAATAAATATGTTTAGCTCAATATTTTTTTTCATTTTAAAATTTTAAATTAAACTTAACGTGTACGTTCAACTTGAATTACAGATAACCGGCAGTGCAACACCGAGACCGAGTTCCAGTGCAAGAACGGCCGCTGCATCCCGAAACTGTGGGTTTGCGATTTCGACAACGACTGCGGCGACGACTCGGACGAGCCTGCATACCAGTGCAGACAAAGAAACTGCACCACCGGTTGGCAGAGATGTCCCGGACGCACCAACTACCGGTGCATTCCCAAGTGGCTGTTCTGCGACGGCAAGGACGACTGCAGAGACAATTCGGACGAGCTGCCTGAAAACTGTCCGGCCTGCGGCAGTCAGGGCGACTTCCGGTGCAACAACAACCGCTGCGTGCCCAAGTAAGAGAATATGAAATTATCTTTAGTAATTTACAATTAAATGCATGAAATTTTTGAATTATTTTCATTATTTCAACAGTTTCAAATCTTTTTAGAAGTGAAATTTAAAGAAAATCCGTCAATTTAGAATAATGACGGAAAAAGTTAAATAAACTAAATTTAATTTTTAGACGCTGGTTGTGCGATTTTGAAAATGATTGCGGTGACGGCTCTGATGAAAATGAAGAGATGTGCCGCGGAAAGTACAGGGAGTGTTCAGAATCAGAATTCAGGTGTGGAAATGGCAAGTGCATCCCTAGCCGGTGGCAGTGCGACCATGACGACGACTGCGGGGACAACACAGATGAGGCTGACTGCACTGGATTCACATGCAAAGTAGGTTTTGATGATTCAAATAAAGAATAACAATTTTTTACAGAATTTTTGGAATGGAATTAAAAAATTATTTTTATATTATATTTTAACGGAAGCAAATAATTTTTTTCCATTGTAAATTAATTTAAAAATTTGATTTTTTAGAACAACACGTTCCAATGTGCAAGTGGGCATTGCATCGCCTCATATTTCCGATGCGACGGTGATCGCGATTGTCGCGATTTGAGTGACGAAATGAACTGTCCACCGCGGTTCCCGAATGGCCGCTACTGCCCTGAGAGTATGCACGAGTGCAAGAATCACCTTTGCATCTCGTTCTCCGACCTTTGTGACGGCGCCGACGATTGTGGGGACAACAGTGATGAAAGCGACGATACTTGCAGTAAGTTGAAAATATTTCAAAAGTTATATATTTAATTCCTTATTCAATCTAAGACAAATTTTTGCTGAATTTTTATTTAATTTTTAATTTTGAAAGCTGAATTAATTTCTTGTTTTAAAAAAGATGATTTTTTTTCAATTTTTTTCCACAGCACAGTATATTAGCAAATGGAATGACACATAAATTCCAAGACTCTATTTATTTTCAATAAGGGCTTTCAAATGTTTGATCTGGAAAATCTTAAACTCTCAAGGTTGTTTCTGATATTTTTTATAGAATTAATTATTTTCAAATTTCTGTGCTTGAATTTAAGAAATGGTTCACTACATGAAATTTTTTGATTCAGAAAACTTTGAATGTGACGCGGTGAGGAAGTTCCAGTGCAACAACCACAAATGCATTCCGCGGTACCAGGTGTGCGATGGCGTGGACAACTGCGGCGACGGCAGCGACGAGAACAACATGACCATTTGTTCGTCGCGCGCTAAACCATGCAACCTTTACGCTGAATATCAATGCGCCAACCGCAAATGCGTCGACAAGAGCAAAGTGTGCGACTTTGCCGATGACTGCGGCGACGCCTCTGACGAGCTCGGCTGTCGTAAGTGCAAAATTTGAGTTTTTCGGGGGAAAATTTAAAAGCAAATTTGAAAATAAAAATAGACAAATGGTTTCCTTGGAGAGAGGACTTTTTCCGTTACAATCTTAGTTATTACAGAAAGCGTAAGATTTTGGCAAATTTTAAAAATTTTGACAAAATTCTGTGAATTTGTGAAAAACGTTTGTTGCAATTTCGCAGATCATTCAAAGACTTGCTCTGAGGCAACCAAGGGTGGCTGCGAGCACCACTGCATGAATCTGACCGACGGCGGCTACATTTGTGCCTGCTACTCTGGATTCATCATTTCCGCGGACAACAGGAAAAAGTGTGAAGGTAAAATATAGGCTTAATTTTAATAACATTAACCAAAACAGGAGAGTTCAATAAATTGATTCTTAAGATATAAATTTGTTAACTAAAATTTGAATTTTGTCACAATTGTTTATATTTAATTTAAAATTTATTGAACGTTATGAATTCTGCTTTTTGTAGAAATATTATATTTTTTTACTGGACTTATTTGAGACCTTCTTACATTTTTTTTGTTATTTTAGTTAATATTCTTCTTGCCTAATAAGATGAACAGAATTAGCACAAACTTCAAGCAAAAAATTTAATTTTTATTGAAATTTTTTTCAACAGTTTAAATTTAAAAAATATGGTATTTTTATGATTTGTTTTGATAAAATAAGAATGGAAATTCCAATTCTGCGTGATGGTTTTTAAAAACTTTTATGGTCATAAAATGGATTATTTTGTCCAAATTTTTCGTTGGAATGATATTAAAAAATTGCTATTTACTATTTTTCCAGACGTAGACGAATGCGCCACCTTTGAAAACAAGTGCTCGCAACTGTGCACGAACCTGAACGGATCGTACGCGTGCAGTTGTCGGCCAGGCTTCGAGTTGTCGGACAGCGGTGTGTGCCGCAGCAACGGGCCCAGCGTGTCGCTGCTGCTGGCCAACGGTCCGGGCATCCGCTCGCTCGAGCAGCTGCAGAAGCGCGAGTCGGACGTGGTGGTCGGCGAGAAACGCATCGAGGCCGTCGACTTCAACCCGCGCACCGAAATGATCTTCTGGGTCGACTCGTTCGACAAGACGGTGCGCAGGTCGTACATGGCCGGCGCGCAGGGAGGCAACGCCAAGATCGGATTCGCGCAGGACCTCAGCATCAAGGGCAACGGAAAACCATCCGCCCTGGCCGTCGACTGGCTCGCCGAGAACATTTACTGGACTGAAATGGACAGGTACTGTGATATTGCCAATCAAAACTGTGAATTTACAAATTAATTTACCATTTTACATCATGCCGAGTAAAAAAATTATAATTCCAATGTTCCATATCTTTGGAAACTCTCATGAAAAATGGATTTTACAAAAAAATTATATATCATTTTTTGTTAAATTTATAATATTAAACAATTCATTTATTAAGTACTGTCTAAATGTTAAGAAATGATCAATAATTGAATAATTTTGGAGTTATAAAATGAAATTTACTTTAAAAAAATGTCCCTTTTTTAGAAAAAGAAATTTTCAAATTAATTCATCGATATTTATTTCCTTGTTTGCAAACAGAAACGGCCCGAAAGCGAAGGGTCGCATCTTGGTGGCAAAGACGGACGGTCGGTACAAGCGGTCGTTGGTAACGTCGGGTCTGGAGAACCCGTCGGCGATCGCCGTGGACCCGGTGCGCGGACGCATGTTCTGGGCGGACGCGGGCTCGTCGCCCCGCATCGAGGCCGCGTGGATGGACGGCAGCAAGCGCAAGGCCATCATCACCGAGGGGCTGCGCCACCCGATGGCCATCGCCATCGACTCGGCCCTCGGCCAGCCGGCCATCTACTGGGCCGACTCCAAGGCGGACACGATCGAGTTGGCGCGCCAGGACGGCACCGGACGCACGGTGGTGCTCCGGGGCGCCGCCCTCAAACACCCGGTCGCCCTCGACGTCTTCGAGAGCGAACTCTTCTGGGCCACCAAGGACTCGGGCGAACTCCTCAAGCAGGACAAGTTCGGCCGCGGCGTGCCCGTCACCCTGGCCAAGGACCTTGTCAACCCTTCCGGAATCAAAGGTCAGTCAAACTTTCCCAATTATAAAAAACGAATTTAAAAAAAGAAATATTGTATCCGAATGGAGAATAAATAAATAAATAAATAAAGAGGAATTTTTAAAAAATTAAAATCTAAAGTTACAATAACGGTATAAAATATTATATTTGAAAAAAACTTTTCGTTTTTTTTCTTTAAAATTTTGAAGTTAAACATATTTTTTAAATTTTAAAATCACCACAAAATGAGCAATTTTGTTAGTTGAGAATAAATAAATAAATTTTGGAATTTACCTACAATTTAAAAAAAAAAAACTTAAATATGTTTATTTTTATTTAATTCTGACGATTAATAATTAAAAACTTGCCATTCTTTCAGCTTACCACCCTCAAAGGTACAACACGTCTGCCGCAGACAGATGCAACGGTTCACCTTGCAGCCACCTTTGCCTGCTGGTGCCCGGCGGCTATAAGTGCGCCTGTCCCGACGGCGCTGTCCAAAGACCGGGCAGCAACGAAATTCACTGCGATGCTCGTAAGTTTCATTTTTATCAGAGTGTATTTACTGAAGATTCAAAGAAAATTGAAAATTATTAAAATATTTTATGTGAATCAAATGGAAACATTGAACAAACTGGCTGCATATTAAAATGAATTAATTAAAACTCAAATATTTAAATTTAACCGACTTTATTTTGTTAAATTGGAAAAAACTTGTTGATTTTTTATTCAAAATTAAAATTTTGAATGTGTTTTTATTTTTAGCATCTGAACGTCCAAGGCCGTCGCCGCGAATTTGCGAATGCCAGAACGGAGGCGTTTGCAAGGAATCGAAGGACGGCGGCGTTCTCTGCGAGTGTCCACCCGACTTCCAGGGCGACCACTGCCTAGACCACGTGGCGCGCACCAAAGTGCCAGGCGCGGACTCTCGTTCAGCCACCATCTTTTACCTTCTGCTCGTCTTGGTGCTCATTCTGGCCGGCACCGGAGCAGCCTTTTTGATCCTGAGGTAAATTTATTTGTGACAGTGCTTTTTTCACAATTCATTAAAAGTTAGTTTCAATTTGGGCAGGGATGAAAAAAAATTGGGGGAGAGAGAGCATCACGTTTTTAATAACAAAAATAATATGAAGATCTTCACCAAATTTACAAAAATTTTATATTCATATTTATTGGGTTTTTTAGTTAAAAAAAAAAAAATAATAATAATTATAGTAATAAATAAAATCTGGAATATGAGCCACAACTTGGTTTAATTTTTACAAAGAGAGGGATAAAATGTTATATTATTCTTTCATTTTATGAACAGAGAAAAACTTTGATGGATTTTTTTTTGCCTTGGTAAAGAACAAACACGTTATAAAATTTCATGATTTTCTATTCAAATATTTCAAAATCTAACAATTCTCTAATTGCGCCTGATTTCAGGTACCGTCCTTTTGGCAAGGGCAGCATGTTGGGGTCAACGCAGAGCGTCTCCTTCCGTCAGGGCACCAACGTCGAGTTCGGCGGTCCGATGGGTGGCGGCGGCGGCGCCGCCGCCGTGGGTGGCGCCGAGCCGATGGACGCCGCGTACGACATGGGCGAGTTGTCCGAAGGCAAGACACGCAACTTCAGCAACCCGATGTACGACGCGCTGGGGGCGGGCAGCTCGGCGGGGGGTAGCGTGGGCCCGACGGGCATCTACGAAGTGCCCGCCGAAGTGGTCGCCGTCAAAAAGGCGCCGGTCTTCGAACCGCCCTCAGAGGTGGTGGCGCCGCTGGCGTCGCAACGGGCGGCGGCGGCCGCCGGCAAGACGACGCCGCCCCTCAAGAGGCGCGAGTTGGACCCGACGCCCATTGACTCGGGCAAGGACACTCAGAAGTTGGTGGTAGAGGAGGACGCCTCCTCTGAGTGCTGATTTTTTTTGTTATTATTTCTAGCGAGGAAATCGTTTGTACCACTTATTTAATTATTTGGAGATGCCGAGTTTTTTTTTTTTAATTTAAAAGTGGGCCTTTGAAATTTTATTTTGCCATCTTTGAATGTATGTTTTGTGCCAATAAAATCGAGCAGTATTTGAAAATTTGACCAACTCGCGCATCTTGGCCAAGATCTTTTTGTCTTCGAGCACAATTCCAATAAAAATGAGACACGATATTCTAATGTTGAACAAATAAACGCATGAATGACTTATTGGAGAAGAAGGGTGTTGTTATATCCATAAGATCTATTGTTGATATTATTAATTTGCTGGTTGCGGTGTATACGTGAGAGCAAGAGACGCAAGTGAGACAGAGATTTCTTTTCATTGGGAACTTTCGGAAACATTTTTTATTAAATCCAACAGACCTGGAAGTGAATTTGAAACTCTGAGCTTTTTTAATAACACACTCGGAAAGAAAAAAGTTAATTTTCCGAAAGTTTCCAAGCCTTTTTCCATGATAATTATTGTTGTTTGTAAATAAAATTTAAAAGAGAAAACACAAAACTTGTATTGTTGAGCGCAAAATTACTGTATAACATATTGTCAATTATATTTTATAAGATTTTATATACAAAAGAAGTAAAGAGTGTTTGTAATTTGACCGAAGCAAAGTATTATGAGGTAAATTTTGAATGTTTTAAAACCGTGGCATAATTACGTTATTGTTTTGCGAAGCATCAAAAAGTATTATAGATTTATAAACAGACACGCGTGCATTTAATTGTTACTCCAGAAACATTCTGATTTGTGCAAAGAATCTGCTACGGCTCAAGGAACTTTTTTGTTACTGTGAATAATCGTTTTTAATTATCTGTGCCGCTAATTTTGCAAACACGCATATTTTGGCAATAAAAAAAAATGAAAATTATATATTTAAAAAATAAAATTATTAGTATTTGATTAAAATTACATTAAATACCCTGAAGTTTTTAATTAATAAATATATAAAATTTCAGTTTATCATGGTCATGTTGACATCATAATATTTTTTTCTTTATTCAATCGATTTTTGGAACAATTATTTAAATTTTTTGCCATCAAAGAACCAGTTGATCAAAGCAATCAAAATATCATCTGAGTCCATTATACTCTTTTTAAATTTCAATTCCTCAAATAGATTAAATTAAATTTCTGAAATATAGAAACCATTATTGATAATAAGTGCATCCGGAGTTTTACATATACTATTTTTTAGTATGGTCAATTCACTCAAATATATATTTTGAATAAAAAACAGTATTAAAAAATTTCTCGCTTGTTAATAATAGCAAAAAACTGCACTCCGGAGTTTATTTTGGTGCGCGCACCAAAATGCATAGTATCAACGAAAGTAGGTCACGGTCCTTTTGGCGGGGCGTGCGCAAAGCAGCGAATTTTACTATGCCTGCCTGGGCCAACCACATCTGTGTAGTAACAGCAGACGCGGCTCGCGGTGCTCCTCGTTGGCGGCGGAATTGCGCAGCAGCTCGGTTGATCTCTTTTTTCAGTCTGCGGGCAGATTGGATTTCCTCCAATTTCCAAGAGAAAAATGCTGCAAGCCATCCAGGTGCACGCCGAGGCCGTGCAGGACAACTACGAGTCGCTGCACGCGCTGTCCTGTCAGGCGTCGGCCGAGGACATCAGGGCCATGTCCGACAAGATGCACGAGGACCCCGAGTCGCTCCATAGGATTTGCATGCCGCTGCTCACCACGCCACTCCACCACGCGGCAGCAAGTAAGACCCGATAATTTTTAAAAACATTTTGATAAGAAAAATTTCATTGAAATTTCCAATTGGAATTAATATTGGAATTTAGTTATAAATAAATATTTTATAATTCAAAGAAGAAAAAATATATAATAATTGAAATTAATTTGGTTTAATTTAATTAATTTCGGGTAAAAGGATATTTCGTTTGAAAAAGTAAACAAAATTTATGAATTAATTAACGACTTTGTAAAAAAAGTTACAAGTTGTAATTAGTAAAGCTTAAAATAAAAAAAGGAATTAAAATTCTCATTATGTTCTTAAAGTTAAATGAAAATTATAAACACTTGAATAATTTTATCCTTTTAATTTAAGTGATCTTTCATTTTTTTTTTTAATTATCAGTTTTTGCATAAAATTTATTCTGAAATTAATTGTTCTTTTATTTTCATTAATAATAAGACAAATGTAAATTTGTAAACTTTATTATTTTAATTATTATTGGTGATTTGAATTTAAAATCGGCTTTTCCTCGATGGGTTTTTGTGAGTTGTTTATTGTTTAAGAAAAAACAATATCCTGCTCTACATGTTTCGGCTGCGGGCTGCAGCCATAATTCATGAGCTGCGAAAACATTTTGACAAAAATTAGTACAAAATTAAATCTTTTCAAAAATTATTTTTCTTTCAAATTGACAATTTTCATGAAAAATTATTTAAATTAACATTTCTTCACAAAATAATTTTTAACATAAAATTTGACATTTAATTAAAAATATTTTTTAAAACATGAATTTTTTATAGTAATTTTGGTCAGAATATTTAAACGTGTGTTTTTGTTATTATTGTTTATTTTTGCTGAGATTTAATTTTGATTGAATTTCAATAAATTTTATAATATTAAATTTTTTAAATTAATAAAAAAATAAACTTTGTCTATAATTCTGCATTTTTTATGATCTTTTTCATTTTCAAAATTGAACTTCTTCAGGAGGACACAACGCGTGCTTGCATTTCCTGCTTGGCAAAGGCGCGCGGCCCAACATCGAAGACCGCACCGGCTGCACCCCGCTGGAGACAGCGATCAGCCACAACCACGAGGATTGTGTCCGGGCGCTGCTGGCCCACGGTGCAGACCCAAACTTCCAGTCCGAGTCCAACTTCAGACAGAGCCGCACCAGGTGCCTCACTAAAGCCTGCATGGACGGCAAAATCAACATCGTCAAGGTCTTTACGATTTTAAAATTATTGCAAAAAATTCACATTTTTCAATAATTTCAACAATGAACCTAAATTATAAAAAAAAGTGCAAACCAAAAATAATGAATAAATCTTTGGAAAAAGACTGAATGCAAAGAGAAGAATTCTTCGTATAAAAAAGGAAAAGTGGGAGCAACCCCGTGGCCCAGGTCGATATTCTGGGGACTCTAATGGGCTGTTCCTTGAAACGAGCCCTGCAAAGTGCATGCGCCGGGAAAGCCGACACGTGTCTGACCGAGTGACGTAATTTGTGCAAGGCCACGAGCTAAGCGCAACCGCGGGCCAATGTCAAGTTACGCAATTCCCAGATACCAAGAATTATAGATTTGAGGGAAAAGTCTTAACTATTAATTATTACTATTTATATTGTCAAATAACCGGTTTGCAGAAACTAGAAAAAATAGAAAAAAAAGATCAATTAAATTAAAATAAAAAATTATTATTTGTTACGAGAGCGTATAACGGTCTAAAAGTTTCACTAATAATTTAAAAATAAATTTTATTATTATCATTGTTTATTCTTCACAAGTAGTCATACATGAAATCGAAAAAAAAAAAATTATTTTATATTTTACCAAAAAAAAAAATTAAAAAATATTATACAACGAATACACTGTGTCGGATGGGGTCATTTTGATCGTGGAAGTTTTGTCAAAATCCTTTCTTTTTTTGTCCAACATTTCATGTTCCTCTTCAAAAAAAGTGCTTTTCTTTCATTCATTAAATTTTTAAAACAATTTAAAGACAAATTTAATTTAAAAAAAAAAATAATAAAAAAAAAAAGAATTTTTCAATGAAATATAGATACACGAGAATTCCAGTTTAATTTGTTTTAAGATGTTAATTGGAATGTTTTTGTTAGATGTTGTTGGAGGCAGGGGCGGTAGTGGATGACGTGCCCCCCGACGCCCCCGACTACCTGCTGCTCAGCCCATGCAGTTTCGCCGTCACCTATGGCAACCCTGAAATTTTGCGCCTGCTGCTCTTCCACGGTGCCGTCACAGATTTGGGTCAGCTGCCTGAATGCAGCGACCGGCACCTGCTGGTGCTCAAACACCTCCTTCCTCACCTCGCCGTTGCTCACAAGTATAACAATTGAAATAATTTAAATTGTAAATTTTAATTGGTTTTTATGAAGAATGAGGAACGGATACGAGGCGACAAGGTTGACCATCGAGATTTTGAGAAAGTTCGGTGCTGATTTCTGCAAAAAGGACCAATACGGAAAAGCACCGAAGCAGATTATTCAAATTTTGAAAAACTCGCACATCTGTGACCAGTTTGATGACAAAATCGACGAGTACCTTGACGAGTGTGGTGAGAAATTTTATTATTCATGATTAAAAAGTCTTATCTTATTCATATTTTCAATTTAATAACTTTTAAATAATGATAATAAAATTTTGCAGCCTGTCCATTGCCCTTAAAAGACCTCAGCAGAGTAAATTTGGTCAGAAATTTGAAGACGAGATATTTCGACGTGATTCCGAATTTGAACATCCCACGATCGCTAAAACAATTTTTGAATGACATTTGAAATTGTATAAAGCAGATTATTTATTTTCAAGAAATGAAATATCTTATAAAGATATGACAATTATTTGAGCTGAGCTCAAAACGTTTCAAGAATTTATAGGAAAATTTAAGAGAAAATGAGGAAAAAAAATGAAAAAGTACAAGAAGATCGGTAAAAATGGAAAAATTTAATTTAGACAGATTTCATCTGTTAGAAATAGATACCTGTAAAGTTAAATTTTATTGTATTATTTCTTTCTAAGTAAGTATTATGTAATTTTAAAAATATGTTTATTCCCAATTTATTTACAGTGTAAAATGTGCCTAAAAATAAGGAAAAAAATTTATGAGGCTGTTGTAAAAAGCTTAAATGTAACAAAAATTATGGTTCTTATGCTTGCAAATGATTTATTTTTAATTTAAGTATTCTCTCTATGAAAAAAATAAAATAATTTTAATCCTATTCATTTTTTATTTTACTCTCCAGTCAGATGACATACATTTAAGCAATAAGATATAATATAAAAAATAAACAGTTTAAAATATTGAAGTTAAAATTTTTTTGCTCTGATTGTGAGAATTGGTTGAGCGAGCGCCAACTTCCCCCTTGCCTGGCTGCGCGCGTACTTTCTCGCCCCGCCAAAACGATCAAAAATAGACCCCTCCCCTCTCCTGCGGACGAATGAGAAATGAGAAAGTTCCAAAACACACTCGCCGATCATCTGTTCACGTCTGGTTCTGCTTCAAAGTGATTTTTCTAAAAATATTTCGACTCTGCAGCCGAGCCGAAATTTGATTTCGGCGAACAGACCATCGAGGATTCCGAGTCCACTCCGTCAGGACGCAAAAATGTGAGCGAATCGCCGGAAAAAGTATGAAATTCACCCACGAGCAAGTCGGCAAGGCACAAGTCGACGACATGCCGATCCGCTCTGACGGCCCGACGAGACCAAACACGGTCGGCTTCGAGGTTCTGCACAGCTGGACGGACGACCTGCCCGTCTGCAGATACTCTGGTTCGTCCGAGATGCATTTATATAAATGAAAATAAAAATTTGCGGTTGTTTCAGGAGTTGGACTTTCGACGAACCAGATTTACAGGGAAGACGGATACAGGCAGGAGGACCACGAGTTCGAGGACCGGAGTTTCCACTTCCAGCTGGACGACCAGACCTTTCTCTACGGAGTCTTTGATGGACACGACGGTATCCAGGTATTAAATCCTTTAACAAATAATACGGTCAGTTTTAATATTACGTGGGTTCAACTTGAACTTGGATTAAAAGACTGGTAAGACTCTGGTTCTAAATTTTATTTATTACCTGACCCAATCGACCTGACCGAGGTTTGGACCTCTCAGCTACTCAGGGTCCAACCTAGACGAGAACCAAATTTACCCATCTAAATAAAAGATTATTTAAGATTTTTTCATCAAATGTTGTATTCCAGGCAGCGACCTTTGCTCTGCAGAGGACGGCGGCGGAAATCCTCCTCGGCCAGCTGAGTGGCAAGACTTCGGACGAGGAGATCAAGGACGTCCTTCGGCACACATTCTTTGCCGTCGAGCGAGGCTACTTTGACTCAATTGACGATAAGCTGGCTGAGAGGACCAACCTGCAGCTGGAGATTCCGCAGGGACTCAGTTCCTACGAGGCGTACCAAAAGTACCCGGAACTAGTCAACAAGCTCAAGATGCTCAACAACGACATCTCCTCCGGCACCACTGCTGTCGTCGCCCTCGGTGAGGATTGGCAGTTTTTGACAAGATCAAAATCAGTCAATGGGCCAAAATAATTTTTTACAAACATAATATATGATAAATATTGTTAATATGACTTGTTTAAAGCGTTTTGAAGATGCGAATCAAACGTGGAAAAATTTATCATGCGAGTTGACCCGAATAAGGAGCGGTGATAATTCTTTCCTAAATCATACTCTACGTTTGATTGAAAAATCGTAAAAACTCTGAAATTTATCAACCTGTAAAACTTCTAGCAAATTGTGTAAACGCAAAAAAAATTATAAAAAGTAAGAGTATTGAAAATGATTCAAAATGTACTAAAAATTTTCCTTTTATTGAGAAACAAAATGCAAATTGTTTTTAACTAAATTTTGAACAACTTATGATTTAACTACATCCATCAAATGGTTGAATGAACGAATGGAAATTTTATCCTCATAGATTGAAGCGATTAGAGTTGAAGGAAGAAATGATCATTTTTCCCAATTTTGAATTTACATAAAAAAGACCAAATTTTAAATGGCCCCAAAATTGTTCATACTCTAGTGAAAATTCTTTCCACTATGATGAAAAATTTCCTGAAGATTTAAATTTGTGGTTCATGTTCAGAAAATATTTTTAATTTACATTTCTTTTGTATCAGTTTACAGAGGGAAGCTCTATGTGGCTAACGTCGGAGACAGTCGGGCTCTCTTGTGCAAAACCGACGAGAAAGGGGTGCTCAGGGTGACGCAGCTCACAGTGGACCACGGACTGGACAACGAGGACGAACTGCTTCGTCTCTCGCAACTCGGTTTAGACGTCACCAAAATATGCCATGGTTCGAATTTGTAATATAAATTTAAATTGAAATTAATTAATTCAATTCAACCCTCAGGATCTCGACTTGGAAACCAGGAGAACACGCGGTGCCTGGGCAACTATCTGGTCAAAGGGGGCTACAAGGAGTTCGAAGAACTGGCTTGTGCCATTTCGGAGCCCGTCATTGCCGACCCGGAAATCAACGGCGGCATCCCATTGGATGAAAATAGCAGGTAATTAAATAATTATAAGAATATAAAATAAAATTATGTTCGATGAATTGGTGGTGTTATATTTGAATGAAAATTTTGCGAAAAAATTAAATGTTTATAAAAAATAAGAGATTAATTCTGTATTTGAATTTCAAGGTTTTTGCTTCTGATGTCTGATGGACTATACAAATCTCTTGAAGAGGCAACGAAAACAGAGCATGTCAACATTGACATTGCACAGATAACTGTTGAACAGGTAATTTTTCTAATTAGAGTATAATAGCAAAAAAAAAAAAAAATTGCTCAGAGGATTCATTGTCCCATCTCAAGAATGGGCTTCAATATTTGAATTTGGAATGGAAACAAATAATGTAAAGTAGTTTATTTTTTAGATAGATAGAAATCTATCCTAAAGATGGGACAGGGACACATTTTCTTGTCTCCCAAGAGGATGCTCATTTTGTAGCCTTCATTTCGGTATTTTTTTTTAACTTCGTTAAATTAAAATATTGGGGCAGAATTTCAAAATATTAATCAAATATATGATTAAATCTTTTAATGTTTTAGTTCCGGACTCAAGCCACTCTTTCTGGCGTGGCGCAGGCAGTGGTGGACAAGATTGTCCGGCAGCACCACGACATGTTTGTGGGCGGCGGCAATTGCTCGCAGCGGGACGACATCACCCTGATGGTGCGCAACTTCAACTTCCCGATGCCGAATGCGCTCCCCAACAGTCCGGTGGCGTTGCCGGCCGTCGTCTTCAACCCCATCGTCCAGCGTATCACCTACCAGGCCATCGACAGCTCCTCCACCATGCCAGAGTCCACCCTGTCCAGCAACAACTCTTACTTGCAGAGTGAGTTTGAGAATCTCAAAATCAACTTTCAGCACAAAATGCTGAATTTTGATTATTTCCAAGACTTCGGAAAGTTTAGAAACTACAAATCAATGTTGGTATTGCTTTTTTTTTTTTTTAAATTAAATATTCTCTGGAAATTTGATTCTATTACCATCTCAAGTTGTTTGTAAATAATAGATAATTTCAATTATATTTGTTTTTAAAGTAAGTTTTGCTTCAAATAGCATTTTTTTTTGTGATCTTATTTTGTATCAAATGACTAATATAATTGATATTATTTCACAGCTTGTTCTTCGAGTGAGACAAATGATAGCAGCTCAGGGCGCTACTCGAGTGGCACCAACAGTCAAGCCAGAATCAAAGCCTACGTCGACTTTTCTTCTTACTACGCCAGTGTCGGCAACGAGTCGGACCAAAATTCAAATGGCAGCTTACAATCGTAGTTCCTAACTTGTGTAAATTTTATTTATTGGCGCCCTAAAGTTATTTTGTCCGTATAGATAAAGTTTGTTGATTTATTTTATGTTTGAATAAAAAAGCTCGCATTTTATTAAAATTTATCTATCAAGACTTTTCAATTTTGTTTAGGACAGGTTTAGGAAAGAAACGAAAATTATTGCTGGTTGAATTGTATTCAGAAATAATCCTGAAGTCTACATGCAGAAAAAAAGGGATTTTTATCTTCAAATTTTCACCCTTCTCATTTTTGCGGAGAAGAAGGAAAAGCGACGAGCAGAGGTTTTCCATTAGAGAAGTCCAAAGTAGAATTGCGATTGGTCGTCAACGTTGAATTAAAATTTATTTAATTATTTTTCGGTGTTTTCAGAGGTGGCAGTTGTGCTGACTGAAGATGTGTCGGACGCAGCACTGGGCTCGTTGATTTTCAACCACGGCAGGCGTTTCTGCAGCTCGTGCCTGCATAAGAAGTTTGAAAATTAGTGTCACATGACCTGGTAGGGATCGATGAAATTATTACCTGTATCTTGGGTGACTGATGGCGTAAACATATGGGTCGATGCAGGCGACCAGTTTGCAGCACAAGGCTGGCAGCATGGACATCGTCGGGGTCAATAATGCTCTAACAAATTAATGAATTTTATTTTTATATCTGTTGCAAATTAAAAACTCACTGATTTCCAAAAGCTCCGATCAGGGCAAGAACTGCGTAGGGTGTCCAGGAAGCGACGAAAAGGGCGCAGATGCCAATTGCGGTTTTGGCGATACGGATCTCAGCAGAGGCATTTGCCTTTTCACCACTTCTCAGCGAATCCACGTTCATCTTCTTTGCCTTGAAAGTTAAAATCAATAAATTAATTATTATTTAATACTGATATATTATTCTAGATTTTAAGTGATATGCAATTTCAATTATTAAAATTCAAAAAACAGAACCAAAATTTTTATTCAATTTTTTTTTTAATTACCTGCGCCTTCAGAGCTTTTTCGTGGTTGACGACGTGGCCGACGATTTGCGAATAGAAGAAAATGATGGAGAACATCGGGATGAAGTACGAGAAGACGAAGATGAAGAAGACAAACATCTTGTTCTCCATGGTGTTGGTCAGATAGTCGAATGTGCAACTCGTCAGATAACCCTCTGCCCAAAAAGAAAGAATTAGAATAAATTACCCGCAAAAAGCAATTATTTCTAACCTGGAACGAATCGGCCCCAGTAACTGGTCAGCGGCATCAAGGTCCACGGAATAGCGTAGCCCCAGGTCAGAAGGATCATGAAGAAAACCTTGCCTTTGCTCAGTTTTCCGTCAAGGGGTCGCGAAATTGTCCTAGAAAAAAATTATAATATATTATAAAAAAAAATTAGCTCCTATAATATTTTATTACTTTCAATGAATTTTTGATTTATAAAAAAATATTAAATTAATTATAAAGACAATTTTATAATTTTAATAAAAAATTATAATGTTAGTTAAAAAGAAACCTGTATCGGTCGTAGGAAATGCAAAGGTTGGTGGTGGCCTGCAAGATTCCGGACATGGAGCCGACCGCTGCAAAAATCTGGCAGTACAGGTAGCCGAGTGCGTAGCCCTCGTGGAACGAGTTGTAGATGAAGATTGGCGTCTTCAACATCATCATGAAGTCGGCAATTGCCAGATTCACCACGAACATGTTTGATGACGAGCGCAGAGACTTGGCCCTATATGAATAAATATTAAAAAAAAAATACAGTTGAAATTAACAAGGAATGTATGCTTTTTATTTTTATTAATTAATGCCTAAATAAACAATGAACTGCTAAAATTAAATTTTGTCGCAAAATAATTTTAAATTAGAAAAAAACTCCTCATTTTAGTCCCCTTAATTCAAAGACTGACTTTCACACACTTTAAAAAAATAAGTTTGAATGGAAAAGCATATTTTCTTTAATTTCAAATTCTTACGTTCCGAAAATCCAGATGACGAGGCCATTTCCAGTGAGGGCGACGATGGTGAGGCCGATGTAGATGAGCGCCAGCATGTAGTGCCAGGAAGGGTCCGGCTCAGGGTAGGAGAGCCAGTGCTCAGGAATGTTGACCAACTCGTGGGAGGGCACATTCCAAGCTAACATGCGAGGCGCTGACCTATATCAGGAATACTAAATTAATAACTCTTTATAAATATTCCACATTTATTTTGAAAAAATTATCTGATAATTGAAGAAAATTTTAAATTGAAAACAAACTAGCGTTTTTTTTGTAATTTATAAAATACCAAAATAATTCTGGTGTAATTCTAAAAACTTTATTTTAATCTGAGCAGGGAAATTCATTTTAAAAGGTCGGCAGTGGTGCTTAAAAAAATGACTGCAGCTATACTTGTTAACAAAGACGTCACGTTTGCTAAAGAGTTTAATTATTCATTCGCACCTCACTTGACTTGACACAGAGAAAGGCGCCCATTGTCGAAGCGCACAGTTGGCACATTTTTCAGCTCGTGGCCGAGGCCAATTTGTCACACTCCAATTGATCCGACGGGTCAGGCGCGAATATAAGTAGTGCTCTTTGATTACTCAGTGACCCAACGGAGAAGGAGGCACGCTATCGACGCGTTTACGAAAACAATCGTTACACTTTTTAACCTTCAAACACATTCCGCACGACACGCGACCGTTTTATTCTAAGGGGTAAAAGTAAATTTAGTTCCGGTAAAATTATTAGGCGGAAAATATAAAAACAAGACGACTTTTTACTTGAAAATAAAGAAATAAGAATAATTTTAAGTTAGGCAATCTGCTTGTTAACCGAGCCGAGCCAGTTGCATAACTTGTCTCTCTGCAGGGGCTCCGCTTTACGTGACAGTTCTGTATTCGAGCTCAAAGTTTTGCTAATGAAAAAAGCTCGCGTGCGCTTTGTGCCGATTTTTTTCAAGGAAGAAAAATTAGCTTTAATAATTAAAAAAATTTTGCAAACTTAAAAGCAATTTATTTTTTTAAACTTTTCGTTGTTTAGATAAAAGTGCATTGAAAAAATTTAATATAATTTGGAAAAAGAATCATGAAACGGAAAATAATTATGAAATTAAAAAAAGAAAAGTTTCAACGATATTTTTATCTGGGAATTTGTTTAGTATTTAAATTTAAAATTTACACATAGCTAAATTTTTGCCAAACAGCGTGTATAATTAACATATGAATTCCGACTTGTAGTAGTCGCGTGTGTGCCAAAAGTTGAGGCTAATTATTTTCCGCCACTAATTGGGTTTGTTTGCGAGTTGCGATGCAACCGCAAAACTCGGTCAGAAACAAACACACGTCGATGCAAATTAACGCTGCTGCGCTTTATTGGTGCGGGGCCGAGCAATTTGCGCCGGCATTGAGGGTTGCCTAGTCGATAAATGGGCCGGCAAGAAGTGCGCGATTCTTGCCTAGGCGCCCACGTACGTACAAGGCCGGAAGTAATTTTAGGTTTTCCACCGACCGACCGACCGCCAACGTGCGTGATCCCTCGATATAAAGTCGCCCTGCAGCCTTAACTTACATGCACGACTTTCCTTCTTCCTACTCTCGGCGCGGCACAAATGTGAATTATACGAATCGTAAATTTTGATTTATTAACAAAGAAAGTTCAGGGCGGTTCCCTGGAGTGGAAAAATGAGACTGGAGCTCAGAATCGTAAAATTTATTGGAAATTGAAATTTTTGCAACGCTGTTTTCATGAATGAACTGAGTTTAAATTTAAATAGAAGTCTTTTTTATTGTTCTAGATATGAAAGTATGCATACTGTGGCAGAAACTGCAGTAAAAAATTTAAAATTAATATTTTTCTGTAAGCACAAGAAAAATTTTAAAAAAATCTTTATTTATAACAAGAAAATAATAATCGAAAGTTGAAAAATGAATTTAGAAAGAAAAAATAAATGCAAATTTGTTCAAAAGTTGGGCAACTTTATCAGATAATTAAATTAAAGAAATTAAATGTGTTATTCCAGTAAAAATCAAAAACTAATGCGTCACTAATGACTTTCCAGATCTTTGACCCTCGGTAAAAATAAACTAACAGTATAGGTATCTTGATTAAAATCTTAGATTTGACTCGAGATTATTCTAGTTTTTATCGTCAATTCGCATGAAAGTTTGAAGCAATGACCTGCGGTTGACATTTTTTCGGATTTTTTCCTTTACTCTTGATTTCACCGCGCGGCAAAGAATCATTTAATTTCTTCCTCATTCTCATTTCAAACCAAAATCTATAATTTGGAATTACTAGAAAAACTTTTATTTAGTTATTCTTAGAATTATTATGAAATATGTTGATAATAAAATTAAAACAAATTGCTCTTTTTACCCTCTGGATTATTAATTTTTATGAGAAAGATTTTGATGAAATACTCGTTTGGAATAATGATGGTAAAAAATGGAAAACAGAAAAGTGTTAAAGAAATATAGTTCTGCCTAGCTTAAATTGCAACAGAAGATTTATAGATCTACCCTTAAATGAAAGGAGTGTATGAAAAGCACAAGAGATAAAAGTAAACTATTAAAATTTTATTGAGCAGACAGAAAACGGCCCTGAAAATCTTCACGACCGGATTATAATTGACCCGGTGCACGAGTCAGTCATAAGTTTTGACGCAACACAAATGAATCATCGGCGGCCGAACCCTACTTTTTAAATTCAAGAACGGCATAAATTTTCCGTGACCCCGATACATATCTGCTCGAAATGTAGGCACCACTACGAATATGCGAACGGCCGAGGAAAGCAGCAAATTGATGTGAAAATCAATTGAAGGAAGAAAGAGCAAACCGCGTGCTTATTTTATATTCAATATTTTTTGTTCCAAACTCGAGGGCCTAGCACGGGTGGTTTCAACACGAAATTTAACTTCATTTGCGTCAGTGTGACTAAAAATATTTTGGATATGCAAAAAAAGGAAATATTTATCTTTTTATATTTAGAATCATTTTATAAAAGATAATTTTAAAAAGATTTTTGAAATTGTAGTTTTTTTATACTAAATTTAGGTCTTGAATGGATTGATAGAAAGTATAAATTTTCTTAAAAAGAGCAAGATTTTATTTTTAAAATTAAAAGTAAATTTTTTCTTAAAAATCAAACATTTGTTCCGAGTTCATATATGAAATAGATGCATGTACGAATTATTGTCCGAATATCAAAATCGAAAACCTTTTGCGAGAGTCGCAAAAGTCTCCAAATGAAAACAAAAATATTGAAATAGTTGAATATTCCTAAAAATCGTAGATTTAAAAAAATTCCAAAATAATTTTTCAATGAATATTCGACATGAAAAACTTGAGTGTTAGTTGTGAATTTTCGTACCTGAAGGAAGGTTCCAGGACTTGCCTGGAGACGTTTTCGTAGAGGTGCGAGAAGGCATCTGCTCTGGGCGACATGGTGGGCGCCCCAACTATAGCTCTTCTCCGGCCGAGATGACACAAATGCGTCCGATCGCATCCGCACTCGCACTTTTATCGCCCGCAAAATCCAATTAATGCCAAAACAGATCAAAATATTGTATGGGTTGTTGGCTTCTCCTTAGAAGACCCACGTGCAAATTCTCATAATTATCAAATTTATTTGAACTATTATTATGAATATTTTTATGATTTCTGACTGAAGTTTATTAAAAAGATTTTAATGTTAGTAATAAAAGTTTGCAGATAATTTTTTTTAGGTTTAGGCCCCATTTTCGCCCCCCCCCCCCCTCCTCCCTACAGATTATTGTTCTGATTAATTAATATGACCTGCATCTAGTTTTACCGGTGGCTGATGTTGATGTTTAATCCCGTGTATAAAGGGATTGCATATCACGAGGCGGGGCCGCATAAATTAATCCCATCATCGGAATACGGCATGCTCTGATGCACCTAACATGAAGCCTTTATCAAGGCCTCACTATTGTAAACAAAACGAGATCAGACGCTATAATTGGGTTATCCACAAATAAATTCAGGTGAAAATTGTACTTTTAACAGTCTTTTTCTATTTTCTTTGAAATTTATTCATGCACTTTTCTCTATTGTGAGATGTAATGCTTACCAATTAATGGGAATCAAAATAAATTAACATAATCATATTTAAAAAATTAAAGTTTAAAAATTTCAGAAAATTTGTAAATAAATTTCATGAGCAATCCCGCTGCTCACTGACCACACAAAATAATACGAATAAATAAAAATAAAGATTGATTGATCTTTACTAGGTGATTTCAATCGCGCCGGCCAAGCACAGCGGCAGTTGATGACGTCAGGCACAGTAATTGATTCAGATGGAAAATAAAAATGCTGAGCGATGTGTAGGCAAAAACATTATTAAGTCTAAAATATTTGATTTTTAAAACATTATTTTGTAACAGCTTCTCAGACGGATTTAAAAATTTTTGGAAACGGATGTGGAGTTAAAAAAACGGTGTGATTATCAATTTCTAAAATTTACTATTTCAACGGGTTTTTGTTCACTAACTAATGATATAAAATTCAGTATTAGAAGAGTAAATTGCTTTTATTTATCACTTTGCTAAGCTCACAACAATATTCTTTTCAAAAATCATTTCAAAACACAAATAATTTATACTTTTGAACAATTCAATAATTTTACTGCGTTTTGTTTGGTGATCAAATGAACTAATTACAAAATTTCAATTTGTGTGCATTAGAACAATTTTTGTGTGTTTATTATTGAACTTTATCTATATAATTCGTTTGGAATTTTTGTATTCAGTTAAGAGGCACTTATATAAAATTCTATATATCTTGTAAAAATTTTCGTTGAATTGTAATGAATTAATCTGCGTGTTAACTATATCTTTTTTCCGGTCACTTTTAATTAACATGGAGCGTCCTGCGCTTCCTGCCTTTGAAAGAGAGACAAGAAATCTGATCAAAATAAATGTACTGCGAGTTTGCACGTCATGGGGTGAGTTTAAGTACATACATTATGTTCACTGCCCATGAAGGGTAATCTTTAATATAAATTCATAGTTTTTTATATTTAACTCCAATGCCTTATTTTAGAAACCCGAAGTAGTTTTTTTTTTCAAACTCTTCCTTTTAATATATTGAAATCTCGTGATTTCTTGCATCCTTGGATATTTAATTCTAAATTTATTATTAAAAAATTAATTCATTATTGATACTAATTTTTTTTTAAATTAAACCTACATTTTATGACTTCACTTTTGAACTAGTTTGAAAAATTCTCCCCGGTATTGGAAGAATATAATAATCGTTAAATAAAAAATTGCAGATCTTCAATGTTATATTCTTAATTTCGATATTTTATTTAAAGCCATTTTTTACCTAATTAAAATTTCATCTTTTTGTAACCGAAAATTTAGAATACTACCAAAAAATACCATTTTTGTATGTTTAAAAATTCCTCATATTCATATAAAATTTAATTAACTGAAACCAAGATTAAATAAGGATATATACTGTCATTAAAAATTATTTTTTTGTATGCATAATATGCATAGGTTTTAAATAGAAAACTATAATCAATGGACCTGAATGTACAACGATAATAAACGTTTGCATAATATTTTTTACAAAACATTTCGCCCTTTTTTGAAGTATGTAACTGACCGCCATAACTTCAAATAATGAAACTTTGAATAGCTAAAAATTTGTTAATTTGTTGATCAAAACATATCGTCGTATTTTTTTTTTTAATAAAAATCTTAATAATTTTCTTCTGATCCGGCCTGAAAAATTTATTCAAACTGTTCACTGCACTTTCTGAATTTAGGAGTCTTAAAGTCGACAGTTCAAAAATTTTCGTTTCTCACACGAGCTGCACGACAAGGTCATCCTCAACCTTTTCGGCGCCGTCGACGGTGATGTTGGGCAGCGGCCGCTTCTTCCACTCAAGGCTCTGCGGCGTGTTTGGCGCCGAGCTCTTGAGACTCTTGAAGCTGCGGTTGCTGCGCATGCTGCCCCTTTTCTGCATCAACCTGAGCTGCTTGCGGACCTTGGTGCGTCTGCGCCTGATCATCTTGATGAGGACGTTGCGCGGGATGAGGCGCGGCAGGTCGCAGTGGCCCCTGACGCAGAGATAGGCGAGCGACGCCAGCGACAGCAGCGCCGGCACGGCCGGCGTCAGCAGCGACACCAGCCACGGATCGTCGACATCAGGGTCGACGTCCACGGGCATTGTCCGGTTCAACACGCGGCTGTACTGACACGGAAATTTGGCACCGACGCGGCCGAAGCGCTGCTGGAACTCGGAGCAGTTCAGGTCGTAGCCGCACCCTGCCGCGTTCACGAAAAAGCGCACCGTCCGACCTGCGACCTGATCCTCCTCAGGGTCACTCGAGTTTTGCTTCCCTGACGCATCCCCGTAAATCCGGAAACCGAAAATCTCCAGGCTCGGTGGGAAAAGTTGCAATCGGGCTGACATTTCTTGGCTCATGCCAGGTTCGAACTCGTCCACGTCGAACGCACTCAGGTTCCCCACAGCTTCCCTGACAACAGCGGTCTGCAATCACAAAAAAAAAAAAAAAACAAGATTGGAATTATTAATTTTGTTAATAACTTGTTTTATTTATAAGAAGGAAAATGAAGGGCGAGATTAGCACACAAATATTTTCTTGTAATTTATCACATTTAAACAAACGGATTTTTAAATCATCTTTTTTATATGAAAATTGAGATCTGAAATTTTGTCTAAAAGAAAATAGAAAGCAATCGTGCTGATCATTTACGACTGATTTATTACAGGAGAAACATTCGGGAAGACAGTTCAACTGTTTCAAAAAAGTCTTGGATTTTTAATTTTTTTCCCTCAATTTTTTTGGCGAAGTATTTTTATATTATAATATATTTTTTTATATATATAAAACTGAAAATGAGCATAAATTAAATTTTTCACTTTCATTCAGTTTTGCTTTACTTTATTTGATAAGGAGGGAAACAGATTGATATAATATTCTTGGAGCTTCGTATCTGCAATTTCAGGCTCGCTTTTGTATAAAAAAAAGTGTTAAAAAAATGATAAAAATAATTCGCAACTAAATTTGATTTTTAGTCAATTTCTTGGATTTGCTAACAAATTTTTAGAAATCACATCATTTTATACTGATTTATTTTTAATATGGGAGTTCGCTTGCATTTGTGCATTTTTTAACTTATGGTGCAGTATTTTTTTTTTAAATCAATTAAAAATTTTTACCTGATGAAAATTTTGAACTGTGGTCGGGGTGTCGTTGAGGTGGTCCAGGGGGTAGACTTTGACGAGGAGGTGGAAGCAGGTGTAGAGGACGGGCGGGTCGGCGCACAGGTTCTTGCAGGAGGACCAGCCCTGGCAGCGCGTCGAGCCCGAGTGGACGTAGGACTGCGCGAGGACGCACGTGTGCGTGCGGAAGTGTCCGAGGACGGTGGCGGTGAGCGGGTCAGTAACCGCCATCAGGGCAAGCACGAACAGCGAGAAGCTGACGGCGGACACGGCGGCCAGCACCTTGGCCACCAGGTCCGCCTTCCACCCCACTACCCGCTCCTCCTCGTCCGTCTCCGGATAGACCTTCGGACGGCCCATCGATGCCCCATCGTCTCAGCCCAGCCGCTCGCCGCCGACTGAACCAAGAAATGTCCTTTTTCCTTCGCGTGCGCCGCGCCAGCACCACCGCCACGCCATCTAAATTATTCAGCCTCTCTTTTCTTACCTATGAACTCGCGGGTCCGCCTGACCAATTTGCATTCTGCTGAATTTCCGTCAAAATATTATGACCGGCTTATCCCGAAGCGTGACAATGCGTTTTCACCTCACAATAAAAAGAGTGTGGTGAAAATATTATTACAACAACACGCGTTGATTATTGAATTTTCAATCTATAGATTTTCATTCATCGTGTCTAATCAAGTTTTCCGCTTTATTGTTATTGATTTCAATTTTACTGCATTGAATGAGCAGGTCATCGACTATCAAAGGCGATGCATTTAAATAATCATACATTAAAAAATATCACATAATTAGTTTTGAAAGCATACGTGGTATTTTTTCTTATTAAATTTATTTTGTTCTATTCAAATTTTATGACAAAAGAGATTAGTAGCGACACATATATATGTTTTTCGACATATTTAGCTTGTAAACCCCGCATTTTTCTCCTTTAAGAAGTTATTTTGTTGCTAAAAATTCAAAAATACCTAATTTTAGAATATCGCAATTTAAGCTAAAAAATAATGTCAAATTCTTAGAAAATAATGCATAGCAATTAGCATCAACATTGTCTTGTGTTGGAAATTATAAAAAAAGTGTTTTATTTATGCACTTTTAGCGTAAAATTGTGGGTGCAACAAATTGGATAAATTGCACCCTTCTCCAGCCCTTATTCTCACCAGAAAGACTGCGGCCCCTGGCTGACTTCAGCAAAGGCAAACCTTCGGATTTCGGAACACTCACAATCAGATACGCATCTCCAAGTGGGAATCGTTAATCAAACCCACAATCTCCGGGATGGCCATGGCTTGCAAGCGCACGCTTCATTTAGCCGCAATAGGAGAGATGATTAGTCAACAAATATTATTCCCATTCCCCATTCTTCAAACATCTGTTTTATTCAAATCCTTGCCGCCAATTTTTGTTACCGCGCATGAAATCTGCAGTGTCTGATTGGCTCGTTTCGTCGACCGAACAAGCCAATCAAGGTCCAAACACACGGCACGCCCACCACCCACCACAACAACGTAAACAAAACCACACGAGCACACGAGCACACACGAGGCACACGAGCAACAAGCACACGAAGCACACGAAGAACTTCAATAACTTTTTATGTTACTAATAATAAGATAAGCTGACGGTTGACTGTTGACTCTTGCCAGAATTATTCTGGTTTGCGAAGAAATTTCTTGTGGAAATCATATTTAACCTTTAACTGCATAAGTTTGACAAAATGTCTGTCCAGAGATGGCTGAAATATACTACCTGTAAGTTTCTCAAATATATTATAAAATCAAAATGCGCACAAACAGAGCGTCGTTGCTTGTGTGTATCTACTGCAGTGTACTATATAATGTACACGCGTGCAGAATATCACTAAAAAATATTATTTTAATTTAGTAAATTCTGTTTTTTCGGCAAAAAGTAAAATGAAATTAATTAATTTTTGCAGGTCGCTCAACAAAAAGGTCCTACACAAATTTACCCACTGGCAATAATGATTACTCAAATGCAACGATAAATCTGGATGAAAGCGATCGTGATTCTGTGATTGAGGTCAGTCCGATCCGGGCAACATCCTCAAAAGACAATGTTTTGAGAGTTTGCAGGACACAAAGCAGCAATGCCCCTCTCTTTGTCAATGCCAAAAACACAGAAGCAAGCGTTAAAATTCCTGACTTCCTTGGCCTTGCAGAGGTAAAGGAAGACTTCACAATAATAAAGAATGACACATAAATTAATTCACTACATATCTGACAATTTTATATTTTTCAGGGTCCTTCAAAGAAAAAGAAGAGAGTTACAAGTCAGAGTGTATCTCCTGCTAAGCCGGCTCTAAACAGGTTTTACAAGAGTTTTAAAATAAATGGTTCAATAAGCCAAAAAGAAAATCCTTCCTTTTTTAGAAATGTCGCCAAAGCTGCCTTAAAAAATCTGCCAGAAAGTCAACATCAAATTCCAAAGGCACCAGCAGGCAAAATGAAAAATACGGCTGGAAGGAAGAGAAAAAACTCGGATACTTCGGTACAATGCTTGGTATGTCCAGTCCATTCTTAGAAAGAATAAAATATTTTACTTTACATCAAGGTCCGTTCATCAGCAACAATGAAAAATGATTTGATTGTTGTTTGAGCTGTCTGATTGGTTACAATTAAAATTGTACCCAATCAGAGAGCTCGACAACAATCGAAATTTTCTGACGAGCGGACCTTGCTTTACATTAGGATTTGGTCGACAACAAGGGAAGTAAGATCAACGGCAATCAGATTGCACCGACTCAGAAGGCTCCAAACGTCAAGAGGTTTGAAACTCAATTTGTAATTTCAAAATAACATTCAGGATAAAAAATGTTTTTCAATAGGCCGCCCCTCAAAGCCAAGCGTAGAAACCAGAACTGTAGCCTTCCAACAGAAAAAGCTTCTCCAAGAAAAGAACTGCCAAAAGCTCCACCTTCAGTTCCTCTTAAACCACAACGAGATAATGATGATGATGACTGTATTGTAAGCATCTTTCTCTTTTTGTTAATTTTTTTTGTATAAAAATCGTGATTAGGTAATTTGGGAATCTGCTGATGTGCTCTGTCGTTCTCAAAACATTGCACCAAATGTGGCCAAGAACCTGGTCACCCTGTTTGACAATGAGAACACCATTCCTTTCATTGCTAGATACAGGCGTGGTCTAACCAATAATATGGAAGCTGAGCAACTTCGTATTGTTAGGGACGCCTACGAGGAACTGAAGTAAGAAAACTGAGAAAACCTTTTAATGTGGTATCAAGGAAATTAACTAACAAAATTATCTGATTTATTGCAGAATTGTTAGAGAAAAGGCTAAGACTGTCATTAACAAAGTCCGTACATCTGGACAGCTGACAAAAGCTTTAAAGAAAAGAATTCTGGCCACGAAGAGCATCTCCGAACTCGAGGACATCGTAAGTTTTTTAATTTATTTAATGCTTTAATACGATCCTAGTGATTCTTCTAGATTATTTTTTATTACTGATTTACTTATTCTTGTATTATAAATCCTTCAGATGGAACAGTTTAAAACTCCTGGAAAAGGGACACTAGCTGAAAGAGCGCGAAGTGTCGGTTTGGAAGAGCCAGCTTTGCAGCTGCTTCATGGAACTGCCCATGTTGATTTGTACTCTTTGGTTCAGCCAAATACAGATGGACTAAAAAATGTCAAGGAAGTTGAGCTTGGTCTGCAGCACATTATTGCAGAGGTAGTTAGTAAACACGAAAAGGTTGGTAAAAAAATGTGATTTAAAAGTCCATTTTAGAATATTGTATGCGGGCTCAATCAGATTTTAGAATTCTCGAGGAATGGACGCAAAGGTGAATTTTACATCAAGAGCAAAGAGATGAAAATCACAAAAAAGTCTTTGCTGGACAAAAAGAAGCATGAGAAGAATGTCCACAAGTTCAAAGAGTTCTTTGATTACAACAACAATGTCAAGAACATTCGGCCACACACGGTTAGGAATAAAGTTGCAATATTTTGTAAAGTTTAATGAGGAAACTTTCTAACAGACTATGGCTTTAAATCGTGGTGAGAACTTGAAGATACTTTCGGTTAAAATCGAAGCACTGCCGATTGTGAAAACATTTTTCAACAGACTCTGTCAAGGAGTATTTTTGAGCTCTGGCGTTTCAAGTGCAATGCGCTGGAATATTTGCAAAGCAGCATTTGAAGATGCATGGGATAGACTTGTTTTTCCCGCTATTGCTAGACAAGTATAGTCAATTTTTTAAATTTGCTAAATCATTTATTTGTTGCTGATTTTTAGACTAGAGCCGAGTTAACAAAAAAAGGGGAAAAGGAGAGCTTGGACGTGTTTGCTTCAAACCTCAAGCAAATTCTACTGGCTCCTCCTCTAAAGGGTGCCACAGTAATGGGCATGGATCCTGGATTCTTGAACGGCTGTAAAGTTGCTATCGTCAGTCCCTCGGGAGAGGTGAAGCACACAGATGTTATTCATCCTCCTCTCAATGGTTGGCTTCAGAAATATGTCATATTCAATGTATTGTTCAATGATATTGCTTACAGAAGGAGATCCATTTGGACCAGCTGCTAAAAAGGTTTGTGACATGGTCAAGAAGTTTGGTGTCAAGGTTCTTGCTTTGGGTGACGGTACAGCAAGTGCAGAAACAAGTGCCTGGTTAGGCAGTTTGATTGAGGCCAAAGCGTTCCACCCACTAGACGTTTCCTATACCGTGGTTTGCGAGAGAGGCGCCTCGGTCTACTCTTGCAGTCCTGTAGCCAAAGAGGAGTTTCCCAGCATGGACCCCAACAAAATAAGCGCAGTTTCCATTGCCAGACGCCTTCAGGAACCTCTAGCTGAGCTGGTCAAAGTAGAGCCTAAACACTTGGGGGTAAAGATTTTGAGTTTGCGATTCCTTAAAAATCTTTTAACGCCTAATTTCAGGTTGGTATGTACCAGCATGACCTGCCAGAATCAAAACTGAAGTTGACCTTGGACGAAGTAGTACAAGAGTGCGTCAGTTTTGTTGGAGTAGATGTGAACACTGCATCATTGTACTTACTGCAACGAGTGGCTGGTCTCAACGAAACCAAGGCCAAAAATCTTCTCCAGTGGCGAAATGCAAACGGACCCTTTACATCTCGTCAGCAACTTCTGGAGGTTAAGGGCATTGGTCCAAAAGCCTTTCAGCAGTGTGCAGGATTCATCAGAGTCATTCCTTGCAGCAGAGCAGGATCCTTGACTGAGAACAAAGTTTTTAATCTTAACTTTTTTTATTGTTTGGTCTCTATGATAGGCTTTTTTTATAAGTCGCAGGCAACTTCGAAAACAAAAGTCAAAATAGAAAAGGGCATCATGCCTAATCTATTGGATAGCACTAATGTCCATCCCGAGGCCTATTCGTCTGCCTTAGAGTTGATGAAACTGATAGGTGTTGAACTTGAAGACCTTGGAAAGACTGGATTCATCAGAAGCATAAATAAGTTTCTTCGGAGAAAAGGTTAAATTTGAATTTTCTCCTTGTATTTAGCTCATTATTGTGTGTTTTAAAAAGACATGTCAAGGATAGCAAAGAAAATCAAAGTGGAGAGTGAACAGGCTGTCTTGCAGCTGGCTGAAGCACTGACTCAGGGGCCAGCGTACGACATACGAGTCAAGAATTCTGGGCCAGTTTTCCGAAGGGGCTGTACCAAAATTGAGGATGTCAAATGTGGAGAAAATTTTACAGGTGAATACTTCCAAGAGACTTGCCAATAAAAAATATTTATTCTTATCCCTTCAATGAAACAACAGGCTCTGTGCAAAATGTCACGCCATTCGGTGCTTTCATTGACATTGGTGTAGGGACAGCAGGACTGTTGCACACAAGCAAGATGAGAGGAACGGCTTTGCAAGTTGGGCATAGAGTGGAGGTTAAAGTAATGACTGTGGATTTGCAAAGGAAGCGAATTGGGCTTGATTTCCAGTACCAGTAACAGATTTGTAATGACAACGATCATGTCGATCTATCACACTGACCATGAGACATTAAAATACATAAAGGATGATATTTATTTTTTGGGAAAAAAATTTTAATTTTCATGGAATAATTTTAAAATCATTACGCTAATACATATTCATCCGTAAGCATTTTTCACAGTTAAAAATATTGAAATCAAATTTATCATATTTAAAAACGTTCCAAGTTCCAAACGAAATATTTAGATATTCGTATTACACCAGATGGAGAGATGAAACACTAAAATGTATTATCAAAATTTATTTTGTAACTTTTGAAATAAAATTTTTTTTCCCGCTGCCTGAAATGGGGCCCGATCATTGCCCTAATGGGTCCTATCTCCTAAAAAACATGTTTGGTATACATACAAATTTAATATTTTGGTGCTCACTCTGATTCTTCGTCTTTTCACTGTCGGGGTAAACTCACGGGGTTCATGTTTAGAAGCGCAGTGCTCTTGTGTCTGTGCAGAATACTTTAAAAATACTGCGCGTCCTTTAGACAAGATATTAGCTAGATCTACCTTAATTCTTGACCCTTTGATGGACTTTTAAAAACTAAAAAAACAGGTGAGATTTTAGCGCATTGCAAAATTAATTATTAATGACGTTTCCCTCACAAACGTGTAAAACATGTAAAATGGTTCATATATATCATATAATATTATGTTAAGAGTGAGGCACTTTTCAAATCTTCAAACAAATCCATTGAATTCATAAATAAAGGGCAAGGATGAAATCAAAGCATGTCTTTCCCGCGACACTTTGAATTCGATCATCGTCACGTGATCGCCACGGTGGTCACGTGACCTACAAATGTGTTTTTGTTTTCTCCAGCCAGCTGGGCAAAATACACTCGTCGATTTCCTTGATTTGACGTTTCCTGTGTCGAATTTTGCGATCGCCGATTCCGACTAGTCCTTTGCCGACACCCGTCCACGATGACGACCATCCCGTTGATGTACGCCGACGACCTCGAGAGCGGCAACGAGGTCAAATACGACGACGACGGCAAAAACAATGTTCTCAAGGCACACGTCAGTATTCGAATGGGTACGCAGACAATAAATTAATAACGATTTTAAAATCTATCAAAATCACGCCCAAAATCTAAGAAATTCTGTGTTTAAAGTATGAAACAAATAAAAATAATTTTAATTTACATCCAGTTCGAGAGAACAAATAATAATGGAGAACTAAAACTTTCTCTTTTAAAATAATAACTTAAGCGTAGGAATTAAATCTTTTGTTCCTTTAAATTTTCAGCATTTTTGCGCAAAGTGTATGGTTTGGTGTCCCTGCAACTGCTCTTCAGCACCATCATGGGCGCCGTCTGTCTCCTTCAGCCAACCATCAGGGAGTTTGTCCATTCAAAGTATAAAATTTGCTAAAAATTATGAACAAATTCTTTATTAATATTATGAATTTTCCGACAGCCACTGGTTGGTGATTTTGGCCATGTTCCTCAGCATGGGCATCCTGGTTGCTCTGCACATCAAGAGACAAGAGGCCCCTGCCAACTTCATACTCCTCTCGGCCTTTGTAACTTTATTAAAATTCCATGAGATTTTGATGAATAATTACGTTAAAACTTCTAGACTGTGGTCCAGGCGTACACGGTGGCGGTGATTGTCACCTTTTACGAGCAGGCAGCTGTCCTTCAGGCTTTCCTTCTGACAACCTGCGTAGTGGTCGGATTGACCGTCTACGCACTCCAGACCAAAAAGGACTTCTCTTCTATTGGAGCAACGTAATAATTTTATTTAAATTGAATCTTCAAAACTAAATTATAAGTGGATAATTAAACCAAACAAAATTATTATATATTTAATGAGATTTACGAATGAAATTGATGGTAAATCTTTGGCCATTTAAATGTTTCAAAATAATGGACCAAATTTACAAGATTTTTTGGCTAATTACCTCAATTAGAGAATTGTTTACCCTGTTAGTATCGCAATTCACTCTCCAATTTTATATGTTCTAACAGAAATACCATTAAAACATCAAAAAGCCAATTTAACATTAAATTTCTGCAAACCAGATTATTTTTTTAAAAACGTTTCATGAATTTTGTCTCTTCAAAAATATTATTTCTAGAAAATTTATGTCTGGTATTTTCAGAATTTTTGCTGGCCTTTGGATTTTGCTGATTGGAGGTCTGCTGCAAATTTTCATTCAAAACACTTTGTTCGAGTTGGCGTTGTCCGTCGGTGGCGCCATTCTCTTCTCCTTCTTCATCATTTATGACACTCAGGTTTGTCCACTTTTATTTGAAAGAAGAAAACCATTTGGTCCCTTTGGATAATTATTAAGTTTGGCTCTACGACATTTCAGATGATTATGTACAAGGTGTCGCCTGAGGAGTACATTTTGGCCACCATAACCCTTTACATGGACATCATCAATTTGTTCCTGCACATTCTCAGAATCTTGGAAGCTGCCAGGAGGCAGTAAATTTGAGTTGAAATTAATTAAAAACAAGGTCTTTGTTGTGATATGTAAGGATAAAGAAAAGTTTTGTTGTGAGGAAATTGTAGCAAAAAATATTTGCAAAGCAAAGCACAATATAATATATATTTTAGTTAATTTTTCCATCAAATATTAATTAATATTTCATTCCTTCCTACATTTTACAAGTCATTTAAGTGATTTGAACTAAAAGTATTTTTTTTTTAAATTGTATTAAAAAACTTGCTCTTGTCAAATTTCAGATCTTGTTCAATTCAAATGCGCTTTCAGTTTGCTTTAAAGTCAAAAAAGCTTGAAAAAATCCCATTTCTTTTTATAAGATGTTTATCGACAATGATCTTTGGGCAATAAGAATAGGAGGATGCACCCTGTGATTTGTGATTTTTGCAGAATTGAAACTCGTTACATTTGTAAATTCTATAAGCAGATTTTTTTAAGTTCAATATTTTTTTATTTTAACTTTCGTTTATTCTGGTTTATTCCTCCACATTAGTTAAATTTCATTGTTTGCCTAAACATGATAACCAATTTATATTTGAATGAATAAAGGAAATTTGTTTAAAACAAAACGGCACCATTTTGCTCCGTTGCCGAAGTGAACCAGTCCTGTTCTCAAATGCGGCCACATTGTCATGTGTTCCTCTGGTGTTCCTTATATCAGTGGGGTGGGGAAAATGTTCCATATCAAAGTTTTTGTGGGTTAGCATGCAAATCATTACATGGAAAGGACACGATTGACACGAACATCATCTCGGAACAAATATAGATCAACTTATTTCAAAAAACAAAACAAAATATTTCAGGTAAAGCAAGAAAAAGGACAGTTTTATACATAAAATATATGTACAAGTGTGCTGCTGGAGCTGGAGCAGCATCGAAAATTTAAATGCGTTTGCGTACAACATGCGCTGCCGAAGGCCGAAGCAGCACTAGAAAAAATGCATTCATACACCACCTAGCGGTAGGAAGTAGGAAACACAAGCATGCATTGGGACTGAATTTAATTACAGCAAATGTAAGCTAGAAAAAAAACAAATTGAAAGGAAAATGATGACATAAATGTCAAAATTTGTAACGCAAGGTTGGAGTGAGCTTTTTCGCGCCGGTTTCCAGGAGCGCCAATCAAATCACTCGTTCAAACTCTCCCTCGTGACAATTGGTTCTTCTGGGGTCACGTGGGCTCATCGACCAATGGCATGCATCAAAACATTGCAGCGTGCGTGCGAGCTTCAAAACAAAGCAAAATCTTGAACAAAAACGCACTTTGAACTCCATCCTCGTTTATTGTGCTTCTTTGATAGTGACATTGCGATCGAGCCCGGTGAGAGTTTCCTCGGAGACCGCCAAAATGGATCTGGAGGAGGATTATCTGGACCTGTTGGCTTACAAGTCCTGGAAGATTCGAAACAACAGGGCCGTGCCGTCGACTGTGCTCCAAGCAGGATATCAGGTGCCGCCGCCGTTCTCGAAAGACTCTCCAGACAAAGATGGCCAAAATTACGTTCTAATGTTCTACGTGCTGTGGGGCGACGGCGATTTAGTGAAAAAAAGCCTTTACACGAAACTGTTCTCCACAATGCAGCATTTCTTCGCTTTTTATCTTCCATTGAGGCATGATTTCATAATTATCCATAAATATGTTGTTTCTATTTTTAACTGGTGATGCAGGTGCGAGAAGTGCCATTGAATTTTACTATTTCTGTCAGCTTTTATTTTTGCAAATGAACGAATAAAAAATAATAAATTTTGATAATGTATGCACTCATAACCCATAATTTTATGTATTAATATTTATTTTATGAGCTTGCAATTGATTTGCAAAATTTATTTACAATTTTTGGTGATTTATCGCTTTGATATTTTCAAAAAATTTTTGTTAATCCTCTCGTAGAACTATAATTTCTTACCAAGCAGTTTTAAATTATTATTTTATTAATTTTTTCTTATTATTTGATTTACAGAACTCATGAGGTTCATGATCCACGTCGTTTGAATGCTGAAAATGATATTTTGGAAAAGAGTGATGGCAAGAGTATTGAGGAAGTCGCGGATTTCCTTTCACACTGCCACACATTGCCCAGAATTTTGGCTCACTTGCTGGCGGAAGTGGAGACAGCCAGGGATTTTGATTTGAACATGTACAGGAGTAAAATACAGCAGGTGATTTTAACTTATTTTGCATATGAAAAGTAAAAAAGTATTAGCAATGATGATTATAAAATATCTTCTGAAAGTAATCTATCTAATCTAAATGAAGTTTTTTTTTGTGGGATATGAAATGCCTCAATGCGCAACTAACTTTTTAGAAGGGAGAAAAAAATTGATGTTGTCTAAAATCCATTCGTGTTTCATATTTCAGATAAACAGCAGAGAACTTCCTGGTCGTGAGTTCCTCTTCAGCCCTTGGGTGCTTCTGCAGCTTCCTTTTGAACCTGTCATTTTCCACCAGTGGCTGGCCCTGGCGTTGCTCGAGACATTCAAGGTCCACGCAGCCCTGGCGCCGCTCACCATCGTCCACCTGACCAAGGAAAGCCAGCAGCTTGTGTCATCGGTGACGAAATTGGCCGTCGACCTGGCCCTCAATGTTCAACACTGTTTTGATCACCTGGCCATGAGCTTCCAGAAAAACCCTGAGGAGAAAAAGGGTGTGAGTGACGTCTTCAAGTTACGAGTGCCCAAAATCTTGTCGGCCCTGGAGTTCTTTTCGACTGAAACTCTGAAGGTGCTGCAGGAATTCGGCGTCCTCTGCAGACCCTCTCTGAACAACCTGGTGCCCAACGAGTGCCGCTTTGCCCTGGAAGAGTCCTGGTCCAACTTCAGCAACATGTACTCGTTCCGGTTTTGGGCCCATTGCGCAGATCTGCGCCAGCTTTTCGAGTCCGGAGTCTCTGGACCGAAGCCACCAGACAAAATGGATGACGTCCCACCAATTCGAAAAGACAAGCACTTCAAGCAGTTCCTGATGAAAGACCTTTTTAACGTTTGCTACAACTATGGTCTGCAAATTCTTCTGCCTGCCCATCTGGTGTCTGAATTTGTCTCCAAAGATTTTTGGGTGACCCTTCGAGAATCGGAGGCTGCGGTGTTTCTGAAGCTCCTATTTCATCAACTCATTCACTTCAAAAGTAAATAGTTATTTTGTATAAATAATTTAAAGATTCGTGTTTGCAAGCCGAAGTTCTTATTCTAACTGATTCTAACTTTATTTTAATTTGTGCTTCTTGTTTCAGCAATTGAGATGCGCATGAGGGGTCTTGCTAAGAATGATGGGCCCAGTGTTTTCACGGAAAATTTGATTCAACACGCAGTTTTAAAAATGAAAATTGTTATGTCAAAAGTAACAACTGTGCTTCTCGACATCCTTCTTTGCCAAAAGCAGGCACAAAACATTCAAAAAAACCTTTCTACAGTGTCAATCTACGTCAGTCCAAAGAGGTCTCCTGTCAACGTCAAGAAAGTGGATGACCCTTTCATCAAAGTTGAACAGGACATCAGGCACAAGATCAAGAGGGCCAAGAAGAGTAGCCGCTACTGGCTGTACTTCAACATTTTCTACCGCCTCCGAAAATTTGGACTCAAAGATCAATCTGCTGATGCTAAATTAACTGTAAAAAACTGATATTTCAATTAAGTTTACATTTATTAATTAAATTTATTTTAGGACAATTTGGCGCAGACGGTTTTGAAAATGTACACCGATGAGTTTGAATTGGACGACCGTATGGTGCATCTCGAGCGGCAAATGCTGCACTACATTGGACCATGTTTGCTCGCCCTTGTGAAGAAAGTGATGGAGACCAACCCTGGTATGAGAGATTTCCTGATTACTTTCACCTCCGTCTTCCTCGACTCCTTCGAGCGGCAGCCCTTTGTGCTTCCAAAAGGGTACATCCCAAAGAGCTCCTTCCTGCAGCAACAGGTTCTCCAAGTTTTCTACAAAAATGCAAGCCAGGGTTTCACCAGGACTGTGGACTTTCAGTTCAACTCCTCGACTTCTTTCGGCTCTCTGTTGATCTCTGGTCTCAAAGTGTTCCTGAAGGCCTTAAACCCAGCCTCTGCAGGAAAACCATTCCCGGTCTACCGCAGTGGTCTAGACACACCTTCCTCAACCGCATTGAAAATGCCCTGCAAGTGGCTCAGGGTAGTGCAAACTACAACCTTCCACGCATGGAGACCTTCGTGAAGACTGTTGCGGATGTACTGCCCCCTGGATGGGAAGAATCCGCTCGTGACGAGCAGATGTGGAGAACCTGGACAGTTGATCTGTACAGATTCGTCCAGATGTACAAGTTACCCTTGCCCTTTTACAGGGTGTTTGCAGAGGGTTGTCCACTTCAAGACGAGCGACTTGAAGCTCTATTCAGTTTGATGTCCCGCGACCTGTGGAAAGTGCGACGCATCACCTGTCGATGGCTCAAAGGCCCTCTCGGGGAGGACCTGTCCATGGTGAGTCTCAGGTACGCCATGTTGCATACCAGGCTCTATGGATCAGTGCTGAAGGACCTTGAGGATGGACCTGAACTCAGGGTCAGGATGAGGCACCCTGGCGAGATCACCTTCTTCCCCGTGCGGCACTGCCGATGGTGCGGCCTGGTCGACCCTGACTTCAGCTTCAACGTTTGCGAAGAGTGTGAGGGTGACGATGAGTACCCTGACAAGAATCTCTTCTGCTCGGCCAGGTGTGAGGACGAGGCCATGCAGGAGGTCCATCGGGAGGAGCACGCCCGCCACCTTTTGGAGCTGTGTGTCTTTGACGACTGAAATTGGTAATGACTTTCTAGTTACACATTATATCTGATTTTAATTTGCAACTATAAAGATCTCTTTTTGAAAAATTATTTATATTGGTTTTGTAAATTAAGTGCAGGTACAAAATATATGATATTTAATATTAAAATTAAATATAAACTCCTCAAAGGAATTTTTTAAACATTATTATTTTATTGCTCTTTATTTTTGTATTTTTTCCTCGATCCTCAAATTAAAGTAGTGTAAAATAATTTAAGAGAACAAAACCTCTTTAATAGTTACAAATTTAATGAATTAATTTATTAATTAATCTATAGTAAAATTCCAAATTATTTTGGTCCCTCAAACTGCCCCAGAGAAAACCTTCATTCTCCTCTGATCTGAGTTAGAATAGCTTTCCAACAATGGTTTACAACACAACTTATTTTGATAGCTTATTAAAGTATTATTGATCTTTATTGGCTTATGAAGCGTCGCCACGATTATGTGTAAAGTAAGTTGATGTTTCGAATATAAATTTTCAAGAGAAGCATGTAATGGTTCACCTCGGCACAGTCTCGTTTTACATACTCGGGTTTTAACTAAAACCTCCATTCTGCTCATTTCAAAATTTCTTATTTTATTATTAGTTTTTGGAAATATATAACCTCACAATCAGTAGAATGCAAGTTGCGTCTAGTTTTCTACTAGGTAAATTGTAAGCTGTTGGGAAGACACTCAATATGACATTTAATTTGGTAATTTTTTTATCGTGAAAGAAAAAAAACACTAACTGAAATTAACTGTGTGAACTGAGATTTTTTCTCCTACATTTTACGGAGTCCATAAAATTAAAAAAAGAATTGTGTAATTTTCTATTGCTAAAACCATATTTTCTTATCAACTTGCCAATCTTTCGTTGAATTTGACTCCACCCCTTTTTATATAGATAAAAGACATTGCAAAAATCACCCGCTTTTTATAAAGCGCGACACATAAAGTTATCTTTGCTGAATGGAGGGGCATCTATGGCGTATACACGAGTTTTTCACAAGTGAGTCAAACACATAGTCGCCGATAAGATCTGCTCACAAGCTCCGAACAAAGGCGCGCGAGTGGCTCGGAATCGATTGCTGGTCGTGTGACGAGTCGGATCGATTTGTGCGCGCAGCTGAAGGGCCGAGACCGACTTAAAAGGGCCACAGCTGCTCACTCTGGGCAGGAGGGTCGCGCGGAGCAGCCGCATGCCCGCCACCGGCCGCGACCTTTGCAGAAATGATGGCCGTGCGGGACACGGCGGTCACCGCGATTGCAGCCGTCCTCCTGCTGTGGGCCTCCCTCGGCAGCGTCACTCGAGCGCAGGGTAACATTTTTTGCTGTACTCCGCAATTTTATTTTTTAGTAGTTTAATGTGGAAATTTAATGATTTTTACATTAAATAAATTTGTGAAATATTCTCATTATGACACTTTTAATTTCTCTCGAACATAACTTTATTTTTAATTTATATCCAATTGCCAATTAAAAAAATTGATGGAATTTAAAATATTAATACTGAAATTTAATGATTTGTGTTCAATTAGTATAATTATTTAATATTTGTATGTAATTTCTGAAATTTCTTGAAAGAAATCTTAAAATTTAAAAGACAGTTTTTCTGTTTAAAAAGACAATATTATGCTAACCTGAAATTCCCAAATTTTTCACTTTTTCAATGTATGAAAATATTGAACGTAATTAGTCTTAAAAAATTTTATTTTCTTTTCAATTGAATAAAAATACATTTGGCCTATTTTCCTATTTTTGAGAAATATTCGTTTTATAATGTCTCATTTTATACATCTATAAAATTTTTACACCATATACTATCCTCATTGAAAAGAGAGAAGCGATAACTTTTGCCCTCTCTTATCTGAATGCGTCATCTCCATATTTTTGTACGTCAAAACTAATTTCATTGCCCCAGAAAGCTAAACAGATTTTTCCCCCTCAGAAATTAGAATAGCATCTCAGCACTGGCAGGGCCGGCAAATTCGAGAATTCCGCAGCTACAGCGACGTTGAGGTTTTCCACTTCCGGGTTCCGGACCAAACTGTGACCGCCAACTGGAACTTCACGGCCAAAGAACTGAACGACTGCGAGCCGAGAAACGTCTCAGTGTAATATAAAGTTAATTCAAAAATTAAAAATATTTGTCTAAATTGATGCAAAAAAATTGTTGCAGTTATGTGAAGCAGGGTAGCTTCCCGGTGGTCAACCCGAACAATGGGAAATTCCCTGATAACTTTCGCACCGAGACTGAGCTGGCAAAGGTCAACGGCCTGTCAATTTTGAGCGACGGCCTCCAGTACTCGCTGTCCGTTGACCGCCCTTTGCCAGGAGACTGGTTCGTAATCGCCTTTCTCACCTTTGAGAACACTAAGATAGAACAAAAGGTAAATTATATTTGAAAAAACAAATTTAAATAGCATTTAATTTATAAAAAAACTGGAATTTTTTACTAATAATTTAAGAAAATATTATTATCTGTCTTCTATATTTAACTTAAAAGTAGTGAAATATATTTTTTTAAATAAAATTTTAAAAGAGTCAAGCATTTTTAAATATGAAATATTTCAGATCTCACAGAAAAATTTTAAGTATACCCATTAAATATTGAATCAATTTTAATCCTTACATTATAAAATGGTTTTGTACATCATTCAAGAAATCAATCGATGGAATCGATGAATTTTAATTTTCAATTTTTTACCAATATTTTTGCTATGATCATAAGAAACAATAAAAAATTTCACTTAATCCAAAAAGTAAATTTGTATGTTTGCATCGCATATAAAAATGTTTTTAACTTAATATAAATTTTTTCAGGGAATAGCTAAGTCGTGTAGATCAAGTTTTTCAACCAAACTAGACATTACGTGGACCAATGAAACAATTCTCCTGATTCCCGAGGTGCAAAACTACCAGGACATCCAAATCCACCAGGAAATTCAACAAGACCAGGAAATTAATTACAAGTATTACAAAGAATTGTGAAACTGAAATTTTTTTAATAACAAAAAACTATTTGCATAGATTTTTCGTGCCAGTGGACACGCACTGGGTCACAATCGATATCAACAAGTGCACGTCCGAGGGGTCGACCGGCTGCCCGATCGAGGTTTACAGACGCGCCAGAGCCCTGCCGCTGATTGACGGCGCGCCGTGAGTTGTCACTAATTATAGCGTCCCCTTTTTATGTTTGTGATTAAATTTAGCATATCCCGATTACGCAAATTCATCTCAAATGGAAAGCAGAGTGAGCAATAATTCATTTTTTTTAAACTATTTATTTATTCCATGTCTTTTCAGTATTGAATAATTTCCTAGAAATAAATTAAAATGAAATTTGCTTAAAAAATAATTATTTTAATTATAAAATTTAAAATTAAAATTTTTAACAATTGTTACAATAATAAAAATTCATTCAAATATTCCCAAGAATTTGTTATTAAAAAAGTAATAATACAACCATTTATAATTTAGTAGCGTAATTTTTTTCTTTAGTATTTTTATATTTCGAAAATTTTAACATCTACACCCCATTTTTTATACACCACCAATTATAAATAAATTAAGAATTTTCATCTCAGAAATAAATAAAAAATTACAGAGCCTTCAATTGTTCCGAAAACACAAACCGATGCAACTCTAGTTTCTTGCCGTTGGAGGGTGAGTGGCACTATTTGACCATCACGGCCCAAGCAAACACATCCTTCTCCTTAAAAGTCATTTTCCAAAGTAATTATAATCCTTTTCAAAATTAAATTAAAAAAAAAAAATTATTGAAAAAAAATATTAGCTTGTGCTCAGGACTATCCAGTGACAAGATATCTGATGATCAACGACATGGAGACGGCAAATATTTGCACGTCTCTGAACAAAAGCTCCAAGTTCCGCATGATCTTCCGCGGGCCGAACGAGCACTTCCGGGCTGCGCCCAAGGAGGTGTGCTGGGACCGCAAGGCCCTTTACCGCAAGACCTCGGCCGCCAGTTTTACCTTCGAGTTCGACCTCCTGCCCGACGCCAACGGCACGACCCCTCTCAAGATGGACGTCAGCACCAGCAGACCGACCATCCTCAGTTTCTTCATCAACCCCAAGCTGGACATCGGCGGCAACACGTGGCTCGACGTCGGAATGGACCCGCTAATGGTGAGTGTAGGGTAGGCAACCGGCGCGACGTACACGACCAAAATTTGCCTACCTGCGTTTGAGCAGGAGCTAATTCCTTTTCATTAATACAGGAGTTTTATTAAAAAATCTTGCTAATCTTATTAAAGATGGAATGAGGAATAACTCTAAAATTTTATAAAGATTGAAAAAATTGAAAATATAAAAAAATTATTAAGCTAGTGGAAAGATCCTTCACTTTGGAATTAAATAGTTTGATACTAAATTGATACTAAATTTTGTATTATTATTTATTATTACTATAATTTAAATTATGGCCTAGCCCTACTAATAAAAATCGATCATATTTCTAGAACACGTCAGAGTACAACGTGACGATCGTGGTGTGCTTCTCACATCTGGAGCGATATGAACCAAAATTCACAAGCCCGAAATGCGATCCAGATAATTTCTACCTGGTCGAGGTGAACCAAACCAAGAAATTCGCCAGGGTGGTCATTCCATACCCAGAGCCTGGAACGTGGAACGTCGCCATCATGCCTTTTTGCCACATTAATGAAACGTAATTATTTAAAATAAATGTATACATAAATTCTAAAAAGTTAAAAAAAATATATATATATATATTTTTTTTTTAATTTTGATCAGATTTCAAATAAAATATTAAAATGTTTCATTTTAGGAAAATTCCGTGTCCAAATGAAACTCTACCCATGTTCTTTGGCATTATCTCCAGTTCGTGTGTGTACGGCAGTTGCGGCCCTTTAGGAAGGTGCAATTACGTCATTAGCGGCGGCCTCCTATTTTCGACCTGCGTCTGCTCTGCAGGTCCGTTTGCATTTTCAATTTTAAAAAGTTGAACTAAGTAGAAATTAAAAATATTTTTCAGGTTACAAGGGCTGGGGTTGCACGGACGCATCCGAGGCCGTCCCCTACGACGAGCTGCTGCTCTCCACCCTTCTGCTCACCCTGAGCAATTTGCTCTTCATTCCGTCCATTGTGCTGGCCATCTACAGGCGCTTCTACACTGAAGCCCTGGTCTACGTTTGCACCATGTTCTTCTCTAGCGTGAGTTTTTTACTTATTTTTCCTATAAAATGATAATTATACATATTGAAATCGAAAAAATTGATCTATATACTGATTTATAAAATATTCAAACATTGAGACTTACGACAGAAAAATAATAATTTCTAGTTCAACCTTCATTTTTATTATATTAAAAATTTTGTTATTTTGCCTATTTACTTTTCACCAAAATTCAGAAAATTGATGCCAAGTTAACAATTTTTCAGCCGCCATTTTCATAAATTTGAAAAAAATACATTGTTTCTGGCCATTTCTAAAAACATTATTCAAATTTTGAAGTTTTATCACGCGTGTGACGGGGTGGCCTATTCCTTCTGCCTGCTGCGGCTGGGCGTGCTGCAGTTCTGCGACTTCTACTCGGCCATCCTTGCCTTTTGGGTCACGTTGGTCGCCATGTCTGACCTTTCACCGACGCTGACCTCGCTGCTGCACATGGCTGGTGCCATCACCGTCGCCCTCGGAATCGAGTACGACAGATATGGCATCCTTGTGTTTGCTGTTCCCGTCGTCTCTGGACTCATTGTGCTCATCGTGTCTTGGGTAATTAATTTTTTCTCTCATTTTAGAAATCCATAGAATCGAATGAGAAAATTAATTTTATTTTATGATAGTCCACGCTATATGGAGATTCCAACGATATATTGGATTGCAACTTTTAGATTGAAAGTGACCGAGTTATTTCGTTTTTGAGTAGCCATAATTTTAAAAAAAGCTTCCAACCTCTAACAATATCGCCGTTTTTTGAATTAATTAAAAAGATCGGATTAATCAGATTTTAAATTTTTCAATCGTTATTTTAATTCAAATCAAATCAGTGCTGCCAACTGAAGAAAATTAATTTTTTGCAGACTTTACACTGTAGGAGGGAGGACGGTTGCTACCCAAGCAAAAAGTACTGGGTGGTGTGTCTGCCACCAGGGCTGCTGTTGGTCGCCATCGGCCTGGTGGTCTACGCATTTCTGCAGACTGAAGACAACTACAAGTTTGTGCACAGCGCCTGGCATGCCATCATGGCCCTGTCCATCATGTTCCTCCTGCCTTTCAGGAGGCAAACCGCACAGGTCAAGCTCTCATGGCGAGGACTCCAAGATTAAAACAAAAATATACTTTATGAAAATCAAAATTTTTGTGTATAATAAGTTTTACGTTATAATGTTTAAGATTCTGTGTAAAATTTACTTAAATTTTAAAATGTAAAAATATTGCGATCAGAGCAAATATTGCAAAAAAATCAATTCTTTACTCAAATTTGCTTTTTGTCAAATTCATGAAGATGTGTCATTTTGACTTACTTTTCCAAACGGATCATTGAAATCGAATGTTAAAATATGCACAAATCTTTCTTGTATATTCTCGGAATCATCTCCGTGAAAACTTGTGATCATAGTCATTCATTACAATTTTTGTTGGAAAACGTCTTGAAAATGCATTTGATGGACAAAGAAAGAAAAATGTTATAATATTTAGAGATACAAAATTCTGACGAAAATCAATTTCTATTTTTAAAGTTGGCTTTAAATGAGGATTTAAAGAGACGCACATTATTTAAAAATATTTCCTTATTCTAATATTCTCGCCGTGATAATAAAATTTAAAAATATATGCATACATATATTTTATTTCTTAATAATTTTATATTTAAATGTAATTAAGCATGAAAAATTATCAGACATTTTAAGCCAAAATATTAAATTAATGAAGAGCAGCAAGGGAAATATAATTGTATACACAAATTTTCATTTTAAAATTAACTTAATTTTTCCTATTAAAATTATTTGGAAAACCTTCTTAAAAATTTTTTAAATATATATAAAAAAAACTTGTGAGTTTTGAATAATTTTAATTTGAGTCGATTAAAAATGTGCAAAAATCAATTATTGCGGAGTAACTGCGGCTTCATCCGGTAGATGATCATGGTGCGGTGTTGGACGAGGAGCGCCTCCAGCGGGCTACACGTGCAGATCTCGCACGGTCGGCGGGGGGTGGCCATGGCAACCACCCCCCGCATGGCACACGCACCCCCGATCGATTCGCGCACGCTGGACTGTTGGCGAAACTGAACCGGCAGTGCTGCTGCTGGCGAAATGACAACACACGCCTGCTGTGCTCCGGACAGAGGCGCTGCTGCTTTATCAGTGGCCGGCCGCCGGGGTTGAGTCTCGAGCCCAAGCCAGAGATAAGCCAGTCGGTAGCACATGCTGCTCAAACAACAATCGTCCCGGCCCAGCAGCTCCACCGAGGGACACGCGCGAGTTGCTTTGCAGGTGCGTCTATATCCACCCCTTCGGTATTGCACCCCTCCACTTCTGCAAAAGTAATAATTTCATAATCAGCATTGTGATTAAAAAAAAGAGTTTTTAGTTTTTTCCAATAAAATTATTTTTTATAATTCATAAATTTCTGTATTTTTTATCAGTTCGGGAATTATTCCAAACAATTAATAACAAAAGTTTAATTTTTTTTTAAGATTAATTATGCTTATTTTATTTCATTATGGAGCGAACAAGGAAAGTGAAAAATTAACTTGTGACTTATCGCCCTGACGTTGAATTACGATCCGAGCCGCGAGATATTTGAGACGAAGTCGGTGTAAAATTATTTCCCATTTTGAGTGGTTTCTTTGATATGTTTTAACTTATCAAAAGTGAAAAAAAAATCCGATTCAAATAATATATTAATGATTTATGAGGCATTAAAAAAAATTACAATAATGATATTATTTGAATAAAATGAGAATTTTTTTAAATTCTAATTTCAATTCTTAAACTCATTTCAAAATATTAGTATAATTAATTTTAAGAAATAATGAAATTAATTGAGTGAAAATCTTTGGTGGCGAGACGGGTCGGAAGTCCGGTGTAGATAAATATGCGCACTCTTTATAACGCTTTGAAAGTCAATCCATTTCCCTCGATCATTTTTCAAGTTGATATGTTCAAAATCTATGTCAGCAGATATTTATTTATATACGCTTTTGATCTTGTGGCTTTCAAGTGGCGGCGACAGAAACAATATCTGAGATAATTTTCTATAGTTATACACATGCCCATGCACTTCTTGATTTCTCTCTCTTTGGCGTATGGAAGAGCGATAAGAAGAATAATTCAGTATAACGCAGTGCAGCTCTCTGTCGACGACTGCGCTGATTATTTGCCTAAACGCCCCTTGCCCTCTGACGTCACGTGTGCTGGTCGCGTGGCCCGGTACACTTTTCGTCCCTCAGCCGCAGGGCGGAAGTGGCCTTCTTTTTACCCCTGGGGAGTCTCATTTGAATATATATTTGTGAAGATATTTTTTATGAAAAGGAGGTACATATGTATAACGTTTGATAGCGATTTAATAACTGAGGACTTTTAAGGAATTTGTAAATCCAAAATTAAATATTTGATAAGTGACATTTCCCTTTCCCTCTAATCTAACCACGCGGTCGGGACTGCGATTAAAAGCGAGCGAGTAGACTTCCCAAGTAATAATAATTAGACTTCCTGTTACTTTAATATTGCACTCGGTTAAGTTCTAAATCAATCGCTTGCCTAACTCGTTACGCAATTCTCGGCACAGGCAATAGTGATTTTTTTATTTGAAACGCTTTTTAACCTGGCAGGATTTTATTCCCGATCTTTACATTTTAAAACAATTTTCAATATTTCTCGTGTTGAATTTTTTTCAGATTAGAATAATTTAAGTCCAGAATATTAACCAACGACTTATCTTTGAAGTATTTGAAGTTTGTTTCGCACATAAATATAATTTATTTCATTTTGAGGACTTTTAATGGATTTTCTTAATGGCCAATTTTTATTTTATGAGATTTTTATAACTCTCTCTTGAAGCATTTTCAATATAAATCTTGTTTTGCTTTAGTTATTTTATTGGTAACTATAATTTTCATCTTTATAAAAATTTATTTTTGAATTTAAACAAAATCAGTTCCGTGTTATGGTAAATTTTAGAAAATAAATATAATTTAATATTCCTTATTTTGATAAAATATATGACTTGGTAAAAAAAGCATTTTTGAGCTTTTTGAAGATTCAAAATTACTTAATCCCATATATTGGAACTAAAATCTTCAGCCTAAGAATAAATTTCCCATTTAAGACAAAAAGGATTCCATTTTCAACCGCATTTTTTTTTATCGTGTTTCAGATTTCCTGGATGAGAAAATGAAGCATGTGACCAGCGTTGCTATTATGTGAGAGGCACGGCAACTATGGATACAATCACCAGGTACATTTTGTTCATCCCAAAACTTGCGTCGGTTGCTGTACTTTTGATCACGAGTGTGTGGAAAGAACGAAATTGGTAGCGATTTAGGACTTATTTAAACAAACACACGGGAGAGAGAAATAAAGTAACAAAAATGTTTACGGGACTCAGATTAGATAATAGGCGCGTGCATCCCCCTGCATCGATTAAACGGCAAACAACCGAAATATACGTGTTGTAACAAACACACACTTGATGCCAAACAGTTTCCTAGTAGAAAAATTGGTCAAGGAGTTTTTTTTTATCTTTAAGAGTTTACATAGTTATAGAGACGATCGATTTGAGTTTAAACTTTGATTGTTTCAAGTTGGAAAATTAGTAATGCGGTGTGCTTAGAGATTATAAAACGGATAAGAGATCTAGATAAAATTGGACTAGACATTTTATTTAAAAAATTAATTAATGCTTTTACTTTTTGTAGATTTATTTTTATAAAAATAATTTTTCTGCCATCATAAGTAAATAAAAATATATAAAAGGCTTTTTATTTAAGTGGACCTGTTGTAATATATCGTCATTTAATTAAAAACTATAATCTAGTTGTTTTTCATCTCTCTTTTCAAATCGCGTGAGCTGCCGAGACCGCAAACTGAATAAAAAATAACGTGCTTTCCTGCCACTGTACTTTTTTACTTTTACACACTTTTTGACACGCTGCGGGAATTTGAAATATTTAAGGGCGGTGCGGGAAGAAAGAGTCTCTCGAAAATCGGGACCCCTTTTGCTTCTCTCTCGTATTCGCTCATCGAAGAAAAGAAGCCGTACAATACCCTTGACCCCTTGGGAGAATAAATACGTTCGCATTTTTAAGTGGTGCACACTCCGGCCGAACGAGGAGAAAACGAACAAAAACCCTTTCAGCATACCATAATGATTCTCCTCGTTTTTTCTACAATAATCGAAAATAATGCGAAATCGAAACTTTTGAAGCGAAGCAACAAATTGATAATTTAAAATACGTGAAACTTATTTATAATTTAAAAACGTCAAAATTAAATAACGCTTAATGTATTGAAAATATAATATCCTGGTATAGGCTGTTTTCAATCTATTCAAAAGTTTTTCGACAATTTCTATGTTTTGTAAAATTACCTATAAATTTTAAATTTAATCCCGTCATGTTCTTATATTCTTGTCTACTACTTGTCCAAAAGAAAAGCAATAAACTTCAAAATAATAGTAAGAAATTATTTTTATTTATCATATGTTTTATGAGCCTTTTTAAGTTTGGAAAAATCCAACTGTCAAGTTAATTCATTTCATTAAAATGTTAAAGCTGAAGTAATGCAATTTATCACACTGTTTGAAATAAAGATTTTAAAAACCAATGAAATTCTTTTGACGCGCGTGTCGATTTCCACATTGTATTCCGCGCCAGTGACGTTCGCCTACTTGAGTCGAGGGTATGCAACCCGCTTCGATCGCGCACTTTATACTTTTTCTTCTTCACCGTGTGTTGACACGTGGACTCGAGCAATTCGACTTAATAAATAATAAACTCAGTCGGTCTTTCCCAAAAGCAATTTGCAAAATTGCTCTCGTGCGCCGCCGGCGATGATGGCAATAATTTAAAATAAAGCGCTCGCGGGGTGCATCGCACGCGACCCTCATTAGTCTGTGCCGTGGTAAAAATTTCTCTCCCTTATCAGATGGCTCGAAACGCACACACCTCTAGTTAGTCATTTGAAATGCTTTCGCAGGCGGTGCTGCTGAGAGCATGAATTTGTACCGCAAGTTTTCGCTGATGGCGGTCTTTGCTCTGGGCCTGTTCGCCGTGCAGTACCACCTGCTGACCACGTGGTGGGTCCAGGGCGTCCGATCCGAGGCGCCGCTCTCCGTCGTCCGGCTCTCCCTCGACAGATTGCAGCTCTCGCCAGAACTCACCGCAGCCGTTTCACAGGAACACCTCCGGAGAATCGTCGAGGAGGTAAATCCAATTCCGTAATATGCATTTTGTTAAAAAATTTCAAATCAACAGATAATAAATATTAAAATATTTTTATAATTATTAATGTTATAGCGAAGATTGTATATTTGTCAACATTGTTTCAATAATTTTTTTTCAAAATTTTAATTTTAATTGAAAAGAAATCATATTCTAAATAGACTAATTTAAGAAAAAAGACCTTCCACATCAAGCATAATTTTTGGCGACCATTAAGATGTTTAAAAGCCTCGAGTTTGATTTAATTTAGTCGATTTACAAGTATTTGTATTCATTATTTTGGATCCTTTTATATTTATGTAAAAAACTATTAATTTTACAATTAAAAAGGGTATTCTTTGTTTGGTCCCAAGAATCATAAATAATGTGCTCAAAACAAATACAAAAAATTTTAATTTTAAAAGATATGCTTTAAAGTTTCTTTTCTACTAAAATCTAATCTAATCTTTTCTTTTAAATCTAAAATAGAACATGAAATTAAATATAATTTGAAGAGGCGATAAATTTGAAATCTTAAATTTCAGGTGAGCCAGCAGATGGTCCAAGTACTGCCGGAGTGCGTGCCGGTGGCCGCGGCGACGACGGCGCGGCCCAAGGTAGTGGAGCCGCTGCCGCCCAAATTGTACATCATCACCCCCACGTACCGCCGGCCGGAGCAGCAGCCCGAGATGACCAGACTGTCCCAAACGCTTCTGCACGTCAAGAACATCAAGTGGCTGGTCATCGAGGACGCGGCGGCGCCCACGCCAGAAATCACTCGCCTGCTCAAACGCACCGGAATCGATTTCGAGCACCTCGTCGGTGAGTTTCCCGAATTTTCAGGGGTCAAGTGAAAAGTTGTGTATTTGATTAACGTTGACGACAACCCCCTCAAAATTTTTATTTTAACCATCTTTATTTCCTATACCATTTTAACCCTTTATACATCTAGATTTAATAAAATAGACTCTCATTGAATGAGAAAGAAATAAACGAAAACCTATTTTCGCTGCTTTGCTGTACGACTGCAGACATGTCTAACTGTCGTCGCGGTTTGCTTATTTGTTTTGCAGCTCCAATGCCGGCCAAGTATAAAAACAAAAAGGGCAGCAAGCCAAGAGGGGTTTCCAACAGAAACAAGGGCATAGAATGGATCAAGGCCAACGCCGTCGACGGGGTCATGTACTTTGCAGACGACGACAACACCTACGACGTCAGAATTTTCGAACAGGTCTGTGATCAATTTTTGGCGTATGTATAACTAATTTTTTCCTGAATTCAGATGCGACACACCAAGAAGGTGTCGATGTGGCCGGTCGGTTTGCTGACCAAGTTTGGACTGAGCACGCCGGTGGTCAAGAACGGCAAGTTCCGCGGCTTCTACGACGGCTGGATCGCCGGTCGCAAGTTCCCCGTCGACATGGCCGAGTTTGCCGTCAACGTCAAATTTTTACTCAAGGTATAAAATTGATGACAATAATTTGTTGGATCTCATGTTATTGTCCAAAACAGAGGCCAAAAGCTGCCATGCCTTACAAGCCAGGGTTCGAGGAGGACGGTTTTCTGAAGAGCCTGGCGCCCTTCGACCCGAAGGAAGTCGAGCTCCTCGCCAACAACTGCAGCGAGGTCAGTTTTTTTTATATCAGTGTGATAAAAATTCTTATTCATACTTTAATTCCTAAAAGGGCTTCTTTAGTGATGGTTTGATGAATTGAAAGTTTATTTATTTGATTCCAATGAAAACAAAATTTCATAACCAATGTCAAAACAGTTCATCGAAAGTGATTTTTTACATATCCCTGTAGTTTCAAAAAGGCTTTAGGCAGGAATAACCTTTTTGTATAAAACCCTTTCAACCCTTGAAAATTGTTTTGATCTTGATTTTGATTTCAGTCCTAAGATTTGGTTCTTTTATAGAATGATATTAAAAAAACTAAAAATCATTATTTAATTAATTTTTTTTTAAATAACATTTGAAAAAATTTTATTACATTTTTATTGATTTTTATAAACTTCTAAAAACGAATATACTATTTTCCTCGAGATTTTATCCGGATATTAAATTCTTTCCACGCCAATTTGACAGTTGACTTACGAAAATCAAAACTTTCAAATACAATTTTTGACCTCTGTAATTTAAATTTGTGTAGATTCTGGTGTGGCACACACAGTCGAAGAAGAATCCGCCGTCTGCGCCGTTGAATGAGACGCTCTACAAGGACACTAATCTGATTGAGCTTAAAAAGCACATGGTGTAGCGGACGCGCTCTGCTCTCTGTGAATGACACTATACTCTGCAGCGTTGTGACTTTTCTCTCTATCTCCAGCATTAATTAGCATGTAATGGAAAAAATAAGCAGCGGTCAACTCTCCTCTAAACTGTAATTATATTTCAACGAATATATAAAATTAACTTACGTGTACATATGTATGTGAATGTGACAATTTCCTACTGCCTCTCCATTAAGAAATAAAAACACGAACATTGTGATAATTTCCGTAAAATTAAGTATGATGCATAAAATAAAAATGAGCCTCCTGATGAAAAAAAACTTTCTCGCCGAACAAGTGCGAATTTTCGGTGTAAAAATTAATGAAATTTCTGCAAGTCCCACTCCAGCATCAATTATCTAATAGCATTCTTTGTTAATTTTCAAAGACAATCCATCTAATTGATTGTTACATAATTCTCGTTCATAAACTTATATATTTGCTCGGCTGCTTTTAATACAATTTTGTGGCATTTCGCCGTCTCATCAAATATATCTGTCGATTTTAAATTAATGTGTATATAAAAACGTGAGAGGTGAAGAAATTAATACAAATGACTGAAAATCAGTAGCTGCAAACCATTGAAAAATAATAATGTGGTCGAAATCAAAATAACTGTGAAAAAGCAAAAAGGCCTGTCTTGAATTGTGAAAAAAATTATTGTATATGAGTTGTAGCCAAATATTTAGTTTTTGAGAGACAAAAATGACTCTTACTACGATGATCCCTGAAAGACTTTTGAAATATTACACTAATAAAATGTAGCGGGTAACTATTAAAAATTAAATATGTGCGTTTTATTCCTCGGTGAATAAAAAAAAATTATAATAATAATAATTTATTTTATATATGAATATAACATATTTAAAAATATTATTTTTATTCATGTTCAAAATTGTATTTTTTTTTAAAAGTACATTTTGCTCAAATTAGTCTTTATTTTCAAATATTCAAATTTTTAAATGTTCAGAATGACAAACTAAATAAATCCAAAGACCCGGTTTAGTTAAAACATATAGATTATATAATAATAATTATTTTCATAAGAAGATCTCATTCCATCTTTTTCTTATTCCACCTGTGTAGTGTAGAATATTTATTTATCTCTTTGAATAATTTGAATATTTTAATATACAGTTAATTATAGCACAATTATTTTTTCATAAACGCAGGTGTTGTTGGGGAAAACGTCATCTGCTCTCTCCTTGTATATAAGCGCACGTGAGGAATCTTATGATGTTCTTTTAATCCTCCTGTATATTTTAACTTACAGTGTGTGTACCACTATAGTTTTTAATAATACACAGCTATTGCAATGCACTTGCCGCAATTAAAAAAATCGATTTTATGGAATCAATGAAGAGAGTAAATAAAATCCAAAACTGTATTTAAATAAAAATGATAATATAAAAGTTAAATTTTTTAAAACTTCCTCAGAAATAATAATGATAAATATTAATTGTTGTTAAATACACATAAAAATAAAATATAATAAATTTTTTTACCAAATACTAGAGAATATTGACAAAGAAGTGCTAAAAAATCCATTTTTTTATTTTTTAAATAATTTCATTCCGCAAATCAAGTTTAGAAGACATAATAGAAGATGTTATTTTATTACACTTTTTTTTAGATTTCAATTCCTCTCAATTTTGGAATTTTAAAAAATTTCCATAATCCAAAGTTGCCAAAGCAACTTTTGGTGGCTTTGGCGCCGCGAATCTGAGGACGAATTTGCTGATGTTTATTTCCTCACTCATTTGTTTGCGGCATTCGACACCAGATGCCTCTGCAGTGGCGTCCAAGAGCGAGAGGTGTGTGCGTGTGACGTGTAGTGTCATCGTCCCTCCTCTTTTTCTAGTCGTACTCGTCGTCGTCTTATCAATTCGTGAAGTACAACATCTTTTGCTTTCCAGCTCCGAAGCCGCAACCATGTCCAAGATCCAGGGTACGTGACTTTTCACCTAAATTTCGCGTAAACCGCGTCGAACCGGCACCGATTTCAGTGAAAAGTTTGAATTAATCGGTCACTCAAGCCGGCGGTGCATGTTTGTTTGGGAAAAATCATGTGACAGATATTTAATTCCGACTTTTTAATATGCAACGCCTGCGACTTTTGATATAATGCACGGCTCATTAGCATTGATAGGAGGGGGGAGCACGAATTATGAGTGCATTGAAATTATGTTCACCTTGAGGACGTGACAGGGCAATTTTTGTGTCAAAAAGTTATCAAAGAAAACCCTTTTCTTATCTGGTAATGAAATTCTGCCAGCATTCTCGTTTTCATTTGATTTTTCTTTTTTCAAATATATTGCTTTCAATATCTTCCTAATCTAGCCGGGAGGTCTCTCTTTTGATAAGACACGTACGCGGTCTCTATAAAATTTTCCACTCTATGAACAGCAAAATTTATATTTAGAGAAATATCCATTGAAGAAAGAAAAAGAGAAATTTGTCGAGTATGGAAAAGGAAAGTTGAAGGATTTTTTTTTTTTTTTGATGGAGATCGATGATCAAAGAAAAAGGTGGAAGGATCGAGGAGAGGGGAAATACTTCTTATAGTGCCAGGCACAGTAATCCTTTATTCTTAACCTAGTTGGTGAGCTGGTTTTATCCAGATATAAGTAAAGGGTTACCTTAATTATTCTAGCCAAAGTGATTAATAATTTATTACAGGATAAATAAATGAAAAACATTTAATTTTAGAAATTTACTGCGGTATTTAATTAATAATTAAAAGCATTAAAATAGTTAATGATAATTTTTTCATGACATAAATCGTAATTTTTTAAAGGTTTTATGGTTGTGATAAAATTATGTAGTTTAATTTTATTTATAATTAATTGGCATAACACTAAAGTTTTGTGAACATTTATATTAAATATTAAAAATATTTATTACAGAAAATTTCTCAGTATTTCAAATTTTTCTTATTGAAATTACAATTCTTTTTAGAGCAATGTATTGGAAAAGAAAGTTGTCTTTATTTAATAAAATATTATTAAATTTCGATGCCGATAAAATTTTTATTTATTTATTAATTTTTTCTCCATTTATATTTTCGTTGCCAGAAATTTAAAAAATCTTTAATTTTTAAATTAAAACATATTATATTTTAATGAAATATTACATGGTTATTTAATTAAGGGATTAATTATCTAGCAATTTAATAAGAAAATTTTTTTTAATCACTTATTGTTAATGGCAGCGTAATGTGGTAATTTGGCTTAAATTGTAACCATTAAAATTTTAAATATTTAATTTTATGTTTATTTTTTTATGTTCATTCTATAATTTAAAAAAAGTAACAATTTTTACAATTTAATAATAATTAAATTTATGGATTTACAGCCGGGCCAGTCGTTGACATCCTCGGGGATGAAATGACCAGGTAAAAAAATTAGCAATTTTCTTGATTATTATTATTATTATTGATTGACTTTTTTTACATTTTATTTCATTTAAACAGAATTATCTGGGACATAATTAAAGACAAGTTGATTCTGCCGTTCCTCGACATCGAGTTGCACACTTACGACCTGGGCATCGAGAACCGTGACAAGACTGAAGACAAGGTCACCGTCGAGTGCGCCAACGCAATCAAGAAGTACAATGTCGGCATCAAGTGCGCCACCATCACCCCCGACGAGAACAGAGTCAAAGGTCGGTTCGCATGAGTTTCTCTTTTGCTGTCGAAATTATTTTTCTTGTCTTTAAAGAATTCAACTTGAAGCAAATGTGGAAGTCGCCGAACGGCACCATTCGAAACATTCTCGGCGGCACCGTCTTCAGGGAACCCATCATTTGCAAAAACATTCCTCGACTGGTCACCTGCTGGACCAAGCCCATCATCATTGGCCGCCACGCTCACGCTGACCAAGTAATTTTTAATTAAAAACGATAATAAATATTTCATTATTTTTAATTATAAAAAACTAAAAATTATTCTTTTTTGAATAAAATAAATTTTTAATTTAATTTAATTTTAGTACAAAGCAACAGAACTGATGGTGCCTGAAGCAGGAAAGGTGCAACTTGTGTTTGTGCCGAAGAGTGGTGGTCCCGGTGAGACCAAGGTGGTGCACGAATTCGACGGCGCCGGAGTCACCCTTGCCATGTTCAACACCGACGAGTCCATTCGGTAAGGATTAAACTGTGTTGTAAAAATTTGAATCACCACATTTTCTTTTCCAAAATTTAATTTAAAACTTCATTATTAAAAATCCTTTATTCACCAGAACAGACTTTAATTTTTGCTTCAAATAATTAGATTAAAATTTTTGTTAATTTTTTCCAGCGGATTTGCGCACTGCTCGTTGCAGTACGCCTTGAACAGGGGCTACCCTCTTTACATGAGCACCAAGAACACCATTCTCAAGTTCTACGACGGCCGTTTCAAGAACATTTTCCAGGAAATCTACGACAAGTATATTTAACGTCAAATAAAATAGGTGCAAAGACTGAAATTTTAATTTTTTTTCTAGCGAGTACAAGGAAAAGTACGAGGCCAAGGGCATTTGGTACGAGCACCGTTTGATTGACGACATGGTTGCCTACGCCATGAAGTCCGAGGGAGGATTTGTCTGGGCCTGCAAAAACTACGACGGCGACGTCCAGTCGGACTCTGTAGCTCAGGGTTACGGTAATATAAGTCCATAACTATTTCATATTATATTGAATCAAAATATTACTTTGCTTGAATCCAATACAGTAAAATATTTGGATGATTTAGTTTTAAATAATATTTCTCAGGCTCATTGGGAATGATGACCTCTGTCCTGATTTGCCCTGATGGAAAAACCGTCGAGTCCGAGGCCGCCCATGGAACAGTTACCCGCCATTACAGGTTCCATCAACAGGGCAAGGAAACCTCAACCAATCCCATTGGTCAGTAAACAAAGTTTAAAATTAATGAAAGTCTTCATTCTGATTAATTTTTTAAGTCGCTCTTGAAAACCCCCAAAAATTAATTAGAGTTTATTTAAAATAATAATATTTAAACTGAAAAGCAAATAATAGGCCAAGACTATTTTCCTGCAATTTGCTACATTTTTTTCTTTGTTCATTAATTTTTTTACTGGCAAACAAATATTAAATTTTATCGGCTTTCCACAGCTTCCATCTTTGCATGGACCAGAGGGCTCCTTCACCGTGCCAAGTTGGACAACAACGCTGCTCTGAAGAATTTTGCCGAAAAACTGGAAGAAGTGTGTGTGGAGACCATTGAAGACGGTCATATGACCAAGGATCTTGCTATCTGCATCAAGGGCATGGCAGGGTAATTGACAAATTTCAAATTTAATTCGATAAAAAATTGGTTAATCTTAATAAACAAATTTAAATAATAAAATATAATTTAATTAAAAATTGATCGAGTAAATTTTAAAAAAGGGACTCCATAGGTGGCTCAGTTTCCCAGCTGGAGTTTAAATTTAATTTTTTTTTTTTTTAATATTAAATTAATATGGATATAATTTAAATAAAAGGAGTAGTGTTTATGAAAAAAAAAATTATATTCATCTTTATTGTTGGCACATTTAAAAATTAATTTATGTAAAAGTTAATTTTGTTGAAATATCAATGTTTCAGTGTCAAGCGTGAGGACTACCTGGACACATTCGCCTTCATGGACAAGTTGGCCGAAAACCTGAAGAAGAAGCTGGCCTGTTGACTAGCAAAGCCCCCTCAATCTGCGCTTGCCTCAAAAATGTAATAAGTTCGAAGAAACACCAAGCAAGTTAAGCTTTAATTTTTCAAGTCTTCAGATAATTTGACACCATAAGCGGTTGATTTTTTACTCATTTAAAATGCGTGATGGACAAATTTGACGGAATTTAATTCGAGTGATGCAAAATAATAATTATTCAATGAATTACTAATAAAAGTCACACGAAGGGAAAAACTAGTTCATTATTTAAAATTTAATGTAGACACCTAACAACTGTTTAAAATAAAAAATTAATTATTTGTATTTAGTTTGGATTAATAATTTCTGAGCTGTTTGAATTTTTCACCAGGTTCCTCCGACATTTTTAATTAAAAGAAATTTTTAGCTTCAAATAATTTTTAAATATATTATAAATTAACAAATTCTAGGACTGATTGTCATTGTCGTTGGTAAAAAATTACTTTCTCTGTTTATAAATCACAGCATGTAATAATTGCAGGCCCAGTTTCTCTTTTTCTCTCTGCTTTTTTGGTGAGAGGGAGTGAAAAAGGTGCAGGAAGTAATAAACGGGAATTATTTATCAGCGGCAAAAACAAAAGCTGCTCTCCGCAGAAAGATATACACTTTTTCTCTTCCGGCGCCGCTGCCGTCAGCGTTGCGGCCTCCGGTCATTATTCTTGAAAACCTTCAGCCGCCATTAGCTGCTCTTTCCACCCCCGTGATAAGCTTAGCCCTCATTCGTTTTGTCCAATAAAACCAGGTCGGCGCTTAATCAGCTTCATATAATTCCCACGCTGACTAACTTTAAAGCTGCACATGGGCCGGCGCAGTCCAGAGATATATAATTAAAAATTTCACAGAAGGTCTTTCTTACTAAAAGTAGCTTCCCACTTTTTTATGGCTGCAAAATTACCTTTTTATGCCCCAAAACTTTTGTTTTAGCAAAAAATTTAATTATCCCGCAATAAATTAATTATTTTACAAATAATTCTAAAATATGATTTTAATCATTAATCAATTGTAATAATGATTTAAATTTATTTACAATTTTAAAGTAATGAATGCATAATTTTACAAGTAGCGAATTGAGTAAAATTGTTCGGTTTTTAGTTAAGGTACAGATGAAAATTTAAATTTTGTGACTAAAATTATCCTCTCAACAAGGACTTAATTAAATACGTATCACACATCTAGGTCAGATGGCCTCATAAGTCATCGACCTGGGTGATCTTTGATCTGAAGGTCACCAAAGGTCATCAATATATACGCCAATAGATGGGCCTTGACTTGAGGATCAACTTTGATCATCATCACCTTTTACCTCCAATCATCAGGGTCGAAGTTAAAGGCTATTCTAATGTTGACCCTGCCTGCGGAGGTGCAAAAAACACGTTTTTTTTTAATATTCTTATTTATTTTTAAATTCAACGAAAAATAACCTCATCGCTGTTGTGACATAATATACTGTGCAAAATTTTAAGAGGAATCGTTTGGCTAAATCAAAATTTATTTAAAATGGTCGGCTGTTTTTCAGATTTTAGTTTGAAAATTTACGGTCAGCAAAAATTACCACGATCTTGACCAAAATTTGCTTTTTCCGCATAGAAAAAGTTGACGAGCTCAGCCATACCTGGAAAATTATCCTACAAACACAAGAAGGGGAAGAAGCTGAGATAAAATTGCGTATTTTTATTTTTCCAAAATGTCCCGTAAAATTATGAAAGTTTTTAGATAAAATTTTAGGGATTGTGGGTCAACAAATTTGACCAGTTTCTATTAATTTACATAAAATCTCTTTTGATTATGATTATTAGTTTTGCTTTATCAGCTTCATTCTTCTTAACAAAAAAAAAAAAATAACTTTAAAGATTTTTTTGTAAAAAAAGTTCCATTGTTTTCCGGAACTCGCACGAAAGGAAAAAAGGAAGAGATTTGGCGATTATATATTTGAATGATTTATAAACGGCACTCTTGTTTCTTTCTCTCCTCTTTGTCTTTCGCCACTCGGGAGACTTATATGTACAATGGCCTTGTGTAAGGACATACACACGCGGCGTGCAATTAATGCAATTACGTGCGAAATTGGAGCACAGTCCCGTGGGATCAATGAGAGGGGGCAGAGAACAGCCGCTCTCGCCAACTGATGTTTCCAGCTCCAACTTTTGGAAACGCGAGCGTGGAATTAGAGCTGCTCTCGGGTGCGAGTTGGTCGGCGATGGATATATTGTCGGTTCATAACGTTCGTATTCCGAGAAGAGAGAAACAGAAAGACAAACCCTTGCGAAAACGCGAAAGTTACACCACTGCAACTTTTTTAATAACAAAATATCACAATTTCGACAGGCAGCGCGGAGATTTTTTCATTTACAAAAATCTAATTAATGAGAAATTTTTGTTAACCGAAAAAAAACGCTGAAATTGCAACAGGAAAAAACTGATTAAAAGAGAAGAGTCAAAATTAATTTTTACTCAAAGAAAAATAGCCCAGCCAGAAATTTTTGGGAAAAAATCATCTTTATAAACACAAAATCCTAAATCTTTCTTTAGGGCACAAATTTTCCCTGCCGAGCGTAAATCTTTGAGACTTTCTCTTTCAATCAATTTCAGCTTTTACGAGAATCATGTGAATGTCATACGCTCTCTCAACGATCTTCATTGGCGACGACTTCTTGCTTGTTAGGAGGCTGAGGAGATCAAAGGAAATTTTTAACGAATCCACTTTAGTCTGTTTCAATACATATAGGCTGATGTTCTCTTTCAGCAAAATTAACTCTGCGGAATAAACTTCTCCCGTTGAAAAATTTATATGAAACTATTTTTTTGCCATTCAGCGGATTTTCCGGCGGGGCCAAATAAAACGCACACGCCGCGTTAATTAGCGATGGAATGAGAGAATTCTCAACGGCTTGAATCCTCGAAGGAGAGGCGCCGAATTTCGGCTAATTGCAGCCCTTTCTTTCTTTCCTTTTCCACTTTGCTCTTTTGTGCAAAACTCCTTTTTTCTTTTCTTTCTTGCCTGACGAACGCGTCATCATTACTTTTCGCATGTGTGTATGAATGTGTATTTGAAAAAGAATATGGAATTGTTTCTAAATTGCAGCCCACGGCAGAAAGCACCGGATTTGTTCCGACTCACTGCTCCCGTGTACTCTTTCAATCTCAACCTACGCCTCTTTGCTCTCATATATTTTTTTTGCCATTTTCAACGTTCATTCGATCTCTAAACTCTGAGGGATAAACAAAAAAATCAAATGGCAAATTAATACAATTCAAAATAAATGTAAAAGTTGCCAAGTATGCTCAACCCTGAAAGCATAAATAACGATGAACAAGAAATTGTAATTTCTGCATATTTCAAAATGAATAAAAAGTAAGATTTAATTTTCACATTAAAAAATTAAAATATACTTCATTATAAAAAAACTAATTAAAAATCGCAAAAAAAAAATTATTTGAAATGATTAGGCGTAAAATGTCACAGATTTTTCCCTTGGATACTGAATTTTAATTTATTCAATTTTCTGATCAGTTCAATCAAAGTACTTTTGAGGATGGTGTCGCCTCCAGAAAATCGAATATTTTTATTTTTATTTTCAAATCCAAATTTATTACCGAGCAGCGTGTTTGCCGAAATCGGAATTGTAAATTCCACAACTCATGCATGTTTGAAAATGTTGAATTGGAAATGATAAGCGTGCACGTAAAATACGTCAGCGAGCGGCTCCACACAGGAGTCGCCATCGAGATAGATATGCAACACGCGGCGCTCGGCAGTCGGGCCAGTTGCATAAAACATAAAACTCGCTCGTGGGCACGCCAACACCTGCTGCCGGTGCAAACTTTTGCCTTTTTTACTTTATTCAGAGTCGAGAGATCCTGTTGATTCTTTTACGATTCAACTTTTTCTATTTACAAGCTTATCAAGTGGAAAAAGTTGCTTCCGCCGGGCACCTTTCCATTTTAAAACAACCCTCCCAGGCTTTACTTTAGAAAAACAGCGATTCAGGTCAAAAGAAAAAAGTCCCGAGAGACGAGTTGTAGCGTTCTTGTTTTATTATTATAAAAAAGTATTTTTTTTTTATAATAAATTTAGTTTTTAGAATAAAATAAATAGTTATCTCTTTTTGAAATATCTTGTTGTAAGAGTATAATTGAGAATTTATTTGAAAGAATATTAAATTAGTTTTCGCAGTGCTGTGTTATTTGGTTATTTTTATTTGTCAAATTTTCCAGAATAACCATATTTGAACTTATAAAGTACTTTATGAAGTTTCTTAACTTTTTCATTGTGATTTTAATTAATTTGAACTAACTGAAATTGACAATGAAAGATTTATTAATTCTTCTTGAAAGATCAGTTGAAGAGCTTTTGTTTTTACAATTATGAAAGTTGGTAAAAATCCCTGAAAACTGATTCAAGAGAAGTCGGTAGAATTTCTCAAGCAGGTTCAGGATTGAAAACTTGCGCATTCCTTGTTAATTTTCTCAGATGAAAGTTTGAGCGGTGGAGTGCTTTGTTTCTCGGTTGAGGGTTCAAGTTTGCAGGGCTAACAATGGGCGGCAAAACTCTTTCGGTGGCAAAAGTTTGCTCTAAGCAGCAGTTAAAAGATTTCTGTCCGATTTAACGAGTAAACAAGTGGAGCTTGGAAAATCTGGTCGATTTTGAGAGTGTACATGAGGGCAGGGCGCCCAGCAACACGTGCACACACACCAAGTTCGCGATTAATGAGAGCACCGGCGTGAAAGTACGAGACTGATTGAATGCGAATTAACAGGGGGAAAAAGCGAGGGTTGATGCGGGCTAGTTTTTTACTTAATTTTGATGAAAGGCTGTAGAAAGAGATGGTGTTCTGTTGGTAATTTTTTTTCTTTCGTCCTCTTTCACAAAAAATATTTGCTTTTTTCAATGATTATTTCATAAAAATTCACTGAAATAAATAGAATAAATATTTCAACTTTTGTTGTATTGTAAATACATTTCAGTTGCAAATTGCTTTTAAGAAATTAATTTTGATTTGATATAATATTTATTATTTTGCAAATTTGATTTTTAATAACGGGTGAATTATTTCTGAGTGCACTATATGTAATGTCACACCATAAGCCAATAAAAGAGTTGCAATAATAAAAATATAATTAAAAATGTTAAGAATCAAAAGACATTAAAAAATTACCTTTTTATCACAATTTTTGAACAAAGAAATTGTGATTATGTGATTAATTTCAGGTGTCCCATTTTTCTAAGTCAATCTTCAGTTGTCAAATTTCTTAAAATTTTTCCTGTTTATGCGCAAACACAATTGAAAATTTTCTTTAAATATAATTGAAGAGATTTTTAAAAGCAAAGCAAAGTTTCAGTTCTGTTTGTTGTTGTAAAATTCACAACCATCAGTACTTTACTTTCCTTTTTACTGTATAAAAACATCCCCTTTCACAAGAAATAAATAGGGATGCAAATGATTTTCCTCTCCGGGATGCCTTGAAAAATATACGACATGTCAGAACAATTTCCTTAGCTTTCTTGAAGTATAAATAAATCCAAAGTTTATTGCAAAAGTGAAAGAGTTAAGATAAAATAATCAAATTGAAAACGTAAAACATATATAATAAAAACTTTAATTGTAATATAATTTTTCTCGGGAATGGACTAGTATCATCCTTTCAGAAAAAATATATTGAAATGATTAATTCAAATTCAAATTTTACTTTAAATATTTTGATCAAATCATGTGAAGCTGGAAACTTTGAGACTATCATAAAAAATTTGGGATTTTTACCATCTATCCTAATTCCTAATTTGTTGCATCTTTAATTACTAAGTAAATATAGTTTTACATTAATCATGAAATTTCTTAATTATTGGATCAGTTTTTTAAGCTATAGCTTAATAAGAAAAAGTTTGTATGTGCGTTAATTTAATAACAAATCACTGGAATTTCAGCGCAATACAATAAACACGCGTCAAATCTAACTGATAAGCAAAGGAAAATGCGCGATAAAATTGTGCGTTAGTTGGTGGCAAACCGCAGAGGGCAGACGGAAGTCGTCGAAAATTTGAGCCAGAGTTAAAGGGCGTCGGTAGGTATAGTCAGGTGGGCAGAGCAGACGCGCGCCGAGAGTGTAACCATAGCGACGCAGGGCGCAGCTTGACACCGACGGACGGACCGACGGAGAACCGCCCCCCGCAGCCCAGGCAGCAAGCAGATCTTGCTCCGCAGACCCATTCCACCACTCACTCACCCCTCAGAGGACCGACTCGCAGCTCTCTTTCTCTCTCTCTCTCTTCTCCGTCTCTCCATCTCTCTCTCTCTATCCCGGCGACCGAACCGGACGGCGAACCGCTCCTTTAGAATCAACGCAAAATCTGCTCCTGACCGCACCGAACGCGCCACTCGACCCCAAGGTACGTTTCTTGCATCATCAAATTGCGAATCAATTCATCTTTGATTCATAATTATGTAATTAAAAAAAAAGGAAAAAAACAATTAAGCCAAACCAAAATTGTAAAATTAGTGTAGGTAAACCAGCAAACCAGCATCTTTTTCCCAGTAAAATCCAAAGTCGAAGAAAATTATGATATAACGAGTCCTTTTTTTTTTAGCAAACAATCATGCAATTTGTCCTGGTTCCCATTGAAAACTGTGTAAAACAGAAACAATATTAATATTTAATTTCAAATTAATCAAGAAATGTGAATTCTTTATTAGATACATTTTGATACAGATAGAAAGTCAAATAATGTGTTTTATTTAATTGATTGTGAGAAGAATAAACAATAGGACAAAAAAATTAAAATTAGAAAAAATTAATAAAAGCCTTTCCAGTCTACTAGACCAACAATTAGAATTAATTGTAAGTTCAAAAGAAAGATTTCCTTTTTAAAAAGTAGGTTAAATAGTGACTATATTTTCTATTGACATTCTTGAAAATAGTTGTTCCGAATGAGCTTAGAGGCAATTCTGCACAAGCCATATTAGCAACGAGATTTCTTGAAACGTCTAAAACTATGACGCATTCTTTTAAATTTAGGTGCGAAACTTAAAAAACTCTAAACGTCACAAAAAGTATGGAAAATAATATTTATTGTAGAAAAAATTAGCTAAATTTTATTATCAAAATGTAATGTTTTGTGTTTAGTACCAAATTTTAAATGCTAAATTCAATAGAAAGAAGTAAATTCAAACATCATTTCATCGGCTTATGTAACAAAACCACGCCAGTCTTAATAATCCAATTAAATGACAGAAACTTCAATTCAATATTTTTCAAAGAAATAAAATAAAATTCAATTGATAATTGTTTGATAATTTTTGGTTTTCCCTCAGTTTAAACTTGTTACCAATCTTAATAATATTTTCTTTCAGATCATTTTTATTTATATTTCCAAAAAAGTAGGATTTTGTAAATTTTGCTTTATTACAATCATTCGCAAGGTTTTACATTTGGGAAATATGTATTTTATATTATATAGTTTTGAAATGTGCAGATGACCAAGAAAAAATTACGAGTAACAACACCAATTAGCTGGAAAATCAGATAATTTGCTCTGGAACAAAAGGCTGCCTCTAATGAGACGTAAATTTATAACAGACAGGTTAGTTTTTTTTTACATTCAGTAAAATAAATATCATTCCATTTTACCTCTCTTTACCTTTGCGCCAATTTGCAATTCAAACCGTGAAATTAGATTATGTATATTTCCCCGGGAAAATGTTTGATCGAAAGGTCAAAGGTCGCAGCCGCGGTGTGTGTTGTGTTTGTGCGCCTTTGTAGGATTTCATTACACACCAATGCAAGACAACAAATGCAATTTCGCACGGCGGCGGCGGCGGCAAAGAAGAAGTAAATCAAAAGGTGTTATAGCGTGAAATAATTTACATTTGTGCGGTTTGTTTGCGTGGCGCTTGAATTTCACGCTTTTGTACATTTCGCGGCCACCTAACTCAGAACGTGTCACAAGAATAATAATAAAGCAGGGCAGAGAACAATTGGCTGGAAAAGAGAAACTTTTCCTCCGTTTCAGATCGAAAGGGTTAAGCCTGGCTTTTCATCTCTGACTGCCGAGGATTGATTCGCTTTGCATTCAAACAAGTGGGACTTACGCCCTGATTCCATCAAATTATATCCAAACTCGAATCGACTGGCAAATCCATAGCTTTGTTTAACTTTGCGCTGCATGGATGAATCTAGTGCACGGCTATAGCCCCGGGCCCTGCCAACTTAAGGCACACACAAATCTAAAGGGGTTCTACAGTGTATCAAAACAGCTAGTTCTCCCTATGTGTGTAATCTCCATTTAAATATGCAAATATCACAGTTTGCGGCTTTGAATTTCAACAGATGCAAATACAGTATACGTGAAACCTTCCAGGAATAGAGGTAATGGGCAAGTTTCTTACTCAAACCTTGAAATGGTAAAAAAAAAGTTAATTTTAATATCTAAATATCTGGATTCCTCTCAAAACAACGTAAAACTGTTTCTGAAATAAAGTGTTCAAAAAAGAAAAAAGAAAGAAAAATAAGCTGCAAAATAGTTCATTTTACGTGCAAAAAAAAATTTAAATTTCAACTGATTTGAGTGGGTTTTTTAAATTATTTATTAATGATTCAAATGAAATAAGAATTACTTTAATTCAATTCATTTGTGTAATAATATTTGCAGACCATTCTACTTTGGGGACTCAGCTCTGTAGCGCGGTTTTGATAAATAAGACTTTTCAAACAAGGTGAAAACCATGTATTCACAGAGCAAGATGACCAACAGAAATTACCAAAACCCCTGTGGTATAAAAACAATAAAAATCAGGTTTTTCCGTGCCATTGGAAACTTGTTTAATGGCAAAATTACTTTGAAATATAGGAGGTGTGGAGTTGGGACGATTGGGGTTAAGAATATTTTTTTTTTATAATTTACACTAAAATGTTTGTCACGGTCAACACAGCGATGACAAAAAGTGAAAATAGGATATAATTTAGGAAAAAAATTTACTATTAAAAATGAATGATTGCAATAAAAAAATCCAGATAATTTTCTAGAAAGTTAGTTGATTTTCTTTAAAAGTTGTTACTTGTTAAAGAAGATGCAAATAAAAAATCTCAACGATGAAAAATTTAAGTATCTGCTTTATTATATTATATAGTTTAAAAATTTCTTAAAAATTTTACTTGATACTGATTTGATACCTATTTTTGTCCATCCATATTCAAACAAATAACAAAAACCAGTTTATTTGAAGAAATTGACACTTGATAATGGATATGAAGAGATCGGGCTTTTTTTCGTTGCAAAAATTGTTTGTATTCAAAGTTGTTTGGTTTTTTAAGAAACCATTTTTACAACGAGGAAAAGCCCGTTCTCTTCATTTCCAAAAACTACTTATTAATAATTATTCTTGCAATTTTCTTCTCCCAACCTTATTTTACCAGTTTGTTGCTTTGAATTTTGCGGAAGAATAAAATTGCTTTTTGAACACTGTGATTTTCCGGGTGTTATGACCATTTGAAACTTATTATTTTTTTTAAATAAATCGAATGTTTAAACAATTGAATATAAACAATGATAAAAAAATAAAATATTTTCGCTCATTCATTTTGTCTCGATTCATGAAGAATGCGCAAAAGTAACAATAAAGAAAAAAAATATTTTTGTGATTTCAGGCAAGTGTCGCGATGCGGCGGGGGCTCGTGGGGGCGGCGGTGGTGGTGCTGGTGCTGGCGTGGGTGGAGGCGGCGGGGGCGGACGGCGACGAGACGCGGCTGCTGCGGATGAACGGCGACATCATCCTGGGCGGCATCTTCCCGATGCACGAGCACCGCAGCGGCGGGTACCACGCGGCGCCGTGCGGCGCCGTCAAGGAGGAGAAGGGCGTGCAGCGGTTGGAGGCGATGCTGTACGCCCTGGACGAGATCAACCGCGACGCCACGCTGCTGCCCGGCCTCTCGCTCGGCGCCCTCGTCATCGACTCGTGCAGCAGCGACACCTACGCCCTCGAGCAGTCCATGGAGTTCGTCAGGTCCTACATGAACCAGGTAGGATCTCCTTCTATTTTCGCTCCAAATTATTATATACACGCGCGCGGAAAAAATTCTTTTTCATCTCTCGCCGGCTTTCAGCCAAATTGCACGGATGGAGCAAAAAACTGATCCTTTTCGCAACCAGGAAAACTTTGACAAGACGGGAAAATAATCAGTTTTCCTCGAACATATCATATGAAAGAACAACATTTAATACTTTCCTACGGTAAATTAATTAAAAACTTTTAAAGAATCGATAAAAAAAGTCTAAAAACAGGTACTAATAAAGTTCTATTAATTAGATATGAATCGCGTTCCAATTAACTAATGCTTTGTGTGAAAACCAAAAGGCAATTCACATTTTTCAGCTATATTGAAGTCCATTCTAATATTTTGATTCTTGCGATCAACTTAAGGCCTCCTAAATTTATTTCATATAAATTTCGCCAGAAAATTTTCCATTCAATTCCCCAAAAGAATCGAATAAATATGAGAGTTGAAACTCAATCGGCAGGCAGCTCTAGAAATCAAAGTAAAAATCAACTTTCACAGAGGTCTAATTTGAAACATGAATGAATCCAAAAATCCAAATGGAGCCACAAATGAAAGGGAATTACACTGATGTACACTGATTTGCGATTCAAAACGGAAAAATGGATGCACATGACTATATTTTTCAAGATGTTTGGGATGAAAAAATAAGTGAAATTTATTTAGAACAAACTTGTAAAATGTACGTTTCATGTCTTGATTGATATAACGAATTGAAATTAATGAATATTTCCGCAGAAAAAAAACACATATGGTTTTGAGTGGTAAAAGAATTTAAATTGGACAACTCACTTGCGTTTTGTACCGCTCAATTTAAGCCAATGGATGTGGACCATTAAAGTAATTGACTGATAATTTTTAGCAAAACCAGTTTCTAAAAACTATGTGAAGTGAAAAACTACTATTTCACCTGAAAAAAACAACCAATTTAACACAGAGGATGACAATGTAATTTTGCAATTAAACAATGAAAAACCAATCACATTAGAAATGGCTTTTGCAAAATTTGAGTGCTTCGGAAATTGATGAACTCAAACGGAAAATCCGATTCCATGACAATGCTACACAGACAAACTGGTAAAAATTGACTTTATGATACTGAAAACAGCGTGTCCCCTGTAGGCAAAATAGCACGCACCGAAAAAGGGCTCGCTTTTATTTACATTGATGCAAACAAACACCGGTGGTTTTAATTTCACTCTGCCATATATACTGGTTCAAAAATGAGAGCACTTCAAATGAGAACTAAACATGATATTGGCATGCGTGGAGTAAAAAAATTCTCCTCTCCAGAACGGAAATTAAAACGGCAGAGGTTTTTCTATTTATTTGCATCCGAACATTTCGAACGCCAAAAGCCGCGGACTTTTTTGTTAAATATTTTTCTACCGACCGCGTTTTTTTTATTTTTCTTTTGCAGCAGCATGAATATTAAAAAGCGGTGAGTATATTTCTTTCTGGGTCGCGAGCGCAGAATTACCGGCCGATGTTGCGGTTTCAGCAAAACCGCGAATCAATAGGACTTTGCCGACAGCCCATAAAGATTACACACTTGCCCGAATATCCAATCGAAAACGGACTGCGAATTGGAGCAGAGGGAGAGAGAATGTGTTTTCCGCGATATTAAAACGCGTCCGGCACTTGTCCAATCAGTCCGAAAGTTCTAAATTAATTTGAAAACGAGAGCTAGCGGGGACATATTTGAACTGCACAGGCGGTATTAATTTGGAATTCAATTTCGGCCGCCACCCGTTTAGACAAGATATAAAATGACGGCGAATCAATTCGCTCTTGTCGCTGCCAGGCTGAGCGAACGGGAGGAGCGAAAGGGTCGCCCAAATCATTCGCAAAAATAATTCAACGATCCAATTTTAAAAGAGAATCATAGCAGGCAATTTTTGTATAGTTATGACATTGCAAAATTTTGTTTTTCCTTTTTTTCGGACCATTTTATAAAATTAAACTAGAATTTTTTGAGCGATCCAGTAGTTCAATTTCTTTTTACTCCAAACATTTGAAATTCAAATTTACAAAATAATATATCAATTTATATTATGTGACAATTTTTATCATAGCTCATTCAAATGCAGTTTAAAATAAATAAATAAATAGTGTTTTATTGGTTTTATTGACTTTAGTAGACTGACAAGGAAAAATATATAATAATCAAAGTGCAACTATTTTTAAACCACAATGTAGGTGGAATTCGTGTGTTTTATCCAACTTAAAGATTTGCAATTGGAGTTTTTGTCCAAATATTATCAAATAGTGTTGAAGATCAAATTATTTCTTTCAAAGTTAACATTGCATTGTTGGAAAATTAACATGTGAAGCTCAAAATTTATTGATTTGTGTGTTTGCGACTTCTTAAAGACCCACTCCGGTTATTTGTATTGCTCTTTATTATGAAAGATTGCTAAATTTTGCGCATATCTTGTGAAAACACTATTTGAAAATTCCAAACCGTTGCGTCTCAATCAAAAGAAAACCTAAATACGAGTGATTCGCGCGAAAAACATGTGAGAATTGAGTAGCCAATCAGATCCATCAGTTTTGTACAAAAACTGCAGGATTTGGTCACATTGGCGCTGCGATCGCTGATTTCACCAAGTTATCTGCAGCGCCGTGGGGCATTAGTGGCAAAATCAGCGATCGCAGCGCCAATGTGACCAAATTCTGCAGTTTTTCGAAAAAACTGATGGATCTGATTGGCTACTCAATTCTCACAGGTTTTTCGCGTGAATCACTCGTATTTAGGTTTTCTTTTGATTGAGACGCAACGGTTTGGAATTTTCAAATAGTGTTTTCACAAGATATGCGCGAAATTTAGCAATCTTTTAGAATAAAGAGCAATACAAATGACCGGAGTGGGTCTTTAAATAAGATACCAAAATGCAGAAATAGATAAAAATGAATTCCGCAGAATAAACGTTACAAACTCCAGACCATTTTCATCTGATGCAGAATAAAGAAAAGAAGAAACGAAATCCTAATTTGGTCAAAACCACTGCTTGTCAGGACTGTAACTTTTCCAATCAATGGCATCATTTTCCACAAGTGTTCTTAAATGAAATTGAAGTGTTTTAAGCTTTTAAATTTGTCCTTTTTTTCCCTTTTGATGATATTTTCGTTTAAACTGCATGAAAATATTTTGAATTATTTCAAATCGTCGAGGAATTTGATATTTCCTCGTCGTCACCAGTTTTAACGGAAATTCCTCTTTCTTGCACAACGATGGTTGCCTGCTGATTAGAGCGAAGGTTTATTCGTGCGAATTAAAGATTTTATTCGGCGGCATTTGTCGCGCGAGTGCATTTCGGTGTCTCTCCTCTCTGGCGGCGTGCGAAAGTGACCAGTGGGGTCCGTCTGTGTACTCTACTCTTTCATTCATCGGCAGCAGCTGTGCCGAAGGAAAAGGGTGCGCGTGAAACAAATCAAGCCCCCTGCGAGCGTCGTCGTCTGTCTCTCGCCCTCGCCTCGCGCCGCCGGAGAGAGCAATTATAACGAGTTTGCACCTCGTTCGTTTCTCTCTCTCTCTCCAGTATATGGGGCAGCCGATTCAGCTCCAGCAGAGAGAGACCCTATTGATTCTTCCTGCTGCTCCTCTGTGCCCGTCGACACACTATTAGCAAACCATCTGTGGACGCACACATCCGAACAATGAACAGACTTAATTTGCCGTCGGGGCGTTTTTTTCCGACATTCGCATCCGTAACTGTCCCGTCGTTGCCAAGTCTGACACAATGAGACAGGTTCTTTAAATTTTTTCTTACCCGTGATGAGAATAAAAGGACCGATGGCGATTAGGGATGGAAAAAATACGTGATCAATTTGTAGTAAATGACCAAAGATTTACACATGAATCCGCTATTTTTCACCTGAGTAAATTTTCGTCTATAACATTTACATACCTTATTATAGATTTTTGCCTTTAATTTTCAACTGTTAATTCTGAAATCACCAATTTCACAAAATTCACCTATTTAAAAATTACTATCACACAAAAAATACACCTTAAAAGTAAAAATTTGATTTAAATTCAAATCAAATTTTAGGAAATTTTTACTTCAAACCATCACTTTTTCTCAACCCTAATTGATCAGCGGAATTTTTTAACCCTTTGAAAGCACTAAATTGAAATAAATGCTATGTAAAGATTAAAAATTTGCCCTCTACAAGATGGATGGATCTTTATTTACTTTTATTACAACCAATTGCTGTTGTTTGCAAATCTGTTTTAAAAATAAAACACGCCAAAAGGCAAATAACCTCGCTGTATGTGATTTTTGTGCGGAAATTAAAGAAATATTTGTATGCGAAGAAATTTTATTGCAAACAATGCAGGATTATTGTGATTTTACTCAAGTATTGGTTGGATATTAATTATTATATAACTCTCTGTTCCTGTATTATGTAATGTAATCCCGACAATATAACACACTGCAATAAGGCTGGATTTTATTGTTAATTCTGCTCGTCAATTAAAAAAATTATAACGGAATTGTAATTACGGAATTGAGATTACTGCCTCAAAAACAAGAAAAATGTTTAAAAAAACCTCTTTAGATAAAAAAAAGTGTGCTTCTCTTATAAGATGATTCCTTCATATTTATCGGATCCCAAAATTTCTTTTCAAGGACAATTTAATTGTGAAGTTCCAGAAATTTTCCACGGTGACTGTATGTTTGCTGGTTATAATGCGTGTCATCTCATCTCTCCTCTATTTTAATTTTATGCAGCATCAAAGTTAATCTCAAAGTTCATCTCTTCTGCTGTTGCTAAAAATACTGTAATTACGGCAAAAGTTTCCATGAGTTTCAAATCTGATCGTCGTGTCCTCATTATCTGATTGTGCAGAGAACAAGTTTGTTGCTTCTGCCGCATTTCCATATTTTATATCGAAGCTGTGGTGTGTCTGCGTTCGGAAGAGAGACTGCTTTTTACGGTCGCGCAATATGGCGCGC